ATTTGGTTGCTCACAACACCAACAACACACAATAGGGAAAAAAAACCAAAACGAAGAAATCAATACTAGTGCTACGTCACGAGACGCGAAAGAAGATACGTTCTCTTTCGGTTCCTTGAAAAGAAAACAAAAACCGAAGGAGAAATCAATTACTAGAAATAGATGAATCCTATTAATAATAATAGCAATATATCTGTTTTCCCGACAGCTGAACACACAACACACAACACACAACAGAGAAACTGAGAAGAGCAATACATACATATATATATATATGCGGCGGCACGGAAGACGTTCTTGTTTGCTACAACAACAGACGTGAAGACCTCCCTTGCTCTTTCTCTCTTTCGTTTCCTGTCTTCTCCACTTGCTGGGGCTCTGCTGCGTTCACTTACATGTTCAGGTGGCGCTGCGCCGCGATGGGCACCCGCCTTCCACTCACCCCCCTGCGCTTCGTGATTTCGCCCACTCCTTCGCACGTACGGCGCAATCACAAACACCGAGGGGGAGGGAAGGGGGAGGGAGATGCAGGTGCATCGTCCTCCACAACAACAACAACAACAACGCGCGTGTGTGTGTGCGACTACGGAAAACAAAAACAAAAACAAATGAAATTAAAGGAGGACATGCAAATCGGAATACTTCACTAATATATAGAGGAACATCGGATAAGAAAGGACCGTGACGCCGGTGTGAGTGTTCTGGCTCTTTATTTTCCCCCTTTTCTTACTCCATCGAGAACACGGCGCCGCGGTTCTTCCACTCCCAGCCGTTGCGGTGCATACGAAGGGCGTACGTCGCAAGGGAGTACAACCAACCCGCTACACCGAGGAAGGACACACGCAGCCAGAACTTCCAATGCAGAGGGCCGAAGAAGTTCTTCAGGGCGAAGTGGCCCATGCCGAACCAGATGCCCGCGAAGGGGCGATCGATGTGGCGCACGGGGGTGGTAAGGGCGAAGGGTGCCCAGGGGTCCATGTACTGACGGTTGTTCCACGCCTTCCAACCGACCGGCCGAGCGCGAAAGTTCGGCTCGTGGTGCGGGTGCATACGCAGCGTGTTGAAGCGCAGGTAGGCCCCCGCGCGCTCGATGCTGGGGATCGCCGTGATGGCCTTGGCAGAGCCATCCGCGGCGGAGCGGCGAAGAACGCTGGACAGCATTTTTCTTTTTTGGTGGGGGTGGGGTCTGGTTCTTACGTAGAAGGATTCTTCGTTTGTGTAGCGTGTATATTTATAGAACAAAAGAAAAAGCAATGAAAGGGCGAAGGGGTGGTGGTGCTCCGTTGTAGAACACGGAGGCACAGCGCGAAAAGATCAGCTGGGGATCGCTCTTCTCTCTACGCGAAGGGGTGGAGGGAGAAGGGGCGACGAACACCGAGTTTACATCGACAGAGCACGGTAACGTTCCCGAGAAGCGCGCGTTTCGTTAGACCGCAAGATGAATTGAGAAGGACAGAGGCAGACGGAGAAGAGCATGAGAGGTTCCCTATGTGTACATGCCAGGACTTTGAACGGGGACGCTTGTAGGAGCGGAGACGCACCGCAAAAGCTTACGCGGTTGCAGAGTAAATCAACACCGACAACACGCGTGATGCGTTCGCAGGTCCACCACATCCGTGGAAGAAAAATAAATAAATAAAAGCGCGATGCATTGTACCGCACATCTTGCTGGTTAACACACACGCGAGGCCACACCGTTTTTTTTTTGGTGGGGGGGGGGGGGTAGGGGTACGTCCTTCTCAAGACATTCCGTGGTGATCACGCCGCTGTAAAGCTGGAGATTCCGAGTTTGCTCCTCAAAAGTACCCCAAAGAAAGCAAAACGACATCGCCGGCAAATGAACGACGACGTCAATCTAAGAACACATACAGAAAAGAAAAAAGAAAGAGAGAGACCTTTGGTATCATTACCGCAATACAACACCACAGAGCGCTACCTCGCCGCGACGCACAAATCGAGGTGTGGCGCATCGAATCGTCTACACCAACATCAACAGAATCAATAACAATAAAAATAGTAAAAACAAAATCATGTCAGACATAGTAAGATAAAACAACATCGTGCATCTATAATGTAAAACCAAACAAAACAATAGAATCAATTAAATAACCGTTGAAGAGCCGGCCAAGAAGAGGAAGGGGTTCGTTATTTCTAGAAAATTCTTTACAGGCTGGCGGAACAACAACAACGTTCTTCACACAAAAAAAAATAGAATCAATTAACGTTCTCGTACGGTAGATTGAAAAGGGCAAAGCAAAGCAACAGCATCTCCCTTCAAGAGAGAGAAAAAAGGAAAAGAAAAGCGCATACGAGGGCAACGTGCAGACACTTTCCCCCTGTTCTCGTCGCATCAACGCAATACCTGCAAAATCAACTCAAAAAGCATTCAGCAAAGAGGTTTTCCTTTTGGTCTGCAACGGGTTTACTGCTGTCTTTGGATTATAGTTGCTGATACCGCACCCAGTTTTGCTGACTACGTGAGCCGCCGACGAGGAGCTGCAACTGCGCCGCCGACATCCGCACTTCGGCCACGTCGCTCACCGCACTCCCCACGGCACTGCTGGGCCGGCCCCCGCTACTGCCGCTGGGCGTCTCATACGATGAAAAGGCTGACGGAGAGGTGTAACTAACAGCCGCATCGCCGTCCCCCTCTCCGCTCTCCTTCAACTGCTGTTGATGTTGCCGCTCACGTTGACGCTGCACGAGCGCCGCCGCCTGCCCTGCCGCGAGCTCCTTCGCACGCCGCAGCGCCATGAGTGGTGGCGGAGCACCTGTTCTCGTCTCTTTCTGCGTCATCGCTGCTGCTTCACGGCCTTCTCCTCCCTCTGGGGAGTACTCACGATCGGCGAACGGAGACCCGTCGCGTTGGCTGGCAGGGCCGTGGTGATCCGTGCGGTCCTCGCTGCGGCTGTAGCTGCGCATGTCTGTGTAGCTCATCACGCTGCGTTGCCGCCGCTGTTGTTGCTGTCCTTGCGGCTCTAACCGCACATGCGCAAGCAGATCCGTGGGAGCCGCCGCCAACGCCGCCGCCGCAGAAGCAGCGGCAGCACCGGCAGACCGCACGTTCGCGTCGTTCGCGCTGCGTGGTTGAAGACCGCCACCGCCGCGCCGCTGCCCGTTTCCATTCTTTGCTGAAAACTGCTTCGCTGCCGTGGTGGTGGTCGTCGTTGCGATAATAGTCCGCGTGTGCGGCTGGGCAGCCGGTGCGTGCTCTGCGTGCGGCAGAGGGGAGGTAGGAGAGGGGGAGGTGGGAGAGAGGGACGCGTCAGCGTTACCCTGCCACGACGTGGTGCGGTGGTTCTTCTCACATCCCGGAGCGGGATGCTGCGGCGCAGAGTGCCCGTTTGTCGGTGCACTCGGGGCCGGCGATGCACTGCGTTGCTGCTGCTGCGGCGGCGGCGGTGGAGAAGGCGCTTTGGAAGAGGCGGCGTGACTGCTGCGTGAGCGGCGCACCAGCACCACCACTTCCGTGTCACCGTCGCTTTGCGTCGCGGGCTCTTGTGGGCTCGTCGGGGGAGGAACCGCAGCAGCCTCCTTCACCGCGTCCGCCGTCTGCTCCGCCGGCGGTGGCGGCGTCTCAAGGGAGGGTCGTTTGCACGTCCACACGGAGATGTCGCTGACGGATTCAACTGTAATGTGCGCCGCATTCTTCTCCGCTTGCACTGCACGTGCCGCGGCAGCGCCACCATCTGCGCGCTGTTGCCGCTGCTGCTGCTTCTGCTGACGTTCAGTGGCCACCGTTGTCAACAGCGTTCCGAAGAGCGCGAGTTCACGCTGATTCATGCGCTGGAACTCGTGCAGAAAATCCTTACTCTCCTCCATGGAGATCAGCGATGACTGGGCCGCACTCACCGTGTTGTGGTTGTCGCCGACGGTGTCGCGGCGCGCAGGGGCGGAAGTCCCGTTCGTGAGGGCGCGGACAGGGCGGGTCGACGCGCCAGAGAATGGCCGTGACACGGCGACAGCGCTTTTCGCTGTGGACACCACAGGACGTGCTCGCTGCGTCAGTGCCTCCCTGGCGCTGATCATCGGTCGAGCTCCGCCGCCACCACCACTTGCTGCTGCCGCCCGTCGGGTGAGCGCACCAGTAGCAGCAGCGGCAGCGGACCCTGCATGTGCACTCCGATCCCCCATACGACTCGACGCACGCGTAGCGGTCGCCGACGAGACGGAAGATGGCGCACGAGTGAACCGTGACGATCCACTGCCGTCTGCGCGCCCAGTGTTCAAAGCTGCTGCTGTGACAGATGATGTGGTGGCAGAGGTGCGAGCATCGGTGGCCGTCCGCGTGCGGGCCGTTCGATCGCGCGAGGTCGCCGCCGTCCCCGCTGCTGCTGCTGTTGTTGCGGTTGTTGCTGTTCTTTTGCTCGGCGGAGATGAAGGGAGGAGGGATGGTGCGGCGCCGCTGCGTGCGTGCTGTCGGCGCGACGCGATCGAGGAGGAGCGGATGGCCGACGGTATCGCCGCGTCGACATTTGCGTCCGCTGTCGCCGACACGGTGCGACGAAACGAAGGGGCAGAGCTGCTACGCGACGGACGACCAGCAGCGGCGGCAGTTGCATTTGTTGCTCCTGCGGCCGTAGTCGACGAGACGTCGCCACGCGCTTGCCGACTTGCGTCTCCGCCGCGTGTGGTGTAGAAGGTGAAGGCTGTGGACGGGGTGCGGGAGCGGGGCCGCGCTGCTGACCTCGCGGACATGGCGGATGACCCTGCCGCTGCCGCTGCAACGCCCGTCACGTTCCTCGACACCGCCGTCGCGGAGGAGGAGCGCCGCTTGAACGGCGATGCCGCGCCGCTGCCGGACACGGACGGCGTACGTCGACGGGGCCCATTCGCACCCGACGACGACGACGACGAGGTGCGAATGAAGGACGACTTCGGTGGCGGTGGCAACAGGCGGTCGTGCGGGGCGGCCGCGCCCGGCAGCTGCGAGGCCGCAAGCGACGTCGACGCGGCAGCAGACGAAGTGTGGTTGTGCCGGTAGAGCCCACTGGGTCGTTCCAGCTGCACCTGCGGTAGTGGTGGCATTCGACGCTGCGGTTGCTCGGTAGCTGCTGCAGGAGGAGGACCGCTATGTGGCGCATTGCACACTTCGGCAGCGGGGGAGAGGCGGTGACGAGGCATCGCCAGCTGATCGGCGGCGAAGGGCGACTGCCCTGTCAGACCGGAGCCGAGTCGCGGGGTCGGCTGTATGCATGTCCTTGCGGCACCACCACCACTACCACCAACAGTGTTAGTGGTGCCGCGGCTGCGGTGGGGCGGCGCGCGAACCGCGGAGGAATGCGGGGGTGCGTGAGCAGACACCACCGCCACCGCCGGCGAAAACGCGTGTAGATGCGGCCGCGTTTTATGTGGCGGTGTGCAAGCGGAGGCGGCGGCGACAGGCAGAGCTGCGTGGTGTGCTGCGACCATCCCCTTCATCATCTTGTGCTCCCGCTGCGCACGCAGCTGGACAGCATGATGCGACGGCGGTGAAGCAGGGGATGAGTTCGCGGCCGCCGACTTCTCGCCAGAGGTGCTGATGGCGTTGCTCTCCCGCGCAGCGGTGCCGCTGGTGCGAGACTCGTTCGTCAAGACACACGAGAAGGGCGATGCGTCGTGGTGATGCGGCGGAGGGCAGCTGACGGAGCTCGTGCTGTCAACCCTCCTCTCACCTGTTTCAGCCGGCTTCGCTGCTGCTGCTGTTGCAACGGCTGCTGCGGTGGGCGCTGGAGGAGATGGAGATGACGGCGCAGAGGTGTGCGGCACAGCCTCCGGCGTAGCGTCTGCACCTGTCTTCCACCTTCCGTATGGAGCACCCGCTGCGGCAGGCGGGGGGCTGCTGGGGCTTGCACAACCACCCGGCGCTCTCGAGGGCACGGACGGAGGAGGAGGGGAAGGAGGAAGGGGAGGGATCACCGCCTGCTTGCTGGCGACCATGGCGTGTAGCGCCTGTTGCGGTGTGGAACGTGAGCGCGAGGCGGAGGCAGACGAGGCGCGTGTGTTGCTGCGCGTCTGCGCACTCTCGTAGCTGAGACGGCGGCAGATCGATGCGGGCGGTGACGGCGACTTTGCCGGTTGAAAAGCATGCCGAGGCATGGGAAGGGGGGCGTGGGGCGCTGCCCCCTGCGTGCTGTCCGCGGCGACGGACGGCGATGCGGCGACCACTGCGCGATGTGACATCATGCGGTGACCAGAAGAGAGAGAAAGTCCGATAAAACAGTGATTTTATCCTTTGCGGACTCCTCTGTTCGTTGACACGATCTAAGGTGATTATATATAGTCAAGTAATAGAATGATAATTGAGGTCTAAATGGAAAGTGTTTAGAAGGGATTGAAAATAAAGTGTGTGTGTGTGTGTGTGTGCGTGTGAGGTGCGCAGAGACGCGACGAAGGAAGAGGTAGAATGACGTGCGCCACACGGAAAGCGGGAAATGCTTGGACAGCAAACAAGTCGCGTCGTCGTGACGTTCGAAGCGAGCGGTCTCTCTCTCTCTCTTCTTATTACTGTTATGTCTGTGTGTTTTCTCTCAGGAAAGGGCTTCGCGTGCGTGCGTCGGCGAACACGTAAATCGGATTGTCGCAAGCGTATCACGGTAGCCGTTTTTCCTTGTTTCCCGAGGGAAAGAGAGGGTGGACGGATAAAAGAGGAGAGGAGTGGCGTGCGTGTATTTCGAAAGAAGAAGACGTGCATCATCGATGCGGGTAGCGACGAAGCCGCGCGTTGGCAACAACAACACCCCCAAAAAACATATATATATATAAAAAGGGGATCTGCGGGGACGGTCCTCTCCGGCAGTGACGACCACCGCCCTCCATGCGAGCGTAGATTGCTTCCGTTGCGGGGGGACGCACTATGAATACGGTTCATGAAATAAATTCATGGTTACGATCGACAGATGAAGACGGTTGATCGCATCAGCGCATCAACGCGAGTAGATGATATACATTTTGATGATACGGTGTGTGTGGGGGGGGGGGGGGAGGGAGAGAGGAAAGACACGCACACACACACACACACACACGTATGACGAAACGGAGAATACTAATAATAATAAAACTAATATATGTGTGTGCGTATTTATAACTCCAAGTCTAAAGAGGATAGCGTTCAGCTCCCCGCCGCCGGCGAAACCAACGCGCACGGGCACACGGGGGTACACGCGGTTGATAGCGAGAAGGAAAAAAAAAGAAAACAAACAGAAAGGAGCGGAACAGGCGGGGAAAAGGAGGCTAAATACACACAGAAACACCATCACCAACAAACAAGCAAGCAAGTAATAATAATAATAATAATAATACTCTTCATCATCTGAAGTCCCACTCGGAAAAAAGAAGAATCCCACAAACACGGAGGTCTTCACGTTAAGGGGGAGGGGGAGTACGAGTAGGGTGTGTCCCACCCTTCACTCAGCCGTGCACCCTTACACAATCCCACACACGCTCACAGTTTCGTTGAGCCCCTTCCGCCCCCTTTTTGGATGCATCTCACGCCGAGGCGTTGATGTCCTCGGGGTCGTAGAAGGTCTCGTGCAGGCTCATGGCCCGCACCGTCTCCACCGTGGTGCGAACGCTGTCCAGCAGCTGCTGCCCCCACCCAGGCGACGCGTCCGGCGAGTCCGGTGAGTCCATTGCCCGCGAGCGACGCAGAGAGCTGCTGCCGCGGCCGCAGTAGATACTGCTCGTTGTGGGCCGCACAGGGGTACTAATCAGTGGGAGTTCACCACGCAGCGCGTTCATGGACGCGTTGACAACGGCCAGCACAGAGGAGACGGAGGAGGAGGAGGCGCTGGAGAAGACACCCTCAGCGCTCTGTTCCTCCTCTTCCTCATGACTCTCCGCATTCTGATTACTACTGCTGTTATGTCCCGCGGTGGCTCGGACGCGGTCGTTCCATGGAGAGACCTCCCGAGCCGCACTGCCTTCGCGCAGCGCGTGCACCGACAAGGGATCCACGGTGATTCTGTGCGGCAACGGTGCGTCCGCTGGAGTGGCTAAATGAGGTGGTGGGGAGGGGGCTTGCGTGGCGGGCAGCGTGAAGGCGGCCCCCGCAGCGACTGCTTCCAGCGGCAAAAAGCCGCATCGTGCGACAAACGTGTCCAGTGCGGCCGCGCCAGACACGCGGCTGTAATGCGGCGGCCACTGAAGGGGCGGAAGCGGCTGTGGCGAGGCAGTGGCGTTGCACGACGGCGACATCAGCAGCACACTTGGCCGATCATTCGCGACGCCCGTCGCCGTTGACGCGTCTGCAGACCGGCTCTCGACGGCGTCGGTGGCAGGGTCCTCTCTGCTCTCCTCTCGTTTCTGCTGCTGCTGCTGCAGAGAGGACAGCAGCAGGCGTAGGAAGAGGTTTTGCTGCTCCACCTCGCCCAGCCGCCCTTGCACTGTCGCACGGATGCGGCGCTCCTCCGCAAACGCAGCGGCGAAGTTCGAGACGGGCGAAGACCACGACGGTTGTTGATGCTGCCGCTGCGGCAAAGTGGAGACCGCAGCAGATGGAACCATGGAGGGAAGCGTCGTGAGGGGCGAAGTTAACTGGAAGGATTGCTGCGACTGCGTCGGCAGCGCATCGGTCAGGGTGCTCGAAGATGGCGAGTTCATCCCCGCCAACGAGCTCGCCGACACAAAGACGGCGCTGCTGTTGAGAGTGTTGTGCAGTTGCGCGTTCGTGCTGGGGTCGGTCAGACGCTGCTGCTCATCCTCGTGCGCACGGAAACCCTCCGGCACGGATGCTAATGGAATCGTCGTACAGGTCGGCGCAGCAGTGGAGGAGCTGATCCTCTCCGTTCCTCTTCCGCCCCCCGTTAAAGTAGCGAGAAAAGCTAAGGGTGCTGACCATGAGACAGGAGTCTGCGACGACGCCGCTTGCGCCCCTGTCGCCTGCGCATCCTCCTCAGACGTCAGTGGTGGTGGGAGGGCAGGCGAGTAGGTCAGCCCGGCCACTGCCGCCGCCGCGATCAACCGCTGCTGCATCGTGCGCTGACGCTTCCTCAGCGAATACGACGGCGCAAAAAACGCCCGCACCGGCGGACTCTGCCAGTACTGCGTAAACGGAGATGACAAGGAGGTACGCAGCGACGCAGCAGCAGCAGCAGTAATGATAGTACTTTTCACCACGTCGCCGCCAGGACCTCCGCGATTTCCATCCTCCACGCCGGAGGCTGCTGCTGCTGTTGTCGTTGGTATTGTTGGGGGTGGGGAGGACGGGCGAGGAGAGAGACGCCACCACGATGAACTGTCCGACAGCTTCTCCGCGGCGCGCCCGTCGTCCAGCAGCGCGGCACCGTCGCCACCGCCGCCGCCGCCCACCACCACCCGCTCCGTATCACTTAGCGGCCCCACACTGCTGTCGCCTTCGCCACTGCACACGTCACCCGTTGGGCGCATCAGCGAGGTCGGTGCCGCTGCCGTGGCAGCAACGGTGACGCCGGGGTATCGAGCGGGCGGCTCATCTCCACTACTACCGCTACGTATAGCTCCGCTACCGCCGTCACGCGCACTCGCGAAGTGGCCGAGCTGCTCCTCCAACCACCACGTGTAGGTGGCCATCTGCTGCATCCGACTTTGCATGAGGGCGGCATCCGCAACGAGCTGGTTCATCTTCGACTCCGCCGCCAGCACCGCCGCCAAGGCAGCTTGCTGCTCCTTCTTGCAGCTCTCCACCAATGCCGCGACTGCCTTGCTGGTTTTCCCGTTCCTCGCTACGGCGTCGTCCTCCACGGCGATGCTTTCGTTCAGCTTCGCTTTGTTCTTCACCGTCTTGGACAGCTTCGCGAAGCGCAGCGTCGACATCGTCTCCGCGGCATCGCGATGATCGGGCGACACGTTGCACAGCAGGAAGGTTATCGCGTTGCCGCCGAGGCTGCTCTGCAAAAGGCGAGTGAGTTTGCTGTCGCGGTACGGGATGTGGGTCTCGATGCCCCCCGCCGTTGCGGTTGCGGCGGCCAACGACGCAGCGGAGCTTAATACGCGCATGACGTTGCCCAGTGCGGAGAGGGAGAGGTTGATGCTTTGGGCCTCGGTCAGCCGCAGACCGTGGGCGCCCGTGTGGCTCACCCGCTCAGACCCGGCCAGATCCACCAGCGTCAGCGTGGAGCGGCGGACACCGAAGACGAGCTTACCGGCACGGCTGTCTGCTGTTTTCCCGGACGCGGCGTCGTCGTGACCGCCAACCCCGCCGCTGCCGCGCCGCGACTGCTGTCGCTGCTCGACGTGAATGAAGAAGAACGTGTGGGCGCGACTGCTGTCGCTGTTCAGCTCGGTGCTGGCCATCTGCCGGTGATGCAGGGCCCGCCGCACCGCGCGCATCGCCTCGTGCAGGTCTCGAATGGGGTGCTCGCGGAGGCCTTCGATGTAGACGGCGCCCTCTGCGCTGCGCACGGCGCGACGGCGGCGTGGTGGAGGTCGGGTGACGGTGTGCGGTTTGGCTGACGTGGAACGCACACTGCTCGTGGTCGGGTATGCAAAGGATGCTGCGGCGGCAGCGGCGGTCGAGGCGTTCACGGTGGGAGACGCGGGGGGCTGTCCCTGTCGGATGACCAGCGGGCCCGCGCTGTTGTTGCTGGCGCTTCTGTTGCGACGGCGGTTCGCGACAGCCTTGTGGATGATGGTGGGGGTGCGTGGGCCGGGCCGACTCCCCGTGGGACTACCAGCACTGAGGCCGCCGTTGCTGCCTTTCACGGGCAGCTTTTGCAGCGGCGAGGGGGACTTGGAGGCGGTCGAATTGGGCAGTCGACGTGCGATGCGGGTCCTCAACGCAGTGCTTGACTTCGCTTTTGTGTTGTCGCCGCTAATGTAGTTGTTCGCCTTCAAGTCCACCACCACCACCGCGCGTTTCTTCGCGGGAGCAAGCCCCGGCGCAGCCGCTACGGCGTCACCGCCGCCACTGCCATTACTGTCGTCGCTCCTCCGCGGCGGCGATGGCGAGACGGAGGTGAGCTGGCCGATCGTCTCACGACCGCTCACGCTCCCTGGTGCGTCTGCCTCGCCGTTCGTCGTTGGGCGTGACGGTTCGGGCTCCGGACCATCTTGCACATCACGCTGCTGACGCGCGTGTTCGGCGGCAGTACTGGTCATGCCTGTCCGCTTCTCGCTGCTGCTATTGCGGCTCGTGCCTTCACTTCCGCTGTCATCGTATTCCTCTCCGTCTGCCGCTTCACTCTCATCGTCCGATGACGAGACCGCGTTGAGCACATCCAGGTCTTCCTCGTTCCAACAGTGTGTGTGGTGCGGTCTCGTCTTGCTGGTGCCTCCCTTCGTAGAGGTCAACAAACCGGGGTAGACAAGGAAGCCCGCCGACGTCGCTGCCTCTCCGCTGCGTATTGTTGCCGGGCTACCGTTCGGCAGACCCGCCCGTCTCCGCCGCTTCCCCGCCAACGCCGTCGTCGCGGTCTTCACCCCACCTTCTTCTTCTCCTTCTCCTGCTGTGTCTTCGCCATCTTCTCCTCTGTTGCTGCTTCCAACACCGTTAAGCGGTGCGTCCTCCGCCTTGTTCCTCCTCACCGCCTTTGCGGTGTTCGACGTCTGCGTAGCCCGCTTGGCGTCCACGGCGTGCGGCAGCAAATCACGCAGCTCCTCGTTGTACAGCTCCAGCGCACTGAAGGTGACCCTCCACGAGGCAGGCGGCCCGCGCGTGTCCCCGGGGCTCTCCGCGCCGTCCTTGTCGCTCTCCACGCGCTGGGCCTCCAATCCGCGGAAGAGCGCGAGAAGCATGCGCGGCAGCAAGCCGACCTCCGACGCAATCTGCACGCCCTCGCTGCACGGCTGCGCGGGGGAAGACTCGCCCTCGCCCTCCGGCGCCGGCGCGGTCTCCGACGGTGTTGACGGCCCCCGCCATCGCAGCGCCTTCTTCGCCAATCTGCCGCCGTTTGGGCCGACAATGGTGTAGGTTTTGCCGCTGCCACTCTGCCCGTAGCACATCACCGTGCCGTGGTAGCCGGCCAGCACGTGCGCCACCGCGCGCTGGCCGATGTGCTCCATCACGTCTCGTTGGGTGACGCGCTCGTCGAGGATGTGGTCGAAGAAGAAGCGAAGAGTGCGTGTGCGTTTGCCTGCCGCCGGGTCGGACTTCTCCAGGCTCGCCATGGCAGCAACAGTGCCGGCACCCGCAGAGGGTGCGAGTGCAAAAGCAGCAGTACCATTACTGCCGATGCCGCCCCCGAGAAGGCTCGCTGGTGCGGGGGTGCTGCAATCCACAAAGCCGCGCCGGGCATCTGCGTGCACGCAGCTGGCGTCGCTGTTACCGGACGCGCCAACACCACCACCACCAGCAGCAGCGGCAGCGGCGGCGGCAGAGGAAGAGGATGTTCTCCTGGATCCACACGCTTCGCTACTGCAAGGGCGTAGACGGACCGCCACAAAGATGTTGGCTTCGCCTTCCTTGAGTATCGCTGGGGCAGCTGGAGGGTCATCTTCTGCGCTTTCCTTCACTTTCTCCGTCGTGACCACGTCAGGTGCGGCAGCGGCATCAGCGACAGTTTCAGCAACAGCTTCCTGCTGAAGCAGAAAGGACGGCTGCTCTGGGGTGATGGTATTTCTCGTCCTGTTTAGACCTGTCTCGTCGTTGGACTTGGCTGGCGGACACGTGATGACCGGCGCCACCGGCATGTTGCGCTGGTGAAGCAGCTCCCGCGGGTCGGCATCCACCTGCTCCCAATCTACCCCCTCGCGAAACACGCCGAGGTCGGCAAGAAAAGTGGCGTCGCGTGGGCTTTCCAAATTGCAGAAAGACGCCTGATGACCCCCGAGGCTCAGCCACTCCACCGACACATCGCCTTGTAGGTCGATGTCACCGTTGGGGTCGTTGTCGTTCGCATTGGAAGTAGCGTGTAAAGGCAGGGCTGAGGAAAGGGATGGCAGCACTTGGTCTGCGGTCTCCTCCGTGGCGATCGCGGTGGTGGATGCCAGGACGGCGGGCGGCTTGGAGTCCACTCCGACGTTGCTTGGCTTGGCGGCCTCCGCCGTTCGTGGTGACAACGCCGATGACCACCACGACATTGCCGCGGTGACCGCCTTTTTAAGCGAAGACCGTGGCGCCGCCTGCGCGACCGCACCGCTGTTGTTGCTGCCGCTATTGGCACCACCACCGCCGGCATTCGCATGTGTGTCGTTGTCGCCGCTACTACTACTATTATTAGTGTGGTTGCTGCCGCCTGCGCTGGGGCGAGAAAGCTCACCGGAGGACAGGCGAGGCACGCGGACGGGCTCGGGCGGTGCGGGGGTGGGGAGAGACTTCGCAGCCGGCTCAGGCGCAAGACCGTGCGGTGGCTGCCACCCCGGCAGCGGCGGCGGTGACGGCGGCGAAGGCCGACCTCGTGCCCCTTTCGTGGCCAAACGACTACGAGTGAACGGAGTGCAGACGGCTGATGACGGGTTGCTGCGTTTGCTGCCGTGCGGACCCGCGCGCTTCGGCTCGCCGGGCCCCGTCCGTGGCGCGTTCTTCTTGACGGCGGGCATGGGGAACACGAAGGCGGCGAAGGGGGAGTCGTCGCGGCCGTCGCCGCCATCATCGCCGGCGTGCGTGGGCTGCGGCGTTGTCAGCAGGAGAGCGCTTGACTGCGGTCGTCGTCGTCGATTCATGCGAAGGAAAAGGCTTTGTCTTTTCCCTCGCTCTCTCTATATCCTTCACCGGGGGGCGGTGCGGCGAGGCGATGACTTTATCTGTTTTCGTGCGTGCTCGTATTTATTTCTTTTGGCTGGTTTTTACGGGGTACTCACGACGCCCGCACACGCTGCAAGCCAAAGATGACCCAGCAAAGGAAAGAAAAGAAACAGCTTCTCTACGGCAGCAACGGCAGAGTCAACGACGGGGTGTCTGAAGGCGCGGTGATGATCGGAGAGGGCGATATATAATAATAGTAATAATAATAGAATAATCAATAACTCCTCCCCTCTCCCTCCTAAATAAATGTCTTAGCAGGAGCTGTGAAGAGAAAGGCGTTGGGCGCGCGAGACAACGAGCGGGCCACGACAGAGTAATGATTCAAAAGGAAAAAGAAAATGTGATGGCACCCAGCCTCGATCAGTCAGCAGACTTTCCTCTAACACACTCACACACGCGGATCGGCAACGTGGTACTTCCCATTTATATGTGAAGAAGAACAGCTCCCAAAGAAGGAGAGAAGGAAAGAAAGTAATGCCAGGTCGAAAAAAAAAGAAGTCACCAAGAATATCCAAATAATTGAAAGGTAAATGAAGGTGGAGACACAACCGACTGGAAAAGGCGGATGAAACCACACACACACACACAACAACAACAACAACAACAACAACAACAACGAGTTGAGAAGATGAGCTGACGAGGATAGAACCCGAACTCGTGCGGAAGACCGCGGGGATGTATACAAGAAGATGAAAGAAAGAGTAAAAGATGTATACATGTGTATGTGAGCGTATGCGCAAACGTGAAACCAAAAAGACAAGGAAGATGGCACTGAAGCGGAGTAAAACACAAAAAATGGTTTACATAGAAAGAGCGGAAAAAAACAACAAAAATAACTTTCCAGATACACTCACTCACACACACACAAGGCACACAGGGTAAAGGGAAAGAAAAGAGGAAAGCAAAGAACAACGAAGGGCAAGGTCTCCCGCTCAAACGAGCCAGAGGACGATCAACAGAAAGAAAGAGAGAAGAAAAAAGAAACGGAAGGGGAGAATAGAAGAGAAGATAAATAGGAGCGGTAGCAGCCGAGCAGCAGCACAGAACAACGACGCTTTCAACAACAAAAAAAAAACCACAGGAGAGACAGGAATACAAAAAACTGCGGGAGCACACGAGGACGTCAAATGAGACCCGTTCTCCTTTTCTTTATTATTTGATTAATAACGGGTTTTTCATTCAATCTTTTATGCCGGGTGAACGTGTGTGAGCGCGTAGTTGCGTGGCTCATAACCACATGACAAATCAAGATAACACAGTACGGGTACACTGCAAGTAAAGAAAACACAATAAACAGTAATAATAATAATAAAATTAAAGAGGAGAGAAAGGGAGGGATGTAAAAGGTGTGAAAGTGGATCTCTTTCTTTTTTGTTTTCCAAACACGAAGAGATCCTTTTACCTTCCTTCTTCTTCTCCTTCGTTATGGACGCATCGGGTGCGGCAAAGATCGAAGGGCGGCGGGGGAGGTTTACGTGACCCACGTAACGGAGTTGAGCGGCGGCGGGACAACGAGAGAGAGAACGCGCGCGAGAGAGAGGGAGCTACATATATATATGTATGTACATTTCAAACTCCTCCTCCTCCTCCCTCCCTCCCCTCTCCTCCCTTTCCCTTGTTCGAGTGCGAGGGATGCCACCACAGTGTGAAAGCAACCTCGTCGCAGCTCCAGCAGTTTCACTTGCTTCTTCTTTTTCGTTTTAAAACGCTTCTTGCTGATTGTTTCGTTATTAGCTTTTACATTTTATTTAAAAAAACCAAAAGAAAGAACAGAGGGTAATTAAAACGTCCAAGCATTGGTTTACGTGGAGACGCGTTACAGCTTAACGATTGCAGTGTAGTGGCGAAGGAACAGAGAAAGAAACAGTAAAAAAGTTTCTTACGAAAGCAGTTTAACCCGGGGCGTCTCCCCTCTCCGTGTGACATAGCTGAGATTCCTTTGGTAATATGAATGAAACAAAAGCATACATATATAAATCCGCTCAAATGAACGAGGAGCAAGGGGGCGAGCACGCAAGACACCGCAGACTTTGAGCGGCGGAACCCCCCTCCAAAAAAAAACCAGAATAATCGATACTAAGAAGGACGTAAGCGTGATAAGGCAGTTTAAGACGGTCGTCAGGGAACACAACGGTTCCATTAAGGTTTTTTTTTCTCCTTTTAATTACTTTAATCAGGAAGCAGATGAAAAACGGCGACAGCATCAACAACATACGCGTAGAAGACGCCAGCAAAGATCAAACGCGTAATAATGAAAGAAAATAATAAAAAACCAGAAACGTACACGAAGTGCTGCCGTTTCGTAGTTGCCGCTTCTCTTCTTCGTGTTCAGCGAAGGGCCCTCACACGGCAGCAGCTGCCGTGGGCCGCGCCTTCTTGCCGGCCACACGCGTCTGCTCTGGATCAAATCCCTTCTCCTTCGACTTGTACGTCGCCCACGTCGGCGTGACAGCCGCGTAGTCGAGCGAGGTGAAGTCCCTGCGCCCGGACTCGATCAGCTCGTAGAACCTCTCGTAGTTGATCCAGGTGTGCCAGTGGTGGTCGAAGAAGAACTTGTCGAGCGCGATGAGCACGCAGCAGCTGTGCTCGTGCTCGCACGCAATGTGGTAGGGACGGTCACGCTCCTCTGGCGGGATCACAATCACGTCGTCCACGTCGTCCTCACGCATCACAAAATCCTCCTGCTCCTGCTTCTCCTGCTTCGGCGGTGCAGCGTGCATCTGCGGCGTGGTGTAATGCGGATTACGTCGCGCCATCTCCTCGCACAACGCCTTGCAGAAGCCGATGACCTCGTCGTGCCGTGGTACGTTGTCTTTCATGGTGAGGGTGCTGCTCGTGCTTGTGCCACAGTAGGTGACACCCTTCACCTCAATGAAGTCCGGCTGACCCATCGCGACCAAATCCGCGTAGGCCTTCACGTTGTCGGTGTTATACAGATTCACTAGCGTGAGCCGAAAGACGGTGCGCTGCGGCTTCCTCGCGAGCTCCTTCACGCAACTCAGGCAGCGGTCCCAGTAGTCTTCGAAGAGGGGGCGGTCGATCCGCTTCAGCTCATCGGGCGTCGGCGCATCAATGGACAGGTACAGCTGCACGACGGGCTTCAGGTCACGCAGCTGCTCCGGGAACTGCGCGTTTGTCACCATGAAAGACGAGATGTGGTGTGCGTGCAGCAGGTCGCAGAAGCCGTTGATCTGCGGGTACATGATCGGCTCGCCCACCAGCGAGAGGGCGCAGTGACGAATCTGCATGGCCGTCGCCAGCCGCTCCGGCGTCACCCCGGGCACCCCGCGCATCTGCTTGATCATCTGGTAGTGTCCGGCCATCCCCTGCGCGATCAGCAGCTCCGGCGGGTCCTGCTTCCAGCGGAAATGACGTGAGATGGGGTTGGTGTGGTGCCGCCAGCAGAAGACGCACTTGTTCGCGCAGGCGAGGCTCGGCGTCATCTCCATACACTGGGACGAGTTGATGTCGTAGAAGGTGTGCTTGTAGCACCCGCCGCGGCCGCGCAGCATGGACTTGGTCCAGCGGCACAGCTTCACGCCGGAGTGGCTGCCGATGAGGCGGTAGCCCTGCTTCTCGAGGTTCTGCCGCAGCTTCGGGTAGAGCAGTTCGGGCAGCTCGTTTGGGTCCTGCGTCGCATCGAAGTCTGCGTCGTCCGTGCCGTCCCACACGAGATCCTCAACATCATCCATGTCGTCGCTCTCCTGCTCTCCCACGCTGCTCGACGCGTCCTCGTCCGCGGAGCCTTCTTCTCCCTCCTCCACCTCACACTTCACCTCCACCTGACCCGCACCGCTGCCTCTGCTTCCTTGGCAGCATCCGTTGACTGATCCGTCACCGCCCTCTTCACCGCCATCACCACCACCACCGCCGCTGGCGATGTTCGCCGCCCGACACGCACACCCACCGTCTGTCGCACCCGCCGCTTTCTTCGACCTCCGCCCACGTGCGGCGATGCCCCCGCCTGCAATGGATGACGCCGCAGCATCCGTCTTCTTCCTCACCGTCACCGTGCCGTCGGCGTGGAACGTGGCGCGATTCACCCACTTCAGCAGCGCCGTCGAGAACACGCGGAAGAGCGTCTGTGTCTTGTTGTCCGTCGCGTACACCGGCGGTACCACGAAGGCCGGCGCACCGAGGCCGCGACACCACTCGTGCAGGTGCTTTGCGAAGGTGTTGAAGCGCTCCTCGCCGTAGGCGACGTCGCCGAGGCCGAAGACGGCGAAGCGCTTCTGGCTGAGGGTGTTGCGGGGGATGCGGTGGTCCTCAAACGCGTCCTTCAGCATCGCCTCAAAGGCCTGCGAGCGTGGCGGAGCCAAGCCATCCGTGTAGGTGCTCGTAATAAAGATGGTCAGGGCGTAGTGGTTGGGGTCCAACAAGGTGTCGACGCGGCACACGTTCGAGCTCTTCACGCGGCTCGCTGCGTCATCGCGCGGTGCGCCGCCGCTGCTGCCGTTGTCGTCTTCTTCCTGTTCTTCCCGCATCTCGAGCACGCGCACTTCAGGGAGCACCGCAGTAGGATCTGCATCGTCGCTGTTGCTCTGGGATGACGTGTGAAGGTGCGCGGAGAGCTGCGAGAAAAGCTTGTGGGCGAGGGCCAGCGAGTTCTGCGACTGCGACGCGTAGGCAATGAGGATGGCTGCCGGCACTTTCTTGTCCTTGGCAGCTTTGCTGACTTCAGCAGCAGCAGAAGGCGCTGACGACGCCTTCATGGGATCCGTTGACGTCTTCTTGTGGTCTTGCAACTTCGCCAGCTCCGCTTGCACCTGCTGGTCGAACGCAGCCGCATCCGCGCCGTGTGTCTTCGACGCGGCATTCGGCTCGGGCACCGTGGTGGTAGTGGTGGTGATCGTAGTAGTAGTAGTGGTAGTGGCTTTAACCCCCTCCGCAGGTCCCATTCGCGCAGCAAGGCGGTCGTAGAGCAGGAAAGCGATGAGCGGCAGTCCTAGGCTGACAAATAGCTGGAAGAGAAAAGACATCCTTTCTTCTCTGTGTATGTCGAAGCGTCAGAACAGAATACAAAGCAAACACAGAAACGCAAACAACCAACAGCCAGCAACTAAAGGTGGAAGCGTGTTTTCTTTTCCTTGCTCCTCTTCTGTATCTCCGCTCACCAGCTTGCCAATTAGCAATTCAATGTCGCGTAGGTGCAGCCCACGCACACTCCCCCCCACACACACATCGGAGTAGGAGACGAAATGCAAGGGAGGAGGAGGAGGAGGAGGGAGGGGCGTGAGAGTTGAATGGGAGGGTTGGGCCGTATCAGGCATGCACAAAACATACAGACCTGGCTTTGGCGTGGAAACCGGTTAGCACAACAGAATGTGTTCTCGCTGCTGTTCTGCGTCTCCGTTGTAGCGCACGTTTCTCCATTAAGCAGGAGTACTCCGGAAGAGGGAGCTTGAACGCGGCGCGTGGCAGAGCTCAAAAAACGCTGATTGGGGGAGGTGCGGACAGCGTGTGCGTCCGACGAGTCACTAAAAGGGAAAAAAATATATAATAGAAAGCAACGCCATCCACACCAACAACCGCAGCCGGTATGATCCACGTTGGACATTTTGCACCTGCGTTCGTGTTGCGATGCACGAAACTCAATATTCATTTTTTTAAAGCTTGTTGATGCCTACGAAAGGTAAGAAGATGAAGACCGTAGAAGCACAGCATAGAAAGAGACGAAGATAAAAACATATATATATATATAATCAAACAACGGCTACAGGACGGAGAAACGGTGAAGGAGAGTCCCAGACGCATCACAACAGAGATGCACAACGAGAGAGAGAGATAAATAAATATATAATAATAATAATAATAAAGCAGTTCCTTCCCATCCGCGACGCGTCTTCCATGCACACCGAAGAAGGTAGGAATACAAGTAAATGTATGAACATGGCAAGAGACCCTCAACGATGACATCAACGGCAACAAAGGTATTAATAATAAAAAGAATTGAGATAGAGCGTTGAAAGCACAGTGAAAACACCGAGAAAAGAGGATGAGGCAGCGACGCCGCATACTTCCTCCGCAGAGGACAACAACAGATAATCTGGCCACTGTAGCACCCCCATAGGACCCATTTACTACACATATACATTTCCCCTTCCTCTACTGATTGACACCGTTTAGGATCTGCATCGCGGCAATCAGCTGCTTCTTGGCATTTTCGTAGTCGTAAAACTGCAGTGCACTCACGGCACGACTCGCAAACTTCTGCGCGTCGATCATCTGGTCCACCGAGGGCTTAAAACCACCACCACCACCACCGCTCAAACTCGGATACGGGCTGGCAACGTTGCTGCTTTTGCTGTTGTTGCTATCGTGCAGCGTGCCCGCACTCTGCCGCTGCGCGGCTGGCCCCACCACCGCCGGCAGGCTCGGTGTGCCGCCGGTGTTGCTGCCGGGGGTGATGCGCGGGGCGGGAACGGCGCTGTTTCTGTTCAACGGTGCCTGCAGCGTCGTTGGAGGCGGGAGGGAGGAGGTGTTATGGCTGCTGAACGCGTTCGAGTCGTAGGTGTAGGCCGGCGGCGGTACATTCGTGCTATCTGCGGGCATGGGCTGCGGTGACGGAGGCGGCGGTAGCACGGGCATCCGCTCCTTCCCATCCCCCGTCGTCTTCGGCGGTGTCGCCGCGGTCGTGTTTGAGCCGGGTCGCGAGAAGCAGCTCGCCGGGACCGTGGTAAAGTTGCCGCTCGAGCCGATGTTCGCCGCCTCGGGCCCGCCCTCGACCTCCTCGATCTTGTTGGGGCTGACGTACGGTTCCTTGGCGTCGAGCGCCTTCTTCATGCGGGCCGCGATGTACTTGGCGTACTTGCACTTCTGCGCTGCGACGGCGTCCATGTTGCCGTCCGGCGTGAACTGCGCCGTCGCCTCCAAGAGCAACGCGGAGGTGTAGAAGAGTCGGACAAGCGCCATGGAGGCGTTCCCGGTGCGCTCCGCGTCATCGGCGCGTGCGAAGAGCATCAATGCGCACCGCGTGAGCGTTGTGCGACCGTCGACGCCGTCGAGTCGGGCGCCGAGCTTCGCTTTGTCGGCCTCGAGTGTTTCGAGCAGGGCCATGAGAAAGGCCGTACCGGCCTTGTCATCCTTCTTGCGCAGCTTCATGCAGAGGAACGCGACGTGGGTGCGCAGGAAGTAGGCGACGAGCGGCTCCTTGTCTTCAAACTCAGCCGAGCGCAGCAGATAGGGCCGCGCCATTGCCGCCCAGTGCTCGGGGAGCTTCTCCTGCAGAGCTACAAAGGAGGACATGATGGGATGCGTGCAGGCGTCGTTGGTGTTGACAATGAAAAAAAAAATGCGCGCTTCACCAGCTATTGTTTCTTATTTTGTTTTGGGAGAGAGAAGATTTTGTCAACGACGAACAATTGGGGTACAAATGGCGCCTGCAGCGACAACCACCGCAGCAGCAACACTAGCTGGGGAAGAACAGGCGAGGAAACGAGAAAGGGAGAGGCAGAAGGATGGAGCGTGTGGACGGCCCTCGAGCAACGGCGGTGTAGAGAAAGACGGCAGTAAAGGCGCAAAAGCTGAAGGAGAGGAGGCGTAGAAGCTTGTACCGGCTCACCCACCCACCCACATCCACGCAGTCACGTAGGTTCCGTATTGTGGCGCCGTCATCATCAAATGATGAAGAAAATAATAATAATACTAAATAGGCGGATGGATTGCGTTTACCAGAAGACGCGAATGGGTGCGGCGCACCACTCCATCGTCCTTTGAACGCAATGCACGACGCGAGACATAATCATATATATATATAAATACCAGTATTCTAAATGAGTCTTCGATACAGGTGAGGGGGGAGGGAGCAGCGATGCGGGTATTCTACGACATGAGCGTTTTTTCTTTTTGGGGGTTTTGTTGCCAGGAGCGGGGCGAGGAGGGGGCGGGGGAGGAGGCGAAGGGGGAAGGGAGGCAACCCCAGCAGGGTTGGACAACCAACGAGCTTCCTCAACGATGTATGAAGTACGACTACAACTAACAATAGAGAAACAAACCCCCAACGGCTCCACCGCCTCCCCGCCCCATCCTTCCTTCAACGTGGAAGAGGAGAAGAAGGTGGAAGAGTATGAAATCAACGATGAGGAGCAACAACACCAACAATAAAAAAGAGAACAGAGAGTGAAAGGGAAGAGAGGGGAAAAACAAAAGCCTGTGCCCGCTGTCAAGTCAGAAAAGTTGGAGGCAACGCGCGTGGAGAGCACACGGACGCGTGCATCTTCATCCAACATAAATTCGCCTCCTACAACGACTTGTTAGCCTCCGGTAGTGATACAAAAGGAGATTAATAGTGGTGATCATCGCACGGTGCACCTTTGGAGAGAAAAATATAAAAATCAAAAAGAACAAGGAGGAAGAAGACAGCTGATGCGCAAGTAAGAGAGCGGCAGGCACGAGGAGAGCCAGCGCTGCGTGAATGGAGGAGGGAGGGGGGCGAGTATAAGAGGAGTTTCACGTACCTACTTAGTTTTTCTTTTTGCTTGTCTCTTCTCACTTGGCATCATGAACGATGAACGCAAACAACAACAAAAGCAACGGCAACAGCTAGCCGTTTTCTACGCAGCAACCAAGAGAGAGGGAAAAGGAAAAGTGGAAAGAAGAATTCGCCAATGCGGCAACAATGAAGAAGAAAAGAAAATATATATATGATAATGATTAATAGAGAACACAGGGAACGATCGAGTCGCTCGCTCACCCCGCCTTCGCGGCCGCTCCAGAGCGCGCTGCCTGGTCAAAATTTCGCACCGTGTTCAGTTCCTTCTCCACCCGATCTAAGTCTCCCAGCACGCGACTCATGCGCGCATTCAACTGGGTGTACCGCCGCTCATTACCCCACTCCTTGTTGCGCACCGTCGCGATGGTCACCTCCATCTGCATCTTCTCCAGCTGGTTGTGCAGCGCGGTGCGCTCGGCCAGAAGCTGTTCTTCTACTGCCGTCAGCGGCACCTGCTGCTGCTGCTGCGATGGCTGTTGCGCGAGACCGGCATTGCCGGGGCCCGCCATCGCGTTGGTCCTACCGCGCCCCGCCCGCGCTGCGGAACCCGACGTGATGGCTAAAACGTTCCCCGCGCCGTCAATACGCGCGCAGGGGCCGTTGTGGATCTCCGACAACTCCTCCTCTTTCCGCTGCCGCAGCTCCGAGTCTTCGCGGTCCATGTACCGCCGCGCCTTCGGGCTGTCCGCACGTACCGGCGGGCGACCGAGCGAGGCGCGGCGCCGACGGTGGAAGACCGCCTCTTCGCTTTGCGAGCTGTCGTAAGCGCGCGGCGTCGTGCGACGCGGAACAGCGGTGCGAAGGGGGCGGTGCGCGCCAGGGACCTGCGGCGGTGGCGCCGCTGACGCCTCCGCAGCCGACGACGCGAGCAATGACGACGACGATCGTGACCGTTGCTGCTGTTGCTGCTGCGATTGGGGTTGTGCCGGGTGAGGAGAGGGGACAGCAGCGGCGGCCGAAGACAAATCGCGCGTGCTGTCGTGCTGCGGTGCTCGGCTTGGGGTGTGGACGAGGCCGACGCTGCCGACCTGCGACGCGTCCATTTGCGACGGCGGCGGCGGTGCAGCGGTGGTGGGACCGGCGTTCCGCTGACGTTGTGCCGGCGGGACAGCAGCAGCAGCAGCTGGCGTTGTTGTTGTGGCTGCGACCGGTGCGGCGGCGGTGCTGCCGTGCTGAGAGGGGGTCGCGAACGACGCGGAAGGGGCAGAAGAAGAGGCGATTGCCGATGACCGTTGTTGCTGTAGTTGATCTTGTTGCGGAGGCGGAGTGCGGTGTGACCGCTGCGACGCGGAGTGCGGAGACGCCGAGCGTTGCGAGCGGCCGCTCTTGGCCTCCTTCTCCTCCGTCATGTGTGGGGGTACGACGGAGCTGTGGCTGCTTTCACTCTCGGCCGCCGCCGAGGACCCACGCCGGCGCGGAATGGCACCGACACCGACGGCATCATCATCATTGTCGTTGTTAACGTCCTCATTACCTGCGGAAACGGAACGTGGAGCCGTGGAAGCGAGACCGGTGCGCGCGGACGAGGTTGCATCACGCGGTCGTCGCTGCTGCTGCTGCTGCGGCGGTGGTGGGTTGCGTGAACGCTGTGATTCGTTTAGGATGGGCTGCGACGTGGGCGCGGTGTGGCTCGACGTCGGTGCTGGCTGGCGTGCGCGTGGTGGTGCGGCGGCGGCGGGTGTGGGCGGAAGGGCAGCGTTGCCCTCCCTGCCGTTGTTGCTCGGGTTCGTCCACGGTGCCTGCATGAGCTGCGCGATGCGTTGATAGTGGTGGCAGGCCCGCGTGGGCGGACTCCGCTGCTGCTGTCGTGGCTGCGGCTGCTGCTTCTCCACAGAGGCGGATGGTGCACCCTGCTGCGAGGGGGCCGGGGTATTGCTGTTGCTGCCGAAGTGCGAAGTCGGGCCCTGCGACGGCTCTCGTTGCGACTGATCCGCTCCCACTTCTTGTTGCTGCGGTGCGTCGTGCTTTGAAGCGGCACGTGGGGGTGCTGACTGCGGGGTGCCCGACCGCGTCGAAGTGTTGTCCGTCGGCTGGCCGGGATAGGCCACCCGCGACCCCGTCTTAGCTAGCTGCGTGGGGCTCACGTCCGGCACGTGCGCCGCGGCACCGCGAGGGCCGGTGGACTTCGCCGTCGGCTGGGGTTTCGTCCTCGCTTTATCAGGCACGGCGTTCGCAGGCGCTTCGCCTCCTCGACGGCCGCAGCTGTCGCCGCGCGCCGACGATCGAACAGAGCTGCCTTCCCGGGAAGGGTCATCGTTGTCGTTGCCGCGGACCTTCTCGTCAGCCGACTTCGGTGTGTCTTGTCCTTGCGCCTTCGTCAACGCACGAGGCACCGAGGACGCTTCCGAGGGCGTGGCAGACGTCGTGCGAGAGGCATCCTTCTGCGCTGATAGCGGAGGAGAACGTTGCTGTTGCTGTCGCTGCTGTGAAGGTGGTGGCGTCAGCGAACGGCTCGGTGTGGGCGAGGGAAGAGAAGGTGTGCGCGCCGCTCCTCGGTGGCTACTCACCTTGCTATCGGGCTCGGCACCCCGCCCGTCCGCGCTCTTGCCGCCGTCTTTGTCATCGTCATTGTTGTTGAAGGGCTGCAAGTGCAGTGCACACTGGTCCAGCACATCGTTGATGTCACGCATCAGTTCCCTCACCTCACCCGGGCTGATGTGCACACAGCCAGATCCCGGTGGCTGCTGCCATTGCTCCAATTGGGCGTAAATATTCTCGAGGGCGTTGCGGTGGGATTCGTAGGCGATGATGCTCGTGTCCAGCAGCGACTCAAGCCACGCAATCTTCCGTGCCTGCTGCTGTGCGGCAGCCATGATTCGATTTCTTTTTTACAATTCTTTTAATAAAAATAAATAGTTAATATGAGAGAGAGAGAAATAAAAGGACACTCGCACGCAGCGCACGAGCTTCCAATTCGATTCGACTGCTTCCTTTGCTATTCTTTATATATGTGTGTAGGTGTGTGTGTGTGGACTATTCGCCGTTCCTCTGTCTTTTGTTGTTGCTGCTGCGCTCTTCGCAGAAACAGTGAGAAAGAGGGGAGAAATAATAACAGTAAGATCGATATATATATATATATATATATATATATGCAACGGTGGGTGAAGGCGGTGGAGTACGTTTTGCAGCGGTGCTTTTCGAGGTGGAACACACCGCGTCAATGCGACACGACCAACCCGGACAGAAGAATAATATCAACAATACAACTACTAATAACAACAGCACTCAATGCAACATATAAAGAAAGTGGGGGAGGCGGCGGCGGAGAAGAAAGGGAACAGAGAGGAGAGCGTGTTTACGCAGGACCAAAAAGAATCGAGAGAGAGAGAGAGACGCCCAGACACACACAGCGCGGCGCGATGTGGCACTCAACTCGGAATGGCCGCACCGTCGCTTCACGCTACGGCAGCTTCGCTTTTCTTTTTCTTTTTAAACCTCCTCATCCAAAGCGGAGATGCTGTAGCGGTAGAAGATCCATAACCATACCAGCAACGGTTGGTATCGCTGCACTACGTGTTTCTTGTCACACTGGTATTATTAACTATTTTTTCTTCTTCAAGTCACGTCATTTCAATCGATTCACAGAGAGGCGGAACGACACTCACACATACACACACACACACACACACACACACACTTACCAGCAAGAAAGTCGTACCTTTGAGATACGTAAGCAAGAAGAAAAAGACAATAGAAAACACACTAAAGGCAGTAGTTAGCCATATATATATGAAAGAAAAACCCTTCAGCAAAGCAGCAAGTCACCGTACGTAGATCACGAAAGTCCAACTTCAACAACAACAGCTTCGACAGCCAGGAAAGGACATCGGCGGCGTCAACGCGTGCAGTACGCGCATCCGCATCCGCGTCAGCATATTTTTTTTTTTTTGCGGTTGCTGCTGTGGCGCTTCCATGGGCAGATCAACAAGTCCCACACCGGGTGCGCACCACACACCCACACCCACACGTACTTCAGCAACAACAAAAAGACTTTACGTGAAGCCAAGAAAAGAAAAGAAAAAGGAGACAAATATATCTTTTGCCGCCATTTTGGTGTCCACCGGGCACACCACTTGCTTCATGCGCTCGCGGCAACGCAGCAACGTGTGAGGGACGAAAAGGTAGAAACGAAAAGAAGAAGCAAAGCAAAGCAGAAGAGAAGTTCTTTTCGTATTATTTCGGTGGGACGTGGGGCAGCACCGCAGTCCGCATACTTTAACAGCAACAACAACAACGAGGCTTTTTTCTCTATATACCTTCTAGCACATCCTCCTCAACAAGCAAGACACACACACACACAACAAAGGTAGAAATGGAGAAGTGGGAGGTGGGTGCCCGCCGCTGAGCAGCAAATAACAGCAACAGAATTGGTTTTGTTTTCCTTTTAAAACTACTCCTCACCGTTTTACTATTTCGTTTTTTTTTTTTTGGGGGGGGGGAAGGGATTAAAGACGCTCAACACCCTAACATTGCGGGGCCGCATCAACGCAGCGGCAACACCGATCAAATAGTAATAGTAATAATAATAAAAGAGAAGGGAACTCAAGAAAAGATAGTACACCAGGGACAGCTCAGCTGCGGAAGAAACCACAACGGCTACTCCACAAACACAACATACTCACGCGATCGAGAGTGACAGTCGGAAGCATATATATATTTCCCCATCTCTGAAGCGATAAGAATCATCTGGAAAGGCAGGGGGAGAGAGAGACACGAGCGATGCGACAACAACAACAAGGAGCAGCATTAAAACGATGCACTGAAGCTGAAATCCCCACCACCCGCGAGCTCACGCAGGGCGAGCACGAACCCAATGTTTGGGTTGACATCTGACTTCTGCTTCTTCACCGCGTCGAAGGCTTCGCGGAAGGTCATGGCAGGCGCAAGATCCCCGCTGAGCATGCTGTGCGAGCTTGTCACGCTGCTGCTGTCGCAGCTCCCGCGGAGCAGCGTGCCATGGCGAATACCATTAGTATTGTTGTTGTTGCTGCTGCTGCTGTTGCTCGTCTTGGCGGGGGCGACTTTGTATCGTTGAAGACCCGCCGAGGCTCTGCTGCCGCTCGTCATGCTCGGGAAATCACCGTAGTGCGGCGTGCCGGTGGGGCTCTGCCGCGTCCCATCAAGCTGCGGCGCCGCTGACTGGCAACCGCCAACGTACTTCCTCGCTGCGTCGTCTTGCCCTTCTTCTTCGCGGTCCTCCTGCGCCGCAGCCACGGCAGAGGTATTGCTCACGGAAAACGCGCTCCGCAGCGGCGTTGCGTCCGGCGCAGTCACACACGGTGCCGCACGGCGCTCTTCATCAGCGTTTTCATCTTCATCTTTCCCTCCTTCCTCCGCCGTCGTGCTCGCCGCATTGTTTTCCATTTCCTCCGGCTCCTGTCTGTTCTCCACGTCGTCGTCTGCCAGGGCTGCCTCGAGAAGCGTCTGACCCACCCCGTAGCTGCCACGCGCACCTCGGTAGGACACCACCGGAGCAGAAGACGGAGTGGGGCGCAGCGCCAAACGCTGGCGTTGCTGCTCGTGCTCTTCGAAAGAACACCGCTGCGTCATTGTGTCGCAGAAGCGGCACCCGCTGCTACGGTTGTTGGTGTTGCGGCTCACACTGATGCTGCTCAGCAAATCATCCCCGCAGTCCACGCAACGTCGGCCATCTTCCGCGAGACTCGACGCAGAGAGGCGGTTCCGATCAGCGGATGCCAGTTGCTGCTGCTGCTGCTCATTGCGCGTGCGGGTGATGGCAGCGAGCGCCATTACCTGCTCCTCTTCCTCCTGCTCCTGTTCTCGCCGCTGCTGCTGCTGCTGCTGTCCGTTGATGCGCAGGTTCTTCACCTGCTGCTGCAGCCGCCGTTCGCGCATTCGTTGAAGGTAGCACGGGCGGCACACACGCGAGCATATTTCAAGCGGGGTCAGCGGCGTATATAGGCGCAGCATCGACGAGGAGGTCGTGCTGCGTGGGGATGCGGCGCCGAAGCCGCCCTGACACAACGGCGAGTTGATTGGAATGATGGCGGAGCGGCGGTTCACGGCGAAGGGGGCGAAGGCGGAGTTCGAGGTGGTGTACCCGGACAGCGGGGACGGTTGCGGAGTGCCATTTCCGTTGCTACTACTACTAATAATAATATTATTGTTGCTGTTGAGGCTGCTGTTGCGTTGGGCGTACCGCGCTGCAAAGCCGCTCACCGGTCGCCGCACCCCGAACGACGTGCTCGCTGGGGAAGTGACCGCCGCAGCAGCCGCAACAGCAGCGTCTCCGTTTCCACTCCCCGTAGGACTCGACACGGACGCACTCACTCGGCTGTTGTTGTCACCGCCGCCGCTGCTGCTACTGTTGATCTGCGTCAGCGAGGTGGTGTTGCGGCGCGGCGCGTTGTTGTTGCTCGTGCTGGGCGCCTGCCCCGTCGCGGCGGATGCCCCGTTCGCATCGTACCCAAAGAATGCCCGTCCACCCGTCTCCTCCACCACCCGCTTTTCGCGCTCCAGGAAACCTACAAACAGCGACGCCGTGTCCTCGAGGTTCGCCAGCGTGTAGCCGTACAGGATGAGATAGGCCATCACAAAGGCGGCACTGCGACTCACACCCATGCGGCAGTGCACCAAGATACCCCCGCAGTCCCGCGGGTCCACCACCGTCAGCGGTGCAGCCGCGCTACTCGACCCATTCACCCCGCCGCCCAGACACGCGCTGTTGCTACTGCGATGAATGTTGTGATTGCTTCTGTTGTAGTGGTCAGCAGCGTTGATGTTCTCGGTGTCGTCTGCGCCGAAGGCGGGCACGGTGGTGAGGCCGGTCGCCGCCGGCCCTCTCACCTGTGCGCTCGTCAGCAGATCAACCGAGCCGGTCGGCGTCGCAGCGGCGGCAACGGCACTCCCGGCTGAGACCCCAGGGAAGGTCGCCGTGCGGCCCGGCAGCGGCGACGGCGAACCGGAGGTGCAGAGGCTCGTGCTCCCTTCACTGTTGCGGCCGCCCCACGCCCCCGTAGCAGCTGCGGCGGTGGATGCCGGTGATGGGGAGCGAGGCGTCTCGCGCTTACCCTCCTTTAGCGACGGCTGCCCACCGACAGAGAGGGGCGGGGAGGCGGGCGATGTTGGCACGGCCCAGACGTTGTCCGCTTCGTCAGCCCAGGTCCACCGCATGCGGTCGTGCAACGCGCCATGCGTGTCGTAGGCGTCGGCCTCGTTGGCGCCGCCTCCGCCGGCTCTTTTATCTTCTTCATCAGCCAGTGAGTAAGATGCCGCCGCTGTGCCCGTAAAGCCGTACGTCGCCGCGTAGCACATCTTCGCGTCGCGCACGCCGTCGTCGTGCACCGCCTCCTCCTCCTCCTTTTCGCCGCTTTTACCAACAGGACGTAGCAGGCGGGTGTGGGCAGCATGAACGGCAGTAGAGGGCGTCGCTGCCGTCATCGTCGCCGTCGTCGTCCGTTGCTGGTTTATCTGACGTCGGTGCAGCTGCTCGTGGATAAGCTGCGTGACAGGGGCGAAGAACGACGCGATGGCCTCATCGGAGTGGTCGCGCAGGGGAAACTGTACGTAGCGGACGTGCTGCGTGTTGCTCGCCATGGCCGACGTCACCGCGCACTCGAGGGCGCAGTTGATGACAAGCGAAATGTCATGCGCGGCCAGCGCCGTCGTGTCGGTGGAGTCTGCGTAGGAGCCGAGAAACAGCCCAGGAAAGATCTCTGCCGCGCTGAAGAAGGACGTGGCGGCAGCGGGGGAGCTGACCTTGTGCGTGCAGCTGCCGTTGGCGGTGGCGGCGGCGGCGGTGACGAGAGGCGGGGTACCGCCGCCAGCACGGTGATAATGGGGAAGGCCATCTGTTGTGCTCTTGAGCGTGGCTTCAATTCGTGGTGACTGCTGCCGCTGCTGCTGCTGAGGCTGCTGCTTCTGCAGCGTCGGCTCGATCGGTGTGTCAGACGTCGACGGTGTAGCGGAGGAAGCCAGCGCTGTCGTGGTCGCTATTGGCAGCAGATGAAGTCTTGCGGCTGCCCTGGCAGCCACGGCGGAACCGGTATGCTTCATCGTGGAGCTCGTTTTGCATCGACTCAGTTCTTCTTGGATTATCGCGGACTGCTGCCGCTGCGCCGTTGCCGTGGGAGCAGCACCGGCAGAGACGGAGAGAGACGCAGCGTGGTCGGTGGCTGCTGCTGTTGCTGTGTGGGCGTCGTCACCGCCGTTGGTGTTGTTGTCGGTGCCAGCTTGGTGCGGTGTGTGTGGGTGTGCCGGTGTGGACGTGGTGGGCGATGGCGGACGAGGCGCAGCGGCTGCACCGTCGTCGGGGTTCGCCTGCGCCGCCGCTGCCGCCTGCTGCTCGTGTCGTTGCGACAGCCACGTCGCCGCCTCCTCTTCATCGGAGTCGGGGCTGGGCCGGTGCTGATCCGGGAGCTGCAGAAACAAGTTCGTCGGGTGATGCCGGTGGCGGGATGGCGGGATGGGCGGCATCATCGGTTGGTGTTGAGCGTGTTCGCTTGCGTGCGGCGACGCCGACGCCGCTGCTGTTTTGCTGGCTGCCGCCCCCGCCCCTTCGCCGTCGCTTTCGCCTTCTTCATCCTTCACGTCTCCTCCGTCAGCGTCGTCCTCGTCCTCGAGCTGCGGAGTCGACGGCGAGTCCTTCCCCGGTGCGCGCGACACACTCCCGTTCGCGGAAAGCGCGGTGCCGTACGACAGGTTCGTGCACGTCAGCGGCGTCTGCGGCACGCTCGGGAAGCCACAGGAGCTGGCGCAGTACCCTCTAGTCGAGTAGCTGCTCTGCACGTGGCTCTCCGTGAACAGCGCGGGCGAACCAACCGCCGTCGCGGGGGTGTGCGTCGTGCTGCGGGTGGTGGTCGTGCTGCCGACAGAGGCGGTCCCGCTGCCGCCGCCGACGCGCCGGCGGTAGTTTCCAAAGCCAACGCGCGACTGCGGTAGACGCTTGCCGTGCAGGCCGGAGGCAGAGGAGGCGCAGGCGACCGCCGCGTAGGTCAGCGGGGTGTCCTTCGATTGCTGCTTCTGCGGCGAAGACCGTGACGTTGATGTCGACGCGGTCGGGGAGACGGCCGTCGCGGCGGTGCCCGCGCGTGTGCATCCGCAGTTCGGCAAGGTGTGGACCGCGGAGACAGCGGCCGTTGTGGCGGTCGTTGTGGCGGGGGAGCGGTGCACCGCCTCCGGTGATGATCCGCGATGATCAGACGAGGACGCCGAAGCAGACGCGGCGGAGTGCGTGGCGTCGCAGGTGCTACAGGCGCTCCTCGACGCACTAAGTGGATCGGTGCTGCCGTTGCGCAAGACCATGTCGGTGGTGGCGGTGGTGATCGTTGTTGATGCTGCGGCACCAGGCGACGCAGAGGGGGTGGTGGTGGTATCTCCGCCGGCTCTGCCGTGACTCTCGCCCCTCCTCCCCTTCACGGTGGCGCTGCATCTCGTCTTGCCGCGAGCCACGGCGACCGGGTTCGTCGCGCCGTCGGTGCGCGACGGCCACGACGACGACAACGGGGAAGCCGCGTTCATCGACGAAGGCGACAGTTGCGCGGGCGAGACGACCAGCGCTGTCGCGGGTGGTGGGCCGTAGTAGGTCACGTGCCCGCCTGCCATGACCGGCGAGGCACGCTTCGTCCGCGACGGATGCGGCGCGACGGCGGCGGCGGAGGACGTAGTCGGCCGTTGCTGCTGCTGCTGTCTCTGACGCGAGCTGGTCGTGTAGTCGCGGGAGCTTGCGGAGCGTGGGCCGTGGTCGTTGCTTTTACGACCGCACTTACCGCCCCTGCACGCGGAGGCCGTCATGGCACGCTGCGAGGCGTCATGGGGAGCGCGCTGCCATGTATCGCTGCGCTGCCGCCGTGCTTGTGGACGGCGGTGACGTTCATGCGGAGAGGACGAAGAGTGGACGCGAAGTCCACAAGCGTCATCGTCGACCGCCGCCACCGCCGCATCCTCGTCGCCGTCCGCCGGCATGCCGCGCGGGCTACGCGCGTCCTCCGCGGGACTAGACCAGGATGAGGAGCCGCATGAGTAGGGAGACCCGCCAGACCCGTCGTAGGGGCCGGCGCCGTCGTCCCTGCCGCGGAGCTGCAGAATTTGTTTGGAGGCTGGGCGTACGAGGCGGCGTCGCGACTGACGCGTGCGCGTGGGCATCAGTTTTCCACTATTTAACCTCTTCTATTATACCAACAGATGCTTTAAAAAAGAAAAAAGAAAGAAGAGAAAAACCAATAAAACTAGTCAACGGTCAACGCAGGGAAAGATGAGTACACAGCAGCGACAACACCAACAATCACAAACAAGACAGGCGGAGTGTAACGGGAGTTATGAATTCGGAGATGTGACAGTCGGTGTCCTGTGTGTGGGGGAGAGGGTACGTTATTCCTACCACGGAGTACGCACCATCCAGGCGATGCAGTGTCCTTATGCGGCTGCGTCGCGGATCTGAATACAACCCACGCTGTGCTTTCCCTCTGTTTTCCCGGTAGTCTTCTCTGTCAAACAGCGACAGCTCAGAGAAAGATAAAATAATAGTACTAATGAAATGCTGCGCAGAGATCACTTCGTTGACTGCACTGATCAACAACTACAGCAGCAAACAAGCTACGTGTGTGTGTGTGTGTGTGTGTGTGTGTGTGCGTGCGTGTGAGTTGCAGTGTTTGTTTTCAAAAATAGAAGAATGGCAGCAATTGTAGAAACAATAACAATAATAATAAAGAAAAAGTGATTTGTGCAAGCAGCTTTAGGCGCTCTCCCGCCGTGAAGGGAAAGAAGAGCAAAACGTGTTTTTAATAGAAAACAACAACAACAGCAACAAAGTCAGCAGGACGTCAACTCTTGTGTGACTTGGGTGAAATTTGTTTTCTCTCTGAATCAAGAAAGGCAGATGTGGGGAAAATAATAATAATAAGGAAAGTAAAAACAACGTAATGAAAAAGGAGGCTACCAGAAAAAAAAAAGCCAAAGAGAATATATTAAACTGTTTTCTTTTAGGACCACCACCGTGTTGATGGAGTGTGTGAGCGACTGGCGTAGATCCGAACACACACCAGGGCAACGACGACGCGGACAACCAACAATGTAGGAAGTACAAAAGAAAAATATGGAATCAACAACAACAAAAGAACCAACGTAAGCAGCGGCAGAGCTGATCTTCGCCTCAGCAGTTTTTCAGCGTCCTGAGAAATTGGGTGTACTTGAGCCACACACACGCACACAACGGCAAAACAGATTAGTAAAAGAGATGGCAATGATAGAAAGTTTTGGCCTTCTTAAGTAAACCAACCAACCAAACGAAAAAAAGCCAGTCAGCAGCAGCAACAATAGTTACAGTAGGCTACCAGACCAGAAACAAGAAAGAAGAGCAAGAACAAGATAAACAACAACAACAACACGAGAAACAGAAAAAGGAAGAGTCACCGATAGCTTCTGCAGTGATACTTTCCTGCTTTTTTCCGCTTTCTTTCTCCAAAAGAGAAAAAAGAAACTGAGTTCTCCACGGCTTGGCGAAAGCAATACAAGTGTGTGTGTGTAGGCGTCTGTGTTTATATGCTTGTCGCTTCGAGCACACACGACGCTGCTGGAGAAGAACAGTAAAAAAAAAAAAATCAATTAAAGAAAAACGAACCAGAAACAAACAAACAAAAGGATTGAGATGAAAAAGCGAAACAGAACGAAGTAAGAAGAAAAAGAAGAAGAACGTACGACAGCTAACGTGAATACTGTCCCTTGATATACTCTCCAAGTAGTAGCCCGGCAAGTGTGCGTGCCGCCTTGCGTCCTCGATGCTCGCTGCCGACAGCAACAACAACAACAAAAAGAGAAGGCGGCAATCAACAGCAAGGAAGAGCCGGACGAAAAACCAACAGCAAAGAAACGTGCGAGTCAATAAGAGTGGCGCTTGCAGAGATCGACAATATAGACGAGTATAAACTTGTTCCTTGAAAAAAAGAAGAAAAACCTATCAACACAACCAACTAACCAAACACACAGTTTTCTATGCTTCTTCCCCACCTATTTCTTAAATAAAGCGCGCAAGGACGCTTTCGGAGAGCCTTTTTTTTCTTCTTCTTTCTTTCTTTTGTTAAGGGAGAGGAAAACCGAAAAGAGAATAAACCAAAAGAGAATATTTTAGAATGCCGAGAGACAGCAAAGAAGGAGAACAAAAGGATAGTGCTAATGAAGCGATAATACTAAATGGACAAACAACAACAGTAACAGAAAGAAAAGAACGAAGAAATAAAGAAAGAAAGCAGCAGCAGAGAGGTGGCACGTCAGGAGAACAGCGAAGGTGGTGCGCGTTCGCGCCGTTCACAACGCGAGAGAGAAGAGGAAAGGGAAAAGGCGAAGGCGGTTGCTATATTTTCGCTTACGGGTTGTTTCTGATTTCTCTTTTTTCTTTTTTTTTTCCTTTTAGGCTTGAAACTTTTTGAAGTACTGCTCGCTGCGACGGAATGGATGCGACAGACACACGGTTGTACACACAGTAATGGCGGCGGGTTTGTGAATGCGCGAAGAAACAGGAGGCAGGAGGTGAGAGACAGATGTCAAGTACAATAGAAGACAAGAAGAGCTTCATCGTGGCATCCGCGCCCATTCGCTGAGGAAGGAGGAGATGCGTGAGTTTGTGTGTGTGACGAAACACAGCAATAATGGAGCTTTCCTGTCGTCCCTTCATAGCTTTTTTTAAAATATTTGGGGTCGCAAAGCATCGGGCGGTTACCAGCAGAAGAGAGCAAGGAAAGACGCGGCCGGCACCATCTGCGGGCTGCTGCTGTGCTGGCCGCTTCGTCTTCGAAGCCCTCCCCCGCCCGCCCGCCGCCAACATCCGCGTTGCGCGTGACGTGGCAAGAGAGGGAGCGAGTGCGAGGCAGGGGATGCACCAGAGCGGCAACATCTCTCCCCAACCCCCCAACCCCCCTTTCCGCCTCGTCTCACTGATCACGCTGTCCGAGTGAAGTGAACCACCCCGCTCCAGACACAGCAGGACCCAACACAACACAGAAAGCGACGTCGCGTCGTCCATTAAGTTCAACGGATGTATAAAAATTATTATTATTATTATTTTTTTTAAAGGCAGAATTTGATCCGACATACAGGAGAAGTAAAACAGTAACAGAGAGTTAGAAAAGAAAAGAGAAAGGGCAGTAACGCAAAACAAAGTAATAAACCGACCACGACGACTACCGCAAAAGAAATCACAGATTTAAACAACCAACCAACCCACGAACACAGCGACCATCACCAGAAGCAGCAACGGTAAAGTCATAAAGAAAAAGAAGGGGAAAACAAAACACACCATAATAATAATAATAATAATAATAATAATAATAATAATAATAATAATAATAACAAAGGAAAGAGAGAGAGATGGAGGGCGAGAAAGATTATTAGCGTTGGACACGGCAGCGGAGTCAAAAGAAGAAGAGGAAGAATAAAACAAGCACACACACAAACAAACAGAAGAAGACCTTCAAAATCAAACAACAACAAAGAGAGTGAAAATACGAAGAAAGATCAAGGTTGCTACACAGCCACCCACACCCCCACACTACGCAAGGACGGGTGAGAACAACAAAGTAATAGTTTACACGGGGTTTTAGCGTAGTAAGAAAACTGAAAAGGGTCAAGAGAGAGAGAGAGAGAGAGAGATAGAAGAAAAGAAAGAAAATAATAAAGTAGATGTAAACAACACGCGCAACGAAAGGAGCATATCTTTTCCCTTTCCTTCTCATTTTTTCTGAACACCTCTCTCTCTCTTCGTCTTCTGTGTGGGTGTTTCTCTTCGCTGTTTTACCTCCGAATTCTTAAGTTTGTTATATTTATTTAAAGTAGGAAGAAGACGTTGCGCTGAAGGAGAGAAAAAAAGAAGAAGAACAAGCTCCATTGAGCTCACTGCACACAGGCAGAACATATAACGACTCGAACCTGTTCGCCGTTCGCCTCGGAGACGAGTCTCCGATAAATAAACAACAAATACTCCAACACGAAAGGAAGAACGTTCACATGCAGAAGATGAAATAAAAATAAAAATCTAGAAAACGCGCGGAGCGTGTGTGTGTGTGCGCGCGCGCAAAAACGAGACGCGAAGAAGCAACACCGCCTGCCTTCAACCGTCGCGCGTTGCGGCTTCTTCACTGAGCCTTTCGCTTCCTCTTGATTCTTCACCATCAATATAACTGTGTTTTTCCCTTTTCCTTTTAGCATTGTGTCGCTTCGTGCTTTTATTTGTTTTCGAAGATCATCTGTCACCCCCTCCCACAGAGTGCCGCTTTCAGTGTTCAACAGTGGAATTTTTCTTCCTTCTATTTTTCTTTTTAAAAGGGGAGGAGTTATATTACTCGAGTTAAGTTGAACGCGGGAACAGCACCAATCAACGACGATACATATAAATAGAAGGATAATAAGGCGAGTTCAAATCGCACGCACCCGCGCAGAGAGAAGAGGGAGGGGGGCGAGGGCGAAGACACCATGACAACTACAGCAACACTATTTCGTATCAGCGGCCTACACCTTTCTCTCTTTTCTTTTTTGAAAATAATTTTTTTTCCTAATAACAGCTGAAGAAGGTCTTTCCTTTTTTCAGAGATACCGTGTGTGTGTGTGAGAGAGGTTTTTCCTTCTCCTTTTAAAACAATCGCTCTTACGTTTCCGCGGACGCGATGAGAGTGGAAGAGAAAAACAAACAGAAAAAAGGCAACGGTAAAAGGAAAAAACACTTCAGGCGCCTTCTCGGAAAGGAGGGGCACGCGTGGCCGACATTGGGCACCCGCTATATATATTCACACACACATATTCGCTGTACAACATCCTCCCTCCCACAACGATGCAGCCGCATCGCGTGATGGGTGATTAAATGCAGTATATATATATAGAAGGAGAAGGAGTTAAGGAGAGAGCATTGTGTTCCCTTAAAATATATATAATCATATCGCGTTTCACTTTCTTTGGTGTGTGCAAGACTACGCGTGTGTGTTGGGGAGGCTGAAAGCGACGGCGTACCTCCCTTGAGAGCGCGCGAGAGAGAGAGCACCAAATACAGCTGGTGAGGAAACGAAAAGAAGAGGAGGAGGAGAACCGCCCCCCCCCCCCCAACGACAACAATACGGAGTTGACACAACGTGGAAACCCAACATCCAGCAAACAACAACAATAAGAAAAGGACTGGGTATGTAAACCAAAAAAAAAATGGTGGTCCTGCGCGCACGTCCTGCACCACAGATTAGCCGGACTAGACCCCCCACCTTCGTTTTCGCCATTCCGTAATGTCACCTTCCCTCCTCGCTTCCCCTCGACCGCGTTGATGAAACGAGAATAACAGTAATAGTAATGGTAATACTAATAAAACGGGATACGCACATCTTTTTTTAAGGGAGCACAAGGTAAGCTAATAATCAGTAAACAGACAAATAACAGCAGCAACAACAAAAGCTGTTCCAGCACACACACACACACACACTGACGCCTTCTGTGCTCATTCTTCCTGCTGTTGTCTCTGGCGATGCAATCTGCCCTCCGTGTATATGATACAGCAGATCAATCGATGGGGCACGAGCACAGCCTCTTGGCAATTTCTCTCTCTCTCCTCCCCTCCCCTTTTCAAAAAGAAAAAAAAGGAGGCGGTGAGAAGAGGCGACAGCGGTGAGTGGCACTTGAAAAAAAGAAGAAGAAAGAAAACAGATAATAAACAAAGAAAGAACGCGAACACACGTCAACGAACACGCAGTTTCAGCTGGCATGAGGAAATGCACGGAAGCTCCCCGGAAAAAGACATCAACGTCAACAATTTTAAAGGAAGAGAAAGAGGCTGAAATCATCATTTAAACACAAAGGAAAGAAAGGGAAACATCATATAATTAATAATAATAAAACAATTTAATGCAGAATATCCTGACGAGTGCGTAGAGATGCACGCGCAGCCGACACGCGCACAAGAACAACAACAACAAACGTGTGAAGAGAGCAGTAGGATAGCGTTCCATGAGACGCAGCAATCCCTCCCCCCCCCCCGCTTCGCCTGCGCCCTTTGTAATGTCCTTTTCCCTTTGTGGCGCTTCACTCCTCGCGTCTCGCAAAAAGGACGAAACACAACAACACCGACAGTTAGTAGTCCTTGTAGCTGTCCGGCTTCGAGCGCTTCTTGCCCAGCGAGTGCTGCGCGGTGTAGGCGGGACGGCGGTGCACCTGCGCCGGGTACGCCGTCTGCGGGGACCGCCGTGGCACGTGTGCTGCCGCCGCCGTCGCCGCTGCTGCCGCCTGCTCCCCCTCGTGACCACCCCCCAGCATCCCCCTCGCAATCGGCCGTGCTGGGAAGGTGAGACTCGCACCGGTCGTGCTACCGCTGCTGTTGTTGTGGCGGGTGCCTTCGCCGGGGTCTGCGTGACTCACGACCTTCTCGTTGTCGGCGGTGTAAAGGACCGCCGTGCTACCACGCTTCATCGCGGCCAGCACAGCTTCCATGCCGCTGCTGTTGCTGCTGCTGTAGTTGTTGTGATGCGGCGGCGGGTTCACACACGCGGGGCTCGTAAACGAGGAGCCCGAGGAGCAGAGGCTGCTCACCTCGGTCGGGGAGGACACGTTCGGCACTGTCGCCCGCGCCGCACCGGAGGAGGAGGACGTGGTGTCCGTCACCATCAAATTATTGCGCGGACGGTCCGGTGAGGCGTCCGTGGACGGCGGGGATAGCGCCGCCGCTGTTGAGACGGGTGCGGACGCAGACGTCTGCTGTTGCCGCTGCTGCTGCTTCCGCATGCGACTGCTCACGTAGTAGTAGGGCTGCGCGTTCACGTTAATGCCGCTGCCGGGAGTTGTGGAGGAGACAGGGGAGGCCGCACGTGCGGTTGTCGCTGTCGTCGTGCCTGACACGGAGGGCTGCTGCAGTTGCTGAAGCTGCGAGGGGACAAGGGCGGCGACACTCGTGTTGCTGTGCCGCGAATTGCCTTCGCTGGCGGATCCATTGCTCGTATGCGTGTTGCTCGCGGTGGAATCCATCTCCGCTCCCGTGGTAGACGCAGCCGCACGGTTGGTGATGTCAAAGGTGGCCGAGGTCGGCCGCGGGGCCCGCTCCGCCGCGGTGTGGTAGCGAACGGCGTGTGATCCTGCCGCTGCCATTGGAGCGCTGCTGACGCGGCGACTCGCACCCAGGCCGTAGCTGTACACCGAAGAAGACGGCTGCTGTTGCTGGCTGATGGAAGCGGGGGAGGCGTGCCGGTGCATACCGCCACTGCCCGAGGCAACAGGGGCGTCGAAGTATCCCCCTGTCACGGCATTCGCGAAGTTGATGAAGTTGTTGTACCGCGGATTCAATTCCTGTTGTTGCTGCTGCTGTTGCTGCTGGGCCGCATAACTACTGTGCCCGTTGCCACCGTGGTGTGGGATGCCCTCGGCGAGCGGCCACGATGACTGATACGGAGGCTCGTCATTCCACGCCGCCGCTGCCCTGCTACGGTCACTCCCCACGTTGTTTTTGTGGGCCGTCGCTAAAGTTGAAGCGGACGTCACACGGCGCTGCACCGACAGCGGCGACAGCCACGCGCCGGGGGAGTCCTCGCGCTTCAGCCGGGACGCGGCTGCCTCGTCATCGCGGTAGTACTGACGCCACCGCGCATCTTCCTCCTGCCAGGCCGCCGTCGCCGCTTGCGCATTCTCCTGCTTGCGGGCAAAGACGTGCTCATTCAGTTGTGCCATCCACGGCTCGACTAGGGTGTGCCACTGATGCAGGCGGTAGGCACCACGGAGGGTCTTGCGCTGCGTCGCGTCCAACAGGACGGGCTCCGGCGTGACTGCGCTCGACGTCCCCTCCGCTGTTGCCCGTGTAGATGACGGAGAGGTGGCAGCTGTTGACGTCGAAACTTGTCGAAGCTTCTCTGCCGCTTCGTCCACCTCGGCATCGTCCTCGTCCGGTACGTAGGCGGCGACCTTCTCAGGAAACGCCGCGGCAAAGGCGGTCAGCTGTGCCGGTGTCGGATCCACGTCCACCGCCAGCTCCGCCAGCAGCGCGAGCAGTGCCGCGTACTCCGCCGCGTGCACCTGCGTCTCCCAGTCTAGCTTGCTCAGGAACAGCACCTCGAGCTTGTTCATCTCGCGCCCGCTGATGCCGCCGATACGGGCGTAGTAAATATTGCTGTAATACACGTCGTCGCGCAGCTTGATGCCGAGCACGACGCTGGTGATGAGCAGACGGTGGGCGTTGTAGATGGTGATGGGGTGCCCGCTGTGAAAGACGTACTTGAGCAACAGCAGGAAGGCGCAGAGGAGGGCCTCGCCGCTGCCGGTGCAGTACCGCACGAGGCGCTCCACGTACATCGTGACGGACATGGGTGGGATGCAGTGAGAGTGGAAGTCACTGGAGGGGATGGGTTCGCCTTTGTGCAGCTTGCATAACATCCGCATCATAAAGGACAGGGCGAGGAAGGCGTAGCGGGTCTCGATGAGTGGAATGCCGGGCTGCGCCGGAGGTGGGAGAAATACCTGTTGCTGCTGCTGCTGTTGCTGCTGCTGTTGAGGTGGAGGTGCGGCGGCCTTCGAGTGCGCCTGCGCCTCCGGTGGTGTCGCGCAGCTCGGCTGGCTCGCACTCGGGTGACCGCCCAGCTCTGGCTTCAGACCCACGCTGCTGGTGCTCTGCGTAAAAGGGCTTTCCTCCGATTTTTGTTGCTGCTGCTGTTGCCGTTGTGCCAGCGGTGGCGTGTTAAAGCGGGAAGGGTCATACGAGATGCTCGCCGTGACGCTGTCGTTGCTGTACCGGCCACCACCCAGCAAACTGCCGTGACGGGCGAGGCGGGACCTGCGGCGGCTCTCTTTGTCGGACTTATCCGGCTGTTGTTGCTGATGAGCGTGCGCTGCCCGCCGGGGCACCGTGGAGCTTTGGCGGACACTCGGCCGTGAGTTGGAGGAGCCGCTCTCCGACATCCAATCGCCCTCGTCTTCACCGCCGCCAACACCGATGCCGCCGTTGTCGCCGTCCTCTTCCACGGTGGACGCCGCGGTGCGACGGTGACGGCGCCGCACGGACGCAGGCCGCATTGCCGTCGACTTCCCTTCCGCCTCCTCGTTGGTGTTGTCGTCGTCGTCCACGCCGTCACCGCGGTGCAGCACGGCGTAGCCCAACTCCGCCACGACGTCCTCGCCGCCGGTGGCAAAGCGCTTCGGTGGTGGCTCCTGCGGCGTGGCGTCTGGCGCTACGGCGTGTGTGTTGTTGCTGCCGGCTACCATAGTGGGTACCACCTTGATCATTGTTGCGGTGGTGGTTGCCTGGGTGGCGCTGTCATCGTCGTCGCGGCGCGGCTGCTTCTGCTGCTGCTGCGGCGGAGGCAGACGTTGTTGCGGCTGATGTTGGCGCTGCTTTCTGTTACCTTCCTCTTCCCTCTCTGCGTCGTCGTCGTCGTCGCCTCTCTCGCGCTGCTGCGCTTTCGAGACTGCTTTGTCCATCTCGCCGTCGTAGTCCACGGCGTCGTGGACCACCACACGAGTGGCGGCCCCGCCGTTCGCCGCACTCGGCATCGGCGAGACGCTCGTCGACGTCGTCATCGACGTGTCGAGCCGGGTCGAGGAGTAATCAGCGAAGGTGGTGGGATCGGGGATGTGCATTGCAGGTCCTGCCGAGCTGTCTCCGTTTCGGTGCTGCTGCTGCTGCTGCTGCCACTGTTCGTGCGGTGGCCGAGGCCGCTTTGATGACGGAGCGCCACGGGAGGTGAAGTTCGGAGCGGCAACGACTGCTGCTGCTGCTGCTTTTGCTGCTGATGGCGACAGTGATTCTGGCTGCACCGGATACAGATAAGCGGCGAGGTGGCTTTCTACCTCGTGGTGTTCCGCCTCTTCCTCGTTGTCGCGCGGATGACTGCTGGAGCGAGAGTCGAGGGACGGCCGTGACTGGTTTGCTTCTGCGACCACGCGTTTTGCGGTGGCGCGAAGGCGCTGCTGTTGATGCGACGAGGCCCCCGAAAGCGGGGTGGACTCTGCGGAGCTGCCGGTGACGCTGGCGCTGTTCGTGTTGGTGTTGCCTAGCGCCGTCAGGTTCGATGCGCTGTCACAACAGAGACTGCAGGGCGGGTGGTTCGAAAGATGTGTGCCGCTGCTGTTGTGCTGATGCTGATGCTGCTGCTGCTGCTGCTGCTCGTCTTCGGTGGCAAGGTGCGGTGAACGCCTGAGTTCGGCGCAATACACGTCGGCGGACCCTGCGGCACGACTGCCGATGTTACTGCTGCAGCTGGCGTTGCACGCACCACCCCCACTTACACTGCAAGACAGTGAGCGAGTCGGGTGCGGAGGGGATCGTCGAGGCTGGGCAGCAACTTCCACAGCACAATCCATTTACTTCTTTTTTATTTGTGGGTTGTGTGGAGGGAACAGAGGAGGCGGAGGCACAAACACACACACACACAAGTACCAATCAACCAGAGAAGGATTTTGTGTAGAAAAAAGAAGAACACAAGCAAAAACAAGACAAATAAAATATCAGCTGCGTTCTTCTCCTTCTCCTCTATGGGCTCTTTGCTTCCGTTTATCTTCTTTTTTTTTTTTGAAGAGGGATGTGGGGTGGGGTGGTTGGAGAGTGCCGGTGGGGTGCAGTGGACGCCGCTGTTCCTCTCCTGTTCTCCGCCTTTCCTTTACACCGGTTCGCGACGGCACCACACGCGGAGCAGGGGGGGGGGGAAGGAAATGTCTCACGATAATCCTTTAGAAAGGTCAAGGGGAGGTGATGAAGAGAGTGGGTGTGGGTGTGGGTATGAGTGTGCACACAAGACCAACCACCACTATCGCTACTACCACCACCACCACAACAAAGTATCAAACGACAAGCGAGAACAAAGCTGGAAAAGACAAAAAAAAAAACGCGCAGAGTTAATTGGAGGAGACGCCACCGCCACAGAAAAGTACCGGAACCCCAAAAACACAAACAAACAATCACAGCAACAGCAGAAAAACAAAAGAGGAAAATGAAAAGAACAGACCTCGTTCAATCCTCTCTTCTACTTCTTCGCGCTTCTGCCACTCGTCGTCCGCGCGTTACGGGTGTTGTTGAGAAAGAGAAGTAAAGATATGATAGCAATTAAAAAAACGGGAGCAACATCAACAACAACAGATAGAGAGCGAAAGAGAGCGAGAGAGCAGAAAAACCAAGATAAATAATATTAGTAAAAACAAGAAGGGAAGAAGGGCAAAGAAACAAGGTAAAACGCGCACTCAAACAGTTAACTTAGCGAGCTTTATTACTTAAATATATATATGTAGAGAGAGAGAGAGAGCCAGCGAAGAGTTTATCGGAGGACAACACACCAAACAAAGCGTCGCTCTCGTGCTTAAACGGTATCCTTGCTCCTCCACGTTAAGGGAGAGAAGAAACAAACAAACAACGAAAACTAAAAAAAAACCCACGTCGCTGGCGACTTAAGAGAACAAACTACAGACACACACACACACACACAACAAGCTTTATCCGAGAAATTACGCTCTTTATTGAGCACTTTATAAAAGTAAAGCAAAAATTCCCTTTCGTCCGTGCTCAACGAGAGGAAAGTCGCGGAGGTGAATACGACAATTTTTTTTTTTTTTGGGGGGGTTCTTTTTTAAGTACTGTTTCTATACGGTAAGTGATAACGAGAGGTAGAGAGCGAAGAGAGGGAGAGGGAAGAGAGGTAACAACGAGCGGCTTCATTATTGTCATTGTTCCTTCCAGCGGAAAAAAACAACAACATAGTAGTGGCCCATCGTTTCGCTTTGGTTTATTGCTGCAGCTATTTGCAGCAGTTCTTTGCCGTCTCACCAACTTTCCTTTGGAAGAAAAAAGATAATATGCCGCCGCACGATGAACACATGCGTACGCAACAGAGAACATCCAAAGGAGAAGAAGGAGAAACAAAAAACAGAAGGGCAAGGAACCGCAGGCACGAGGCGCGAACGAGGGAGCGAGAGAGGCGGCGCCGCTTGCCCTCGTGTCTGTCCGGTCACGACGCGCGAAACATGCGACGTCGTGCGGCTTTCAGTAATACACATATATACTATAATAAAGAAACACTGTTGAACCGAATTGGGGGAGTAGGTGAAGGTTACTTCTCACCTCCGGTACGACGAGGGCACAATCGCCCAGAGAGGCCTGCTGAACAAAAACAAGAAAACAAGAAAAAGAGGAAAAAAGAAAGGAGACTTGAAAGCATAAACCTCAAAGAAAAAACAAAACTTCCAAGTCAGCATTTAAGCGTTTTGTGGGAGGCCTCGCTTTTGGAGGCTTGGCGAGAGAAGAAGCAATCCAAAACAATATACATACATCTATGTGCATATATATATATGCATGTCTGCTCAGTTCTAGGTGAAGGCGAAGAGAGTCTACGGCAGCAAATTAGCTGAATAAAACACCCACGAAGAAATGGAAAAAAGGGGGGAAAAAAGAGAACACCAATGGAGTAGGTGAGAATGATGAAAAGGAGAAAAAGTCTAGTAGTAGTAGTAGTAGTAGTACAACACAGACGGGAGGGAGAAAGGCTCGCCGCTGCTTCTCACCAGCTGCACGGCGCCCTCCGAGTGCGTCCATTTCTAAAGCGACTGCAACAGGAACAACAAGAAAAGAAAAGAAGTGTGCACCCCACAAAACGACCAACAGCGCGCGTCCATTCAATTTTTTTTTTTATCCGCCTTCATCATGTTCAGTCCGCCCGCTGATAGATCGGCTTCGGCCGCGACAGCCGCGCCACCGCCAGCCGCTGCGCCTCCGCCGCCTCTGCGTTCGGCACCGGCCGCACCACCAAATACGGTCGGCGGTGCTCATCCAAGTACACCTCCTCCACCACCGTTGCCCCGCTGGCCTTCGCCGTCGCGGTCCTTTGCGTACTATCGTCCCCGTCGTTGCGATGGGGACTCCCACTGCCGCCGGCGGTGCTGCTGGCCCTCTCCGCTTCATCCGCGTCGATCGGGCGTGCCCCGCCGTTGCTGTTTAACGCAGGAATGCGCCGCCGGCGGGAGAGGGCCGGCCTGCCGGGCAGCACATCGAGGCCCTCCCGCTCCGGTGCGAGCGCCCACGGCGACCGCCGCGTTGGGTCGGCAAGGCGCAGGGTGGAGTACTTCTCAAACGGCAGTCCCTCCCTCACTCCGTTCACACCGCGGACGACGACGTTGGGGTGCGCCGCGGCAGCAGCGGCTTCCGATTCTGTGGCTGCTGCTGTGGTAGGCGACTGCCGCCGCACCCCGATCATGTGCTTAAACGAGATCGTTGGGATATGCGGCCGGGGACGGGAGCCGGTGAAGTCGCGGGTGTGGTCGTGCGCGTCGGGGTCCTGCATGGCAGCACCAGCGGCTGCGGCGCGCTTCCCCGCTCTCCCTGGCACACTCCCTTCGATTTCCGCCACACGCGGCTTGAACTCGCTGCGGAGGTCGACGATGGGCAGCGCGCCGGCGGCGGCAGCAACAGCGGCAGCGGCGTCTTGGCCCTCCTCGCGGACCACCACTCCTGTCGGGGTGACCGTCGTCGAGCCGAGTATTTCGTCTAACCACTTGCTGCAGGTCCGTACGGTGCTGCTGTCGTTGCTGTTCTTCACCTCCCCGTTGGCGCTGCGATGGCCGGCAGTAGCATGGAGCATCGCCGCAGTTGTGGCCGCGCCTCGTCGCTGCTGCGGCGTGCTGAGACGTGCAATGGTGGCACGGGTTAAGTGCAGCGGCTCCCTCGTGCGGGATGGCGGACGGTAGCGGTCGGGAGTGAAGTTAGTATTATTATTGTTATTGCTATTGCAGTTGCGGGGGGCCGCAGCGGCGGCGGACACGGCAGCCCCTACACTGTTGGCGCGCGCTTTGAAGGAGGGTGAGGGACGCTGCTGCTGCTGCTGCTGTTGCGGCAGCGCATGACGGACGTCAGGTGTGGAGGCGCGGAGATTGCGAGACAGCGCAGCCGGTGCTGCTGCCGCTGCTGCTGCATCTGCGTCGGCGGATGTTGGTAGATCCAGCGTAATCGGACTGACGGAGTTGCTGAGGGTCGGGATGAGCCTGGGCACGGCCGACCCGCCGACATCACTTCCCGCTGCCTTCGTCTTCGCAGGCTGCTGCTGCTGCTGCTGTTGCGATGATGACGGTGGAGCACTGTTGTGACTTACACTACTCAGACGACTCCCGGTCGGTGTCGCGGGACGGCGCCGTGCCCACTCCCACCCCGCGTTGTCACCGCCGCCGTTGCCGCCAACAATCGCGGCGGATGATGTGACAGGGGCATCGGCGCGGCGGTTGTGGTTGATACCGTTTCGGTGCACGTTGCCGCTGTGGAGCTGCTCAAAGAAGGCGCTGCGCCGAAGAGCCCCGAGAGGGGAGCGGGCAGTCGCGTCGATGGCGGTGGACGCAGGCGAGGCTGCCACTGATGTCCGCGCGTTGGCGCGGTCGGCATTGCCCGTGGCGGGTTGCTTCTCGAGACTCCGCTCGACAATCGGTTCTCTGGCTGCTGATGCCGTTGCAGACGTGGGGGACGCAAAAAGCTGGTGATCGCAGTGTCCATTGTCTCGTTGCGGAGACCGTCGTACCGGCGTAAGCGCTCGCATGGAAGGCAGCAACGCGGAGGCCGACACGCAGTACGGGTGCTGCGAGTCCGCCGTCGAGACGCTCTCATCGAGCACCGTCTCCTGGCACACCGGCGACGGAAAACGCAGCGGAGACGTGAGATGAATGGATCGGGTTGGCTGCGCTTGCTGGTTGTAGTACGCCGCGGCCGACCCACGTGTGCGGGACAGCGGGCTGCCGCGACGAGCTAGGGCACTGGCCCGAACCTCGTTCACTACCGTGTTGTCGTGCGCGTCTACAATCGCCGACGTTGCCGGATCTAGACCGTCGGAGAGAAGCGATCGGCCCGGCGGACGTGCGTGAAGGCGATCGTGCGCGGTGTTGCTGATATCTAGCGGAATGGAACCGACGGAGGCGGCGTTGCCTCGACGAGTCGCCGAGGCGGGCCGAATCGCGTACGGGCTGCCCCCCACCCGCGCGTAGCGTCCACCGCCGACGTTGATGTATCCCAGCGGGCGTCGCACCGGCGGCGGGGTCGCAAACGGCTCGGAGGAGCGACCGGCACTGGTGTACCGCCATGGGATGCCCACCGTGGAGGCGGGGAGACTGCTGCGCCGCCGGGGGGCCCATTCTTCTCGATCTTTCTGTCGCTGGCGAGTAGCGGACAAGGCATGCGACGGACGATGACGATGTGGGCGGTGTGGACTGCCGCTGCCGCTGTTGCTGCTGCAGCTGCTGCTGCGCTTCGAGCGCAGTCCCCAGTCGTCCCCCTCTTCTCCCCCTCCTGCCTCTGCGTCGCTGTTGTCAGCCGCCGCGTCATCGTCGTCGTTGTTGGCACGCCTGCGGAGGCCCCGTCGACGTCGCGCGGAGACGCTCCTCGTATTCCTGCCGTCCTCGTCTTTTCGCTTGTCGCCACGCAGGGCGTTCACCAGGCGGTACAACTCCCGACTCGTCAGCCGCTCCGACCCGCTGTCGTCGTCCTCGCTCGCAAAAGCGGACCGGCGAGCACGCCCCTTCCGCGACGCACTGCGATTTTTTTCTTCTGCGTCTTTTGCTTTGGTGGCCTGCGGCCGCGGCGAGGGGGAGCGGCGCCGACCACCACCGCGGCTGCCGCTGCTGCGTTCCTCCTTTTTCTTCGCCTCGCCGCCGGTGTTTTCATCTCGCGCGGCGTTCGGCACGTTGCTGTCGGGATGCTGCGCCGAGGCGTGCGAGCTGGCCGATGAGGAGTGGGAAGGGGAGGGCGTGGACACGACGCTGGAGGAGCTGCGGTCCAGGCTGGCCGGCTTCTGCGTGGTGTCTTCCTCCTGCGGAGAGGCCGGCTCGGCCGCGGCTTTCGGCGCACGACGCACCTCGGCTAGCTTTGTCGGGCGACGACTTTGTGTCGTCTTGCGCGCCTTGTTGTGGTCCTCCGCCGCCGTCTTCGTCTTCGTTGCGTCTTCTTTTCTTTTGGCGGCTAAGGCGGCGCTGCGGGTGGCGGCGGCGGCGCTGACGGCTGTTTGGCGCACGGGGGGCAGCGGCGCCGATGGCGTTTTCCCCTGCGCGTGAATAGCAGAAGATGCTGCTGCTGCGCGTGAAGAGGGCACCGCACCGGCGCTCTTCGTGTGCTTCTTGGGGGTCGCGGCGGCGCCGCCTTCTGCCGCAGTATCGTCCTCAAGTTCCCTTGTGGGATCGCGATAGTGCTCCCCACCTACATCCCTTTCCTCCTGCTGCTGTTGCTGTTGATCGTAGTCTCCCTGCCCTGCGTAGCCCGTAGGGACAACATCCTCCGTCGGCGGGGTTTCCTCGTAGGCCGCACCACCGCTACTCGTACTACCGCGCGAACTCCCGCGTCCGCGCCCTCTGCTCACTGTCCGATGCGTGTCGATGGGTTTGGCGCCTTCATCGTCGTCGTCGCTGTCGTCGCTGCTCTCACCACGTCGGCGCCGTGGGTGCGGTGGGGTTTGCACGCCGGCCTCCGGCAGCTCCCCGTCCTTCAACACCGTCGTGCTCGGGACGCGCAGCACACCGGACGAGGCGGGCGGCAGCACAGTTGGCAGACGCGCAGGCGGAGACGGGGACGTAAGCAGCGGTACGGTGTCCGGTACGTGGAAACCGGCGGGGGGAGAGGAGATCAACTTCGCACCGGGTGGTGGGGGTCCCATCATGTGCTTGACGAGATGCGCGCCAGGTGGGAATGGAGGGTGCTGCTGCTGCTGCTGTGGCGGTTGAAGTGGCTGCCTCTGCGACGGAGGTGCTGACATGCTCAGTGGGACAGAGATGCTCCCTGAGCGGCTCAGCATCATACTTGGCGGCGGCCGGTCTGGACTCTGACGTCCGGTACTGCCCTGCGGGGGAGATGTGCCTCCCCCGGAGGGAGGTGGCGCCGCCATCACCATTTTCTTCTTCATGAGGACGGCTCCCGGTGGCGCCTTCATGACAGCTTTCTGCGGCATCTGCGCGATGGGTGACTGCGCACGTGGCACGGAAGATGAAGGGGACCGGGGAGGCGTTTCTGCGGTGTAGCTGCCGACACTCGCCGAGCGTTGTGGCTGCGGTTGTGGATGTTGTGGTGGTGGCGGCGGGTGAGCGCCGACGGGCATCTTCACCATCTTCACTGCTCCCGGTGGCGATGGCGGTCCGCTGTGGAGCGCTCCCGCCGGCGACTTCCCGCGCTGCTCCGTTGGTGCGGCAGGACCCGGCAAGAGTGGCGGCGCCTGCATGCCTGGCGGCAGCTTCGTGCCAGGCGGCATCATGATTCTTTTCCCCTGCGCCGTCATCATTTCATTGTGGGGCGGCGTCGGCTGCCGCTGTCCGGGTGAGGACGGTGCCGAAGACCCGCTCGGGTGCGGCGAGTGTGACGGCTGCTGCCCTTGCTGCTGCGGCTGCTTGTTCGCCGTTTCGTGCTGCCCATGTGCTTTGTTCTTCTCGTACTCCTCATCTTCGGAGCTGCTGCCGAGTTTAAAGAAGCTCAGCGCACCGGACAGGCCACTCTTAAAACCCGACTTATGCTTCTTGTTGGCCTGCTGCTGCTGCTGCTGCTGCTGCTGCTGGGATGCGTGCAGCGGCGGCGGTGGGGGTTGTCCGGGGTGAGGGGGCGAGAGGCGAGACAGCGGCAGCGAACCTTGCTGCTGCTGCTGTGGTGTTGGAGAGGGAGGAGAACCAGAAACGGGTGGGCCAGCGCCGGGCATCGATCCACGACGCACCGGAGAGAGTCCACCGCCGCGAGACGGAGGGGTATTCGTACTAGGTGGGATGAGCGCAGCGCCGTTCGGTATGCGCAGCTGCGGGGGTTGCTTAGCGCCGGGACCAAGAGGAGGAGACGTCGGGAGATGGCTTCTATTCACTTGTTGCTGTTGCTGTTGCCCAGGTGGTCCTCCTGACATCATCATCATCATCTTCTTGCCAGCCATTTGCATCCCTGGCGGTGTGGGTCCTGGTAGCTTCGTACCCGGCGGCACCATCATCTTCTTGCCATTCACCACCGCGAACTGTGGCGGGTACGGATACGGATACGGACCGGCAGCGGCAGAGGAGGCGCGTCGAGAACCGGGACTTGGCGTGCCCGGCATCCCAGATGAAAGCCCGCCGTCGGTGCCAACGGGAGAGAGCGAGCGCGCGCCTGTTGTCGGACTCGCTGTTCGATGCACATCCGGCGGCGGTGGCATCATCATCATCTTGCCACCCCGCATCATTACTGTGGATTTCCCCATCTGCCCCGGCGGCATCTTCACTTGCATCTTCATCCCCGGCGGTGGCGAGGGGGAAGGCACCGGCATCTTTCCCCGCATCGCAGCAGCAGGTGGGGCACCACCACCTCCGCGTGCCCCGACCGGCATGGGCGGGCCGCCACGGCTTACCATCGGCGGGCTCGCGCCACGAGCGCCGTTGCTCACGTTGTGGTAGCTATTCGCTCCCATGGAGAGTGCGGCACCGCGACCGGCACCACCACCCATGCCAGCGACAGCGGCAGACGAAAGAGAAGGCGACGGTGATGGAGGAGGCGGCGGCCCCTTCACGAAGTGAGCGCCGGGTGGGAGAGCCGGCGGGATAAACGCACCTCCCCCACCGCCACGACGTTGTGGCGACGGCCCCGCGCCGCGTGCGCCGGGAGGGGGAAAGCCAACCGAATCACCACCACCGCCGCCGCCGCCGCCGCGAAACTGCGGAAGGGGGTAAGGACCGCCACCGCCTCTGCTGGTGCTGCTCGCTGCTCCGAGAGAGGCGGATCGCGCGGGTAATGATGGCTGGCTCATTCTAAATGTAAAATAATAAGAAATTAAAAAACACACACCAAAAGTAATAATAAAGAAACGCAAATGCAGCGGTGAAGGGAAGAAGGGATTCGCTGAAGAGCGCAGATCGTCTTCTCTCTCTCTCTCTCCTCTTCGTGTATATATAACGCTCTAACCGTGATCGTCGACAAGGAAGCGAACAACAACAATAACAATAGTAAAGAAAGGTGCGGCAGGCGCGAGGAAATGTTGGGAGATGTCAGACGCTCGGCAGTCCTCCTCCCCACCCCCTCTCCCCCGCGCGGTCTAAAACGGAGTATCGACAGCGATGACAACAACGGCAGATACACCACTCAAGAACAAGAGTTCTATGTAAACACGGTCAACGTTGACACACAAAGAGAGAGGAAGTGTGTGTGTGTGTGTGAGTGAAATATGTATAAGACACCACGAAGGCGTTTCACGTGATCAGTTCCACGTGCTTTCACGCACAATGCAAAAACAAACAAACAAACAAGCAGACAATATCAAATTAAAAACAATGAAACACACTTAGCCAGAGATGCTACAGTGCGCTCAGACGATGCATAGATACCTCGGAGTTGCTCCTCGCTGGAAAACACGGCGGCATTCTTCGCCGCCGTAGATAGAAGCAAATGCTCGCTGATCGGGAAGAAGGAGGGGGAGAAGATATCGAATATGTACCTATAACAGGTATATGTATTTACCTCCTTTCCTTTGAAGCCGTTCTTCTCGTTGACGTTGAGAGGAGAGGAGGTGTGCGTGTGTGTGTGTGTGTTAAGCTCATTTTGCGATTTCGAAAGCGGAGAAAGATAAAGAGACGAGAGAGGTGGCGGAGCATGAGTGCGTGGGAGCGAGGGCCGAAATGCGTTGGGAAAAAAACGGAGGGGGAGGAGACTTCTGCCGGGGGTGAGTGGGGTTCCGTTCTTTCCTTAAAAAAAGAAAGAAAGAAAAAAAGAAATGGATGGAGTGTTCAAGGAGTGTGTGAAAACGGCTTAGGGAGTACCCTCCATCGAGGCGCTTTGCAGTTGTCATCGTGCACGTTCAGGTCAACGCGTTGGGTGCGGGCACAGGGGAAACTGAATTCAGGTAAAACACGAAACAAAAAAAAGCCTCTTTCAAAAACGTGCTTTAAAGAAAGAGAAAGAAAGAATGATCGTAAACAACGTGCGTTTCTCTCTCCCTCTATAAATCGGACGAGCTAGGGCTTGTGCTCAAGCGGATACCCCACACTCGCCAGCTTCAGCAGCGTGTCCGCCGCAGTCGGTCGCTTCCGGCGCTTTCGTAGCGCGCTGTCACGCCGCGCCTGCCCCGCGTCGGCATCGCCGGCCGCCCCGTCGGTTGCGCGGCGGTGCGTTGTTGCTCGATGAAGATTCTTCTCCTGCAAGCGCAGTGCTGACCGCTCGATCGTGTCGAAGGACACCGCACGCGTCGGCGTGGCGGCGGACGGCTCCGTCTCTTCACGGAAGTACGCGCCGGGTCCTGGCGTATCGCCGCGGACCGGGCTCGCCCGTTCCGCCCTTCCAAAGCCGCCCCTGCCGGACCCCCCCGCGCCCGGGGACCACCCCAGACCCTCTCGGAAGTACGTCCCAGGACCTGGGTTGGTGTTAAGGACCGCGTTCGGCCGCTCCGATGTCCCGAAGTGAACCCCTCGTGGCGGGTCCACGCGTGCGGTCCGGTAGTCGTCGTTGTCGTAGGCGCCGGGGCCGGGGTTCGTGTTCAGCACCGCCGACGGCCGCGCCGCCAGGCCAAAGGTGGGCGGGTTCGTCTCCGTCATCGTCCACCTCTCCCGGTAGTACGTTCCCGGTCCGGGGGTGTTGCAGCGGCTGTTTGGCACGGGGCTCGGTCGCTCCGCGCGGCCGAAGCCAACACCCGCCGGCACCGCGCCCGTCAGCTGCGCGACGTACGCCTCGCGGTGATAGGCGCCGGGCCCGGGGTTCGTGTTCGGCACAACGCTGGGCCGTTCGCCGTAACCAAAGCTCGCCGCCGGACCAGCAGGAGCGGCGTACATGGAGTAATACGCGCCCGGACCCGGGTTGCTGTTCATGACCGGGCTCGGTCGCTCACCGAGGCCGAAGCTCGGAGCAGGGCCGACCGGCGCGGAGGACAGGATGTGGTACGTTCCAGGGCCAGGGTTGTCGTGGAGGATCGGGCTCGGCCGTGCGCTAAGTCCGAAGCCCGCGGCAGGGCCCCGAGGTGCAGAGGGAGTCGCATCGTACGCTCCTGGACCGGGACCGTCATTCAAGACCGGGCTCGCACGTTCTGCGAAAGTGAAGGTTGCCGCTAAAGGGCCTTTCCCGCGGGGCTGCGCAGCACCAAAAGCGGAGTACGCGCCGTCGTAGGCGCCGGGTCCGGGGTTGTCATTGAATGCCCGGTCATCCCGCCCGGCGGAGCTGAAGGACGGTCCAGACGGCCCTGACGTGAGCCCGCTCGCGTCAAAGTAGGCGCCGGGGCCCGGCGTGTCGCACCGCCCTGCTGTCGGGTCAGGCCTCTGTGAGGTGCCAAAGGTCGCCGCTGCTGCTGCTGGGCCGGAGGAGTTGGTCACGTGCGGAAGGTCGTAGCTGCCAGGACCCGGTGTGTCCACGTTCCCTGTACTCCACACACGCGGCGCCTGTCCTATGGTCGGCACCGCTGCGGCAGCACCTTTGCCTTTCGTGAACCCGTCAGCCGGCGTGTAGCTGCCGGGCCCCACCATCGGAGACGCGTCCACGTCGCCGGCGCGCAGTGCAGGACGCGGCCCGCGCGGGATCGTGAAGCTCGGGCTCGCACTCTGCTGAAAGCTTTCCGTGTCATACGCACCCGGGCCGACGGAGTGCCCTCCTTCGCGTGCGCTGCTGCCCACCGCGGGCATACGAGGAGCCGTGCCGAAGCCGTGCGACGGCGACGCGCCGCGCTCCGTGTTAGTGGTGATATCGTAGGCGCCTGGCCCAGGCGCTTCGCCCCGCCTCTCCCACTCCCGATTCACCGGCCGGCCTGGCATGGTGAAGCCACCGGCCGAGCCGCGTGTCTGCGTCGCGTGAAACGCAGCTGCGCTGTCGTACGCACCAGGGCCGGGCGTTGCTGCACCACCGTACTCTCGAACACCGTCGTTGTCGTCGTAGACACTCTTGGAGGTGGGAGGCAGCCGGTGCGTGGGCGCGGTGCCAAAGCGATGGGCCGCCGCCGTTGCGGTGGCGATGCTGCCGTCCAAGTGTGTTAGATCGTAGTAGCCCACGCCGGGGGTCTGATGCCACATCGCCGCCGCCGCCGCGTCGGCGTTGTTGGTGGATCGTCCAAGCAGCAGCGCCGCACGTGCGTGCTGTTGCACCTCGACGGGCACGTCGTAGCTTCCAGGGCCTGGCAACGCCCCTGCTGCGGCGGCGGACGCGATGATGTCCCGGCCGTTGTCTCGCGCAGCGATGATGCGATGGGCCGGAGCGCGCGGCAGCACCTGCGTGTCAGCGCGGTCAATCACGTAGCTGCCCGGCCCGACGCCTTCTCCCGTCTGATGCCCCGCCCCTGCTCCTTCCGCGGAAGCAAAAGGCATGCGGGGGGCTGTGCCGAACCGTGCGGCTGATGATGCGGCGGCTGTCGTGAAGCCGCCTGGGAGGTCGTAGGAACCCGGTCCCACCGCCGCTGCGGTGCCGCTATCCAGTCCGTTTTTGCGATCCGCGTCCGCCGGCATGCGGGCGGCGTGCGGAAACGTCGGCCCTGTGCGAGCCGCCGCTGTTGCTGCTGCAGCAGACGGTGATGATGCCGCGTCGATGTTCGGTGCGTACGACCCCGGACCAGGTCCGGTGCGAGCGCCCGACCCATCCGCGCTGCTGTCAGCTGGATAGCGCGGTGCGGTGCCGATCCGCACACCGCCTGCCGCCGTACCACCCGCGGCGATCGACTTCTCATACGCCTCCGCCACGTCGTAGGCACCAGGGCCTGGAAAGGTACGATCGTTGCCGCCGTGCTCGGTCAGCGCACGCGGCACCGTGACGCCGCTATGAAGAGGCGGAGGCGGTGGCAGCGCATAGGAGCCGGGGCCCACTCCCGCCGCTTCCGCCGTACCCTCATGATACGCCGCACCGTCTTCCGTGACGTGCTTCGGAGCGGTACCGAAGCCCCACTGCGGGCCCTCCGGGAATGATGGCGGCAGCTGATACGCACCGGGGCCGGGGCTGCCACGATCCACCGCAGCTCCTGCTGCTGAAGTCGCCCCTCCATCGCCTTTTTCATCTGCAGCCGCCCCGTGCGTCGACGCCCGTGGGAAGCTGTACGACGCCGACGTCGGCATCTGCGAGCTGCGTGCAAGACCGCCAGCGACGTCGTACGCGCCTGGACCGATACCGGCGCCATCCACTGCGTCTGCGCCGCCCGCTGACGCAAAGCGCGCAGCAGTGCCGAAGCGGTACGCAGTAGCAGCGGCCGCCCCACCGCCGCCGTTCTGTACCCACCGATCGGCACGGTTCGCGTCGTAAGCACCAGGGCCGGGACCGGCGTCTCTCATCGCTGCTGCAAAAGCGAAGGAGGAGGTGGACGGGAACACGGCTCCTTCGCCGGCCCTCGATGCCCCGCTGCCATACACGCGCCCATCGTCGTGCGCGGCGGCGGTGCCGAAGCGATGGGCGGGTGCGGCTGCTCGCACCGACGCATCCACCGGCGAGTACGCATTCGGCGCAGGCGTAGCCCACCCATCGCCGTCAACGCTGCTCGACGCCGCGGCTGGTTGTGGGAAGCGCGCCGCACCGCCAAAGTGCACCGCCCGCTCGCCCGCGTCGTTCACCGGGCTGCCATTGCTGCTGCTGTTGTTGTAGCGGTAATTGTTGTCCGGAGCGTACGCCCCTGGTCCCGGCGTGTCGGTCGTGACCGCACCAACACGGTTTGCTGCGCGTGGAACCGTGATGGACGGTGCGGCGGGAAGGGCAGCGTACACGTTCGGTTCGTAGGCGCCTGGGCCAGGCCCGGTGGCGGTCACGTTTGCGTCCGCATCTCCGGCGAGGGTACGCGGCGCCGTGCCGATGCGGGGAGCCGCCGCTACCGCTGCCCCACCGCCCAGCAAATGCCGGCTTCCCATGTCCGTGTACGCCTCTGGCATGTACGCACCGGGGCCTGGGACGTCCATACGACCGACTTGTTCCTCTGTCAGGAAGATGCGTGGTGCCGTGCCCATCTTCGCTGCTGCTGCTCCTCCGCTGTATCCTGTGCCCATGGCGGTGTACGCCTCCGGCATGTAGGCACCTGGCCCGGGCACATCATCACCATCTGCTCCTGAGCGGGGCAAGGACGCACCGTCAGGACCGGCAGCTCCAGCGTGCCGTGGGGCGGTGCCGAAGTGGTACCCCGCCGCGCCCGCACCCCCTCCGTCCAGCAGCTGCCCGTCACGCGTCACGCGGACCTCGTACGCACCGGGACCGGGTGCCTCTCCGCTACCTCCCCCATCCGCACCAGTGCCGTTACCACTGTTCATTGCCCGCGGCGCGGAGCCAAACGTGTACGGGTGGACGTCAGACGGGTACTGTGGATCGTACTGACCCGGTCCCAACCCGGAGCCGGTGTCGCCGTACATCACGCCGCGACCGACGGTGGAGCCGTCGTTGTGCACCGCGCGCGCCAGCACCACCTGCGGCGCGCTCTTCTCCACCTGCGCGTATTGGGGACTGTAGGCTCCTGGACCAGGTACCCATGCCCCGCCACCGTTGCTGTTGCTGTACACAGCGGCCCCGTTGACGTACCCGGCCGGTTCGCCATACGAGAGAGGCGGTCGAGCCGCGGCGGTGCCCATGATGGCGCTGCGCCCGAGAGGGCTGAGATCAACGATTTGGTAGGTGCCGGGGCCTACGTGGCCACCAGCTCCTCCACCGCCGTCATCATCCGCATCGCTGCCGTCTCCCCCCTCGCTGAAGCGAGGTCCACGAGGAAAGCTGTAGGCGGGGACGAATGCGTCCGCCAGATAAGGGTCGTAGCTGCCGGGCCCGACCATGCTACCGCCACTGTTGTGTAGAAAGCGCGCTGCCGTGCCAAACGCAGCAGCATTACCACCCCCGCCGCCAGTACGCGCAGCCTGGGCTCCGGTGTGCACCTCCACGTCGTACGCACCCGGGCCCGGGACATCTTCGCTCACCGCCTCCGCTGCCGTCGCCACGTCAGCAAAACGCGCACTCGTGCGGGCGAGGGAGACGGTACGAGGCGCCGGTGCCCGAACGTCAACAGGATCGTACAGCCCCGGGCCCGGCTCTTCCGTATCGTGCGGCCCATACGGTGCGTGCGCGTTGCCGCCATCGCGCGACAGCATCATCAGCGCGGCGCGTCCGGCTGGGAGGGCGGGGAGGTTGTAGCTACCAGGACCCACCTCACTGGCGACGAGGAGAGAAGACCGCGGGGCCCGTCCAATGACGGTGCCGGGGCGACGAGCGAGCTGCGCCGCCGCGTCCACGTCGTAGGCGCCGGGCCCGGGCGTGAGGCCTGTCAGAAATCCCAAAGGCGCATCGTCCGCTAACGCATCGCTTTCCTTCGCCAGCCCCGTGCGCTCCCACGGAAAGCGGGGGGCGGTTGTGCCGAGCATCGCCGTAGGACCCGTGGCAGGCAGCGGTGGAAGCGTGTAGGTCCCTGGCCCGGGTCTCTCGTCACCATTTTCATCGTGAACGGCTGCTGCTGCTGCTGCTTCGTCGTAACGTGTCCGTGTGGTTGCCCGTGGCAGCGCCCCGCCTTTCCCTCCACCGTGCAGCCTCTCATAAGCGGCGTGTACGTCGTACGCTCCAGGACCGGGGACAGGGTTCTCGCTGTCGTACTCCCCAGCACCGCCTTCGACGTCCCTGCTCGATGAGTCGTGTGGAAAGCGCGGTGCAAAACCGATCACCGCCGTTGCGGCAGACGGCTGCACGGCGCGATAGGCCGCCTCGGTGTTGTACGCACCCGGGCCAGGCATCTCTTCGGCCGGGGCATCAGCGAAAGCACCTTTAAAAGGAGCTGTGATCGCGGCAGCCGCTCCTGCTAGTGCTGCTGGTGAAGACGCACATTGGTAAGGCATGCGAGTGGCAGTTCCAAACGACCACTGCGGGCTGCGCCGCGGACCCCACGCATCACTCACCACGACGTCGTAGGTACCAGGGCCGGGCAGCGCAGCACTCCTTCCTTCATTATTACTGCCACTGCCGTCGACACCACTCGCAGCAGCAGCAGCGGCGGTGGTCGACTGCAGAGGTCCGCGCGGTCCGCGGTCGTGCTTGAAGGTCATGGACACCGCCGGCGCACGTCTTTGTGTGAAGCGCAGCGCCGCCGCCGTCTCGTAGCTCCCGGGGCCGGGTTCCGCGTCGCCTGCGCCGCCGGCATTGTTGTCCGCTGCTCCTCCGGTGCTTGAGAGGGTGGTGGCAGCGGGAGGGAAAGACGGAGGTGGCGGTGAAGGATTCCGCCCAGGGAAGCGCAAGCTCGTGAGTCGTAACGCGACACCACTGCCGACGCCGTGCCACACACCACCCTCTCTCCTCCGCGCGGCGTCCGCCGCGGCCGCCTCGCCGTCCATCGAAAAGACGTCCCCTGCCGCTTCCTCCTTCACCACCTCCACCCCTTCACGTCGGGGCAGGACACGGCGACCACCACCCGCGAGTGAAGGGTGCGCCCAGAAGTCGGCGGTGGAGGTGCCGATGTAGGCCCCACCAGCCCAGTCCCTCCACGGTACAACGAAAGCCGCGGTAGCCCTTCCTCGCGGCTTATCTACAAACGGGACGCCAACCGCGCCTTCTGTCTTCGTGGACGACACCGCCGCCGCCGCCGCCGCTTCCGTTGTCGTTCCTGTCGCTTCTCCGGCTAGCGAAAAACCAGTGAAGTGCGCGCCGTCGAGCGACTTGGCGAATTGGAAGCCGAGCTTCGCGCTGCCGAGGGGGCGGCTTTGATCGATGCGGTCACCGTCTACGATGTTGTACGACCCGGGGCCTGGCAGGGCAGCCGCGCGCTGTGCCCACGTTGCGTCCCGCTGATACGGTGAGCCGAACTGCAGCTGGAACTGCCGGGCACTCGTGCTGCGAAAGACCACGCTGCTTCCCCTCACCGCCGGCTGCTTTGCCTGTGCAGCGGCGTCTCCTGCGCTGCCTTCCCTTTCCCCGGCTTCTTCCGTCTTCGTCTTCTCCTTGTCCGGGTGCACATCCTCCGTGACGTCTTTGGCGCGGTGGGCGTCGTAGAGGTTATACGCACCAGGGCCGGGGGTGATGGACTTCATTAGTGGCATCCGGGCTGCCTTCGGAATCGCAGCCCCGCGCACACCGTGCGCCGCGGAGCTCCACGCGTAGGCGACGTCGACGTGATAGGCGCCAGGGCCGGGCACGCCAACGGCCGGCCGCTGGCGCGGACGCGAGAGGGCGCGGAGTGCGTCCTCCACTCCCTCGTCTTCGTTCGTTGCGGCTTCCTCCTTGTTCGCAGCGACCTCGTCGGCGGTGGGTGTCGGCGTCGGTTGGTCCGTCGTGTCAGCCCTTTCTGCCTTGTCGTCGTCACGATGCCCGGCTTCCACCCCATCATCAGCGGCCAGTGGCGGCTCCCTGTGGGTCTCGGCCGGTGCAGCGACTGCCTTCTCTTCCTCCTCCGGTGCTTCACTCGGCGAATTGGATGTAGGGGGCGCTGAGGGTTCTGGTAGGAGAGGCGGGGGCGGCGGCGGTGCTGCCGCCTCTGATGTTGTGGTGGGTGTCACCGTAACATCCACAATGCTGGTCGGCGAAGGCGACGGGCCGTCTTTTGGTGATGTCTGCTGCTGCTGCTGCTGTGGCGGCGATGGTGACTTGTCTTTCGTGCGAGCTGTCGTCGTTGCTGTAGCTGCAGCTGCTGCCTTTGCAGGGGACGGCGCATCACGAGCAGCGGCCATGATTTCCTCCATGTAGGTGCGCCGCTGGCTGGTGCCTATCACAGCAGCGCGGCCCTGCATGTTTTCCTTCGCAGCCGCTGCCTCTTCTGCCAGCCAACGCCTCCGCTGCTGCTGCTGGTGCTGCGGATGATGATGCAATGACGCGTGCTCTTGTCGGTGGGCGACGGCGCTGCTGACGGCGTCGTCAGCGGAGGGGGCAGCGGCACCGCGCGCTCGTTGGGCTGCACCGACCTCCTGGCTCGAGTGTGGGCTGCGTAACGCCGATGCGTGAGTCGTGCTCGACGGCGCGGCATCCTCTTCCGCACCATCGCTATCGTTTACGCGCTCCATCAGCTCATCGTATAGGGCGTGCTGGGCCTGATACGCGCACGCGGTAGCGTGCGAGGCGGGGTTGATGGCCATCGTCACATCTGGGAAGTCAGCCCAGTAACACGTGCACAGCCGCTGCGCTACCTCACGTAGCACCGCCTCTTCCTTCTTCCGCGCGCTGGCTTTCCCTTCCTCATTCTCCTTCTCTACCATTTCCGCTTCTCTTGTGTTGCGGCCGTGCGGAACACGGTGTCGATGCTGGCGAATTGGAGAGGCCGCTCGAGCGGAGGAGGCAGGCACAATGTGGGACTCGTGCACCTCCGGCTGATTCGGCCACTGCAGCCGCACTGCGTCCGTCCTTGCGGCAAAAGGAGAAGTAGCCGTTTGCCGTGATCGCGGCGGTGGCGTCTGCAGGTGCGCACCTTCCGGCCCAGCACGACAACGCTGACGAGACCGCGGAGACGGTGTTGCCGCGAGTGGAATGAGTCTGTCTGCCGCGTGCTTTGGTGATGCGCGGCGGCTCTCAAGCTGACAGGGACGCCCAGCACACCGACACGAGTCGCAGCGACGGCAGCAATACGGGCAGGTGAATCGAACGGCGTGCCGAGAGGAGGAGGAGAAGGAGGAAGAGCGCAGATGCCGTTGCTGGTAAGGAGACAAACGTGTACTTGCGCCTGCCATCAAGCAGGAGGAGGTGTCAGATGACGACGACGACGACGTTAGCTTCGTCGGACTGGAGGTGAGGGCGGAGGTGTCCGTGCTCGCTAACACTTTCGCCCCTGACATCACAGCTGTGCTGCACGCAATGCCGGCCGATTGCGTGGATTTCAACGTTCGGGCTCCCCTTTGGACTTCCCTTTCGCCATCGCCGTTGTCATCTGGAGGCGGCGGTGGAACCCGGATCGCAAAAGGAGAAGCATCCCACGAATGCTGAAAGCACCCACAGGACGAAGGCGCCGCACCGTGAGAAGAGGCGTGGGCCGTGAACTGCACTCGGCGATCGTGCTGGTGTTTGCCGTGCTTGCCTGTCGCCATCGTCGACGATGGCGAGCTGCGATAACAACCGTGTATAGTCTGCCTCGAGGTAGCAGCGGCATCCATTTCTTGCCGCCCGATCTCCTGCAACGCCGCGTACATCTGTTGAAAGGACGTCTGCAGAGGCTCTTTTCCCTTCTCCTTGGTATTCGCAGTTGACGCTGCTGCTGCTGTGGTGGTGGTGTGGGTGTGTTTCGCCGTGTCGTGCAACCGAACAGCGCTTTCGCGTGCACGCCCTGGCTTACTGTCGTTGGGAAAGCTGCTGCTGCTGCGACTGCTGCGACCCCGCAGAACACCTAAAGGCGGCTCCCGCACGTAGTCGTATTCGTAGGCGTAGGTGTCAGTGTCGTCGGGCACGTCGCTTGTGCCGTTCACGTGCGCTGATGTCGGCTTTCCCTCACGATGACGGTGATGCGGACTACGATGGTGGTGATGGTGGTGGTGACGCGGTGGGCGGGCAGCGGCGGACACGGAGGCCACAATGGAGGCGTTGGTGGTACTCCGTGCGACATCCCGCAGGTAGGCCAGATAGGACGACGACTCCAACACGGACATGACAGCACAATGGAGTGAAAGAAAGAAAGCAAGGAAGAATAAAATGACAAGCGAAGCGGACCGCAGCAAACTTACGCGGCTGCGTCAATAGAGAGTTGTGCTCTTCTATGAAAGTAAAAAGTGTGTGAGGCGCTTCCTTCAACAACGCCGACCATCAAAAGCAGGAGCGGGAAGAGAGAAAATAATAATAATGAATACAAAAAGACCTCGAAGGACGCCCACACCAGTTACTGTTGGTGATCTACGTGCAACGTTCAGCCGTCTTCGGCACACACACACACACACACAGACACGTGGTACTGCAGGTCCCCTCCGCTTTCTGTTCTATGGAAGTGTATTTTTTTTCTATGTGTCTATTCGGTACTTCTTATGAAATATGTCACTGCGTCTCCTTTTGCTCGCAGTGTGGCTGCTCGTCGGCCGCCCCGTCCTCACAGTCGTAAAACAAAAAAAAAATTAAAAAAAGGTATGTGCTTACGACGCAAGTAATACAAAGGGAAGAGGGGGGAGGTGTGTGCGTGTGTGAGAGGGAACTACAAGTAGATGGCGAAGGTGTCCCCCCCAGGTGATGTCAGCGTTTTCCCGTGGTACTGGTGATGGAAACTCTTTCCTTTCTCCCTCCCGATAAGATAAACATAAGATACATCCGTTGATCGACTGTCGGTGGGGCTTTACTGTCCGTAATGCACAGCGAGTGTGCCTCGCCTCCTCTTCCCCACACGATGAGAGGCATAGTGGAGGTGTCGGTGGTAGTAGTAGTAGTAGCGGCAGCAGCAAAGACTCGGTTCGTCTCCCGTTCAACATATGTTTCCGTTCGTGACACACAACACTATTAATGAAGTGGTGGTGGTGGTGGGAGGGGTATAAACACCTACTGAACAGACTTTCATTAACCTTCAGCGATCGCCTGCGCGGTGTGGGCAGCAGCAGAAAAATCAAAACAAGCAAAAAGCCGCAGTTGCGACGCAACACAACTGCTTTATGCATTTTCCACCTTTTTAATTATTAAACTGTTATTGAATTACAGCCCCTTATTGAATTGCGCGTGCGTTACGGCGTGTCCCAGGTCGTTCTTCCGCCCCTGAAACGACTTCTCCAGCCACGTCACCGGCACCACCGTCGTCTGCGGAAACACCGCGATGCTCATCGGCAGCGCCACACACAACACGCTCACCAGCGTCAAAACGTTCATCGGCAGGTACAACTGCGTGTGCCGCTTCACAAAGAAAGGAATCCCCTTCACCGGATGAAAGAGGAAGTTCATAAAGACTGGCGGAAGGAGCATCAGCGGCACTGGAATCATCACACGACTCAGACCCACCTGCGCCACCGCCAGTCGACCTGCCACCGCGGACGGCGTGCCGTCGTTTAGGTCGGTTCCCGTCTCCGGGTCCTGCACCGCGATGCCCTGCAGCACGTCGCGAAAGCGAATTACACCCAGGTTGGCGATGTTCGCACACGCCACCGCCGTATACGGAATCATCAGCTTCCAGAACCCTCCCACGGCAGCCGAGGAGGCCGCCATCTTGCTCATTGCATACGAGATGCCACAGGCCGTGCAGGTGGCGACGCAGTAGCCCAGGCACAGCTCCCGCATCGGTAGGCCGTTCTTGCCGCTGCCATTGCAGTAGTTAAAGCCCACGTTGTAGGTTTGGTTCGAGAACTGCCAGAACATGCCACGCAGCGGGGTCTGCTGCGAGGGGGCCAGCATCCCGCACAGGTTGATAAAGTTCATCGGCACAAAGGCGGAAAAGCGAAAGGGCAGCAAAATCGGCTGCTTCGACTCAGGGTGCACGATGCACTGCACCCGCTGCCGTGCGTCGAGGTAGTCCGTCACCCTCACGTCTTGCCAGCCGTCATCGCGCTTGCCGACCTTCTCCAGCAGCTGCTCACTCAGCGCGAGACGGGTCGGGGTAGTGAGGAGGGTGCGGGGGTCCGTCATGGCGAGAAAGTGGAAGAAGCGGCCGCCGTAGGTGGACTGGTCGGGCTGGAGGTCGTGCGGGAAGTGGGCTACGTCGCCCAGCGTCAAGGGTGCTGCGTTTGAATGCCCCATTATTTTATTTTAATTATTGTTATTATTTGAGTTCTTCTAGTTCTAGTATTTCTATGTGTGATAGATTTGTGCTGTCTAGCGGGGTCCTAGGACGTAAGGGAGGAAAGAACCGAGCAGAGGAGCAGCGAGCCGCGTTGCCAGGCTGCTTCGGCAATCAAGGCAGCAACAACAAACGAAGGACGGCAATGGCGTGCCAGTCAACAAAACACGCTGCAGACGATAAGCGCAGATCGGTAATGCGTGTACGCTTTATTTTTCTCCTCTTCTTTTTTTTGTGTTTTTCTCAGTTCGTGCTCGTGTGGATGCGCGAGGGTTGTGTGCACGGCTGCGTTGAACAGCGGGGCCTCAACATGGTCATCAACAAGAGCAACAACAACGAAAAAAGAGGGTAGTATCAGAAGGTGTGTGGAGAGAGAACGAGCGGCGTTAAGCCACGGTTGAGTACCGCCCCCCCCCCCCCCCCAACCGCCAGCGGTGGGAGAAGGCACAAAAAAGGCCGAGGAAGGCATGAGTTCCCCCCGCTTCCCTCTCGTACGCGCTTCACTGCTCACATGAAGACAACCAAGGAACAAGCAAACAAACACGCGACATCATCGGAAGCCACTGCTTTTCATTTGGGGGAGGGTCTTTTTGGCCTTCTCCATGCGGCTTCCACGCACCGTTTATTTCATGCCATTATTCATTATTATTATTGATGCTTTACACGTCCACCAAACGCAGGTGCTGGTGCGTGAAAAGAGAAGGGAGAAACCGGTAAATCAGTAGAACACACCGCCATCAAAAGCTGACAGTCGATCGATACAAAAAACACAGATCTAAATAACAATAATAATAGTAATAACACCAATTGTGATAATAATAGTAATAGAAACGAAAGGGCAGCAACGTATGAAAAGCTGTATGTGTGCGTGTGTGTGTAGGTGTGTGCAGCACAGAGCGGCTAAACGGATGATGTGAATGGCGATAAGAAGTATGTATTTCAAAGTTCCATTTTAAAGTTCTTCTTTAGTTGCTTTGGAAAGATAGAATACACACATATATATACGAAACACACGTTGAGGTCGCGGTACAATCGCTGGAGAACGAGCTCTGTCAGAAAAGCAGTGCCATGCGTCCAACACACACGCACCCGCACACACAAGCACCACCTTCCCATGTATGTTCTTTTTTGATTTCTGTCCTCTGGGGCCATCTTCCACTACGCCGTGAAGTACAACACAATCTCCAGCTGCCACGGCGTGTGGCGGTCGAAGCTGTCCGGCACGGCGCCTTCGAAGACGGCGTCAACAAACAGCAGCCCTTGGCCACCCTCGACGGAGCTGCTGCCGCTGCCGCTGCGGCCCTGTACCGGCTCCGACGCGGTGATCAACGCCGCTGCTTTCGTTGTTTTCGCATGCGCATTTTCTGTACAAGGCGTCGTCATCTTTTCGCCCTTCTCGCCACCTCGAGCACTCGTTTTATGACTGCTATTACCATTATCATGTTGTTGTTGTGTTGTGTAGCGGATCGGCGCGGCGGGCCGCAGGTGCGAGGCCTCCCGTTCACGCCCCCACCGCTGCCGCGCCGCCTGCAGCATGCTCTCCGCCTCACTCGACGCACCCGAGAGCACGCACTGCATCCGACACGTCCACGGAACAGTGGGGGTCGGTCACTCATGTTTTCCGTTCGTATTCGCCGCAGTTGCGGTTGCTGCTGCTGCAGCGGCGGTGGTGGTGCTGTTGGGCGATCTTCGATGGCTGCGCGGCTTGTAACCGTGTTCTTTACACGCACTACCCTGCTGCACGCGCAGATCCTGCTTCACGTATCCGACGAACACTTCCACCGCCTCGACGACGTCAAAGGCGGAGAAGTGGCGATGCCGCGCCTGCGCGACACTGTTGTTCACATAGAGCGTAAATTCCTTTTGCGCCGGGTACTGCAGGGTGTGAGGCGAGACCGGCTGGGCGTCGTCCTCCGCCGCCACCTTCGCCTCCAACGGCGTGCTCGCCGCTTCCTTTACCGGTTCTGCCTCCGCACTCGTTGGCGTCCCGTCCGCCGTCAGACGAAGCCGCTGCGCCACCACAGGTTTGCCGGCGCTGGGCTGAGTGAGCCGGCGGCTGTGCGCACGCTGCACACGCGCCACGCGATCCTTTTCCTGGTTTATCGCTGCCGTCTCCTCATCCTCCAACTCATGCTGGGCGATACGCTGACGCACGTCGGCGTAGACGCGTCTGAGCTCAACCGCGAGTGGGTTGGGGTAGGACGAGGCCGCGGGATCGCCTTCGCGAACTTGGGTGCGGTGCAGCGCGGCGGAGGGCTGCAGAGCTGGAGAAACCGGTTTGCTTGCTCTTCTGGGGTGTCGAGGAGAGGGTAACGGGCACGCGCGGCGGCGGCGTTATCGGAGGCCTTCACACCCCTCTCGTTGCCTTTCGCGTCCTTGCTCCCGCCACAGCCCATTACAACAACAGCAATAACAACAAACAAAGGTAAGAAAAAAGGATTTGTAACGCAGAATCCGACCTGGCACACTCGCGCAGGAGTAAACTGCAATTAAATCCGCCGTGCGCGCGAGTCACATGCCATTACGAGTGGGTATACGTGCCGTTGTGAATGAGCTTAACGTGAAAGTGCGATGGCAACAGAAGAAGAGGAAAAAGATAGAAATCACAAGAGGACGTTGTTCCCCCCCCCCCTCCTTCCCTTTCTGTTGCTCCACCGATGCGTGCGGGATACGGCGGTGAGCCGCACACGTGATACTCAACGCGCAACTCTATTCTAATGCAAATATATATATATATATATAATGGTGGATATATGAGAAGCTGGCTCCAACGTGCGATCGTGGGGTTTTCCTGTAGACCTCGCGTGTGGGAGAGAGAGGAAGCGGGACATCCGGGGCATCGAACACACCCAAATAAGGATCGCCATCCGCGGTGAAGAAGAAAAGAAGAAGACGAATGAAGTCCAAACATCCATCGCACAGCCGGAGGTGCGTGCTCCGCAGGATCACACCTGGACCGCTGCGTCGAGGGCCAACGCTAGCCAATACCGCATCGCGTGAATCATCCTGTGTGCTCCTGGTAAAAGAAGCGCAGATGGGTACTATGTGCCGTTACTGTTCAGAGTGTCTGCCTTCGCAATACATAGAAAGAGAAAACACAGAAAAGAAACTCCGCTAAAGCCATTTTTGCCACATGGTCGGGCAGCGCCAAACGATGAGCCTTCCACCCTGCTGTGCGCTACCGCCTCCTCCGCCTTCCTCTCTGCGGTGGCCGGCACAGAAATCGGGGGCGCTGTCGGAGGAAGCAGCGGAGAAGGAGGCGGAGAGGGAAGTAAAAACCGGTCCGTGCTCTGCCGGAGACGACGGGACGGTGCGCTGCATCGCGGCTGCAGAAGCCGTTCACAACGGGCATCGGCACGATGGGATCAGGGGGCGGTTCGACTTGGCTGCGGTTGGTCTTGTGTTTTTGCTACCGCTGCATCTGCAACCCGCTGAGTGGTTGGGCTTTGTGTGGTGCGGGGAGTACGCATCTTCATCGCCTCTGTCGCGCGTGCCGTCGTCGTGAGGACGCGTGACTTTCCGGCAGGCGGCTCCGCTTTTGGCGCGTGTGGTCCAGGCGCGCTCTCCTGCTGTGCTCTCCTGTCCGTCGTGTTGGACGGCGTCGCTGCTGCTGTGTAGGCTGATAACGGCGACGGCAAGGTTGGCACCGCACGCGTCGGGCGACCTTGGAGGAGGAGGAGGTGGTGGCTGGCGGGGGAAGCGGATGGCGCTGCCGCTGCCGTTGTTGTTGAATGCATAGAAGGCGTGCTGTTGGTGCTGTCGTACAAAGATGCTTTGCGGAAAGAGGAGGGAGGTGCTCTCGGTGCTGGTCGAAGGCCGTACTTGCGGCGCATCTGTGTAGCCAGACTCTCCGTCGGCAGTTGCGGCGACGCGAGGTGCGAGGGCGGCGGGGGTGGAGCAGAGGCGAAGAAGGACGTGCCAGGCGACGGCACAGCAGCTGCTGTGTCGGGCTGTGGACCGCTTCTGCAATGCACACCGGCCGTTAGCTCGTCGTCTTCGTCATCCTCGCTCACCTCCGTCGTCCTTGCTGAGGGAGTGACTGCTGCTGCTGCTGATGTTGCTGCTGCAGGCGACCCTCTTCCTCCATTACCTTGTCCTCCGTCCCCCGCGACAAGTAGGACGTCTGCTGGGGAGGACGTGAAGGACGCTGACCGCCTAGACGATCCAGGCGAAAGGCGCAGCGCCGCCGCTTGCCCAGCCGCACGCGTCGGCGTGTACGCGTCCCTCTCCCGCCTCATCACCGCACCGGGCAGCCCGTCGCTGTCCACGCCGGTGGTGAAGTAGGTAGGGAACTTGTACAGCAGCAGCGCGTCTAGTCCGTTTAGCTTTTCCAGCAAGTCCACGGCGGCCGCCTCACTGAGACTGTCCTCCGCGTCCTCGTCGTCGCCGGCGCCGTTCTTGCCTTTTGTGGTGCGCTGTGCCGGCTGTGGTGTGGAGCCACGTGCTGGCTTTTCAGGGGTGATGGCCTCCGCAGAATTCGCCTCCGCCGTCTCGTGTACTCCTTCAGCGTCATCACCACCACCACCACCGCTGCGGGCGCCAGCGCCTCCCTTCGCGCCCGCTTCGTCCTCTCCTGGTTCCTCTCCTTCACGCTTGTCATCATCGTCGAGATCGCGGTGCTCCGGTGCGTGCTCGGCAGGAAGCGAAAAGCGCACGCGTCGCCGCAGGGACGGCTGCTGCTCCTGCTGCGGTGCTTCTTCCTCGGCTTCGTGCGCCGCCGCCTCTGCAAACGCCACCGCGGACTTCTTTTCCTTCTGTTCTCCGCCGGCGTTCGTTGGAGTGTGTCCGGGGACGCCTTCCTCCCCTGCTGTCGTGGTGATGAGGTCCGTATCCACTCGTGTCGGCGAGGCCAGCACGATCGTCGCAGCAGCATCGCTGCCCGCCACGTCCGAGACTTGTGACACGGCGGTGGTGGTGGCGCCGTGGTGGACCTCCGAGACCCCCGGGTGCACCTCAAAACGTTCTCCCTCGTCGTCGTCCTCCGCCTCCGTGTCATCTCTGCTATCGACGACGTCGTTGCTGTTGATCTTGCCTGCCGCTTGCCGCTGCTGCTGCTGTCCTCCACCTGCATCGCTGTGTTGGAAAAACGGGGATGAAGTCGAGGCTGAAGGTGGAAGCTGTACAGCATCTCCCTTCGCCTGTGTTGTGTCGCCCGCTTCCATCAACGTCCCCACTGCTGGACTGTCCTTCGCCGTTGCGTGCCTCGACCCTTGCAGCGCGCGCTCGTCACCCGACGCGTCGGACGCATCCTCGCGGTTGATCGACAACGCAAGCACGGCGCTCTTCGTCCCTAATGTGGACGGCGCAGGCGCACGTGAGGGTTCGGCAGCATCACTGCCACTGCCACTGCCGCCGCTGCCGCTGCTGCGTTGCTCTCCGACTTCCGTCTCTGTGATGATCGATAATTTCTTAATAGCCTGCGGTGCTGTCGCACTCGACGAGAGAGGAGAAGCGGGGGCGCGAAGGGACTCCGTCTTTCCAGGCTCGTTGTGAGTCTCCTGATGAGTGTCTTGGGATGCTGCGTGTGCGACTGTGCTGCTTTCCTGCGTTGAGACCCTCCCTCCCCCATCATCGCTGTCGTCATCGATTGGGTATTCAAAAGGAGGAAGTTGACTTCCACGGACCTCATCGCCTTTTGAGGTCTCGGCGACCGCGCTTCGAGAAGGGTTGCTCGGCGTACCGTTTGCTGAGGCCGAGGACGCCGAGCTTTCCTCCACTGTGTTGTTTGGAAGCAAGGGAGCCTCGCTGCCTTCCTCCGCCGACCGCGTTACCACAGCCGTTTGTCCGGCGCGTGAGTCATCTTCGTCGTTATCGTTATCGTTGTCTAGCGCAGAGGCAGGCGGCACATCATCCGCGCCATCCGGACGCTGCTTCCGCGCATCGTCGCTGTTGCCGTGCTGCTTCTCCCCGTCTTCCACGTCGCGGTGTACGTCAGAGGAGATCGACGCAGCTGCTGCAGCGGTCATTGGCGCCGGTGTCGCGGCAGCACTGCTGTTGCTCTCTTTTGTAGCTGCCCTTCGTCCTTCACCCTCCTCTTCCTCCGCCAGTGACTCCATCGGGGCTGGCATCACCGGTAAGACCCTTTCCGGACTGCCAGGCTGCGTCGGCACCATCGTCGGGTCACAACTTCTATGATCGCTGCTTGCACCGCCACCGCTGCCCAGCGCAAAGGCGGCGCCGTCATCGGAGAACGACAGCGGGCTGCGACTGCGGACCGTAGGCCGCACCGCCGACACGTTATGCAGCGGCGACAGATCACGTTGCACGGCGCGACGCACCATTGCGGGAGGCCCCGCGCTCTCCGCCGAGGGCTGCCGCTGATCGTGTCGGTCGTCGTTGCCATCATCGTCGTCGTCGTCGTCATTGAGCCGCTCCGCGAGTGAGGGAGGCGTCTTCGTGCCACCGTAGCTTCTGGCGCTCGGGTTGTTGCTGTAGTGATGGTCAGTGCTGTCATCGGAGCTGCCTTCGCCACCTTCATCGTCGTCGTCATCCGTAAAGCGGTCGGCGCGACGGCGGCCGCGGTGGTCATCATCCGGGCTGATGGTGCAATCACTACTGTCTCGCTCCGCCCCATCGCTGGAGCTCTCACACTCGCGCCAGGGCCTTGCGGAGGGCGGGTGCTGCCGGTCGCTGCTGTCGCCCTCACCCACGGGACTGGTGCTGGCAGTATGCCTCGCCACAGATGCTTGGGGGGGCGAGGGAGACAGCGGCATGGCGGGCGTGGCCGGCTCATGCCCGGGGTATCCCCCATCGGGATGCCGCTGGGAGCTGTCGAGGCTGTGCGGCGAAGGCGTCTGCTGTTGCTGCGCCTGCTGCTGGGGCCCGGCTTCCTCCTCCGCCGCTTCCTCCTGTGCGCGCAACGTCCGCAACACGCAGATCGTTTCGATGATGTACTGCCGATGTAGCGCCTGTACCGCGGCATCTTCCGCGACGACCAGCACACGTCGGTCGTGGCGCTCTGTCCTGCTGAGGCGGATGCGCAGAGACAGAAAGATGGCGGGCAGCGAAGGCGTGAAGGGGTGCGACTGCGGGGACGGCGCCATCAGCGCGGCTTTGATCGCAGCTGGGGAAACTGCAGAAGCAAGAGGGAGCGCTGCGTTGCTCTTCTTAGGTGGCTCCATAGCGGTAGACGCACTCGCTTGTGATTTACGTGTGCTTTTGTATCCAACGTGTGACTGCGTTGCGCGGCGTGCTCCCGCGTGATGCCGCGGCGAACACTTAGGGGGTGCGTAGAGGTCTTCACGTATGCGTCGCTGCAGCAGCGTTGATGGCGGCTGTACCGCCGTTGCCGCTGATCTTCCATTTACCGCATCCGTCGCGTCGTGTCCCGTGTCGTGCAGCATCGACAGCAGCCCCAGCGTCACGTACTCCTCGAAGCGCTGCGGGCAGCAGACGGTGCAGGAAGGGCGGAGGGCCTGCGCGTACGACAGCTCGATTTGCTCATGCACCGCAGCATCATCACTATCCCCTTCTTCATCGTCATCTTCGGGGAGACTTTTGCCGGACCGCACGTGGACACGTTGCTGCCGCTGCTGCGGTTCAAGCTGTATCTCAGCGACGGTGGTGGTGGTACGGGAGGGCTCGTAGTACTCCGCACGCAGTGCCGCTGCACACCGCCACACTTCCTCCTCCTCTTCCTCCCCTCTCTTCGCGTCCGCTTTCGAAGCCGATGCGTACGATGTTGAAAGAGTGTTGCGGTACCTTCTTCGCGTTGCTTCGGCGGGAACCTGTGTGACCGGCAGACCGCCGCGTGCACCGCCTTCAGCAAACTCGCTGCTGCGGTGGAGGCGTTGGCTGCTGCTGCTGTTGTTAGAGTGGCGGTCACGAGGGCTGACACTGCTCGATGCCGGGTTGCTCGAGCGACGGCCGGCTTCCGCAGACAACGTCTCTTCCCCTTCCAGCTGTGCCATCATGTCCTCCAGAAGGCCTTCGTACCGCCGCTGCAGCGCCGCTGTGGTGGTCGTGTTCGTGTTGCTGATTACTGTAATACTCGGCTTGGTATCTTGATGAGCGGCCCGCTGCTCCGCGAATGCGGGTGGCGGAGAAGACGCCGACACGGACGGCGTATCCGCGAAAAAAGTTGACGGCGGTTTACGCGGGGCCGGCGAGGAGCCGCCGCGCGTGACAGAGTGACCTTCCCTCCCGGCCTTCTTGCGAGAAGGGCGGCGCAGGAGATCGGCGTAGGCGCTGATGGCCCACGAGGAAGAGGATAGCGGACCGGCAATGAGGGTGGGCGTGCGAAGTGCATGAGGCCCAGCGGAGGAGGAGGGGGGCGACACCGCACGCTGAGCCGTCGCCGGTCTCTTCAACGGTGACCGCCGCACTTTACGTACACCAGCGTGTCGGTCGTCGACGCTGTAGCCGGCCATCACTGGCGGCTGCGAGTTCTCTACCGCTGCGCCTTTCATTTCTGTGGCACTTGGCGTCGACTCTTCGTGTTGTCGTGACGAGGTTGGTGTGTGCGGCAGAATACCTTCACCAGGCCTCGTTGAAGCACTTCCTGCAGCTGTAGCCGCTGCCACTGCGGATGGACTCGTCTCTGCCCACAACTGGTGCCGCCGCATCTTCTCCATCACCGCATCGAGCGTTGCGATATCACTCGTCAGGGCGGCCTCGTTCAAATCTAACCGCCCCGCAGCAGCAATCGGTGTCTGCGGCCTTCGGACGGCCCCGTTGTGGGCGTCGTGAACAGCGCGTGGGCGCGAGGCGCTGCGTGACGCCGCCGTCGCCACCGCTGCGTTGATCGCCGCCTCTTGCGAGCGCAGCTTCCGTTCCATCTCGAATTGCCGCAGCGCCCGCTGACGATCCTTGAAGGCATCGTACTGCTGTTGCCAGAGGCGATGGCGATTCTTTTGCTGGGTTTGCCAGGCGGCACGGAAGTGGTTCACGGTGGAGTGCACCCGCGACGCCGCAAGCATAGCGCGGCGACGGGCAGCATGAACAGCAGCAGGGGGCATCTCCGCTTCCTCCTCCTCTTCCTCCTCCCCCTTTCTCTTTGCGTCGCCTCCAATTGGTGTTTTTGAGTTCTGTTGAGAAGGAGCAGGAGAACGCGTGCGGTGACGCCTGTGCACTGACGAGGCGTACTCCTCGTCCGTTTTCCCGAGCTGCCTCGCGCCGCCGCGGCGACAGCTTCGGTGCTTTCCCTGCCCCTCCCCTTCCCGCGCGGAAGCAACAGAGGTGCTCGAGAACGCCGCCCGGTGTCTTCTTGGCTTCCGCTTCCTATTGGCGTCGCGGTGCACGCCGCCGGAGTCGTTTTCGGTCGGCGCGTCCTCGCTTCCTTCTCCCTCCGTCACGTCACTCGCTCTTCGTCTGGCGTCCCTCCGATGCTTTTCTCGCCGCTCCCGCCGGTGGCGCCGCCGCCGCCTCCGTTCCTTGTCCTTCTGTCGACGGACTTCGCTCGACGTCAGCGAAGTGGTGGAGGCGGCCGTCGAGGAGCTCGCGAAGGAGGAGCCGGACGATGCGGAGCGCGTGTCTGACGCGTGCGCGGAATCGGAAGAGGAAGGCGATGACGCCGAACGGTTATGGTGGCGGTGGTGATGGCGACGGCGATGGCTGCTACGGTGGCCATGGCGTCTTCGCTTCCTCCTTTGCGTCTTGTCCTCGCGTCTCGTAGCACCGCCTTTGCTGCCATTGCTACCATCCGCGTTGGCGGCATCGCGCACCTCCTCCTCAGCTGGCCGCGAAAGGATGAGCGCCGCTGCCGCTGCTGCTGCTGCTTCAGGGCGCGTCATCGGGTCCGGTGCGTTCGCCATTGTGTGTGTCTGCCCTCCCTGGCCCTCGTGCCCCAGCCGCGTCGTCTTTGTGTCCTCGGCGTCAGTGTGAAACGCAATAGACGCGTCTACTGAGGTGGATTGGTTGTCGCGGGTCGGCGTCGATCGGGCGGTGGGCAGCCGTGCGGACGGGAGAGGCACGGCGTTGTTGCGGCCTCTGAGCGTGGCGGAGTCGTCCACCGTCGTCGTCGCCAGGTCTGTCGGCACGAGGGTGACGACCGTACTCGCGGCGGTGCCCACGCCTAGCTGCACATCGGACGCCGCGTCCGTTCCTTGGTCTTGTTGCTGTTGAGAGGTTACATCATCGGAGGGGCGACGGGCCGAGATCACCTTCCGCACCCCGCGCTTCAGCCGCGATGACAACCGCGAGAGACCGGCGGCGATGCTGTGCGATGTGGACTGCCGTGACCGCAGTGACGGGGTGCTCCCTTCGTTGTCCTCCGCGCCTGACTTGGACGCTGTGGAGCCACTCTTCGTACGGCACAGCAGCGACTTCCCGCCCAGGGCATTGAGTGCGGCAGAGAAGCTGCTGCGACGACGTGGAAGCTGCGCCGGCTCCTCCTCCGTCTCCTCGACAACGCGTGTGTCTCTTGCTTCTGGCGGACCCGACGATGCAGCGGGGCGCGGCGATGCCTTCTTTGGCTTCTTCGCTACGTTGTTGAGTCCCTGCTGGGCGTTGGTGGGGTTGACGTTCGTGATCGTGTCGGGCGGCCGCGGCGAGGCGATGCTGCTCTCTCGTGTCTGGATCGACGCCGTCTCCGCTGTCGGGGCGGTGGTGATCGAGCGAGCCTCCGCCGCTGCCGCCTTATCCGTTCCAGCGGCAGTCTGTCCCCCCTCTGCGGTAGGCTGCTGGCCGCTGGACAGTGCCGTGAAGGTCGGCAGGGGCATGACGTGATGCAGATCCTGGTGCTTAGGGGAGGGCGACAGCGCCGCCGCCGTCGTTTGGCCACTTCCCCCCATCACATGTCCCGTCCCATGTTTCGGTGTGATGATGCTTAGCATTGGGTTCGACTCGTCGAGGGACATGTCGAAGGACTGCACCCGTCGTGACGCCACGGCGGCAGCAGCAGCAGCAGCAGCGGCGGCGCTGGCGGAAGGCACCAGCGAGGGACGGTGCGAGGACATGAACGTCTCCGCCGCACCGACACCCATCGCCCCGATGGGCAGCATGGAGTAGGTGCCGCCGCGCATCGAGGCCGCGTTCGTCATCTCGCTCACAGTGCAGTACACCGGGTCATCCTCGTTCGGCACGCTGACGGACGAGACACGGCGGTGTTGTTGCACAGAGCTGCTCTGACCGAGGCTGAGCGGTGCTGCCGCTACCGCGTACGCCGCCGCGGGCATCCGAGCGAAATTCCCGCCACTCGCCATGCTGCTCGTCGGCGGTGACCCGGGCGAAGACGTTGACGGCGTGCGTATGTGGTGAGGGCCACTGTCGTATCGTCGCTGCGGCGGTGGTGATGGTGGTGATCTGTCTTCGTCTTCATCACTGTGCTGTTGCTGCTGCGGCGCTTGTTCATCCACTGCAACGGCCGGTATCAGCGGCACGTGCGGAGACGATGGGTCGTAGCGGGGCGAGGGAATGTGGCTGGCGGAGGTGCCCCTCGCTGGGGCAGCGCAGGAGAGGCCTGTCGCGGTGTTCGTCGTGACGACCGTGCGCGGTCGCACGCTCGTCGTCCCCGTCGTGTAGAGCATCTTTCGACTTACCGGGGTCGACGGGGGAGAGGGGGATGGGGTCGTCGCGGCCAGTTCCACAACCTTGGAACGCATCGCTTTCGATGGTGCGAGCACCGCGGCCGTCTTCACTGGGACGAGCTTTCCGGGCGAAATGCTACGCGGGGATGTCGACAACGACGATGATGGCTGCTGCTGCTGCTTCTGTTTGTGTGGCGGCGTCGCACCAGAGCTGCCGTGCGCATTCGTCCCCTTCAGCGTCCATGGTTTACCTCCCACGTGAAGGGTGGCGGGTGGTGTCGCGGCCGTGGCTGCCACGATGGGCGGGGACGCCATCGCAGGGACTGCAGCCACCTGCTGCTCCGCCTCTTCTTCTTGAAAGTCAATGCTGCCTCTCGACGACGTCACCGAGTGACTGGTTACATTCATGCGGGCAGACTTGTTTCTGATACCCTCCTCCTCCTCCGCCATGTGTAGGCCACCCGACTCGTATGGAGTACGATGCTGGTGGTCACGATGGCCTCGGACCGCCTCGTCACTGCTGCTGGCGTCGCCCTCCTGCTGCGATGGTGGGTGTTGGGACTCGCCGGACGAGTTCGGATGCGGGACGTTGAGCTTCGCCACAGCTCGCACAAACAGCAGACTCGCGTCCGACGGCGAGGCAGACCATGAACCGTGTCCCACCGCCGGTGCCTCGACCAGGCTGGACGAAGCGGATGGCGGTGGCGTGGCTAAGGCAGCTCTTAACCCTGGCAACGGTGGGGATGAGGTGGAGGATACCGCGTTAACTGCCTGCGGTGAGAGAGGTGGGTGACGAGATCTGCTTGGTAATGATGAGGCCGTGGGTGCGGCGCTGCTGCCGAGTGCGAGTCTCCTCTTCGTGGCCTGTGCGTTGAGTGGCGGTGCAGTGCGAGAAGCCGCCGCCGCAGCGGCAGCGGTGGTGGTGGCACCTTTGCCGGTGCTGCTACTTCGACCGACCCCACCGCCGGCGTGCGACGATGCCACGGAGAACTGAATGGAGGTGACAGTGGTGGTGTCCTCCGAGGAGTCGTTCATGATTATTGTAACTGCCTTTTCAGCGTATGTAATATGTATTCTTATATGTCTAATTTCCTAGATAGAGACAGAGAGAAGGTTACGATGCTCGTGCGCAAGGCAAGTTCCTTCTCGCCCCCCTTCAATCCTTTTACGTGATACAACTCTAGGTGACGCTAGCCTTGAGTGATGGGGCGTCATTGCCGGTGATACAACAAGAGCACACACATACACACACAAATATATACATACCGATAAATAGAAAAGGAGGGGGGAGAAGGAGGAGAAAAACAATGGCGAGACAGAGTAAAAAGTAATTATTGAAGGAGAGGGGGGGGGGCGAAGGAAACGACAGCCAACAACAATAGTAAAAGCGATATCAGGCGCTACGTAACCGAGTACGATCAGGCGGGCCAGGACGCGCCTGAGTAACTCTCTTCTAGTGTTGACATTTGCCCTGTCACTGTGCCGCATCACCAAGGGAGCCGCCCCCAAAACATAAAACACCTCCCCCTCTTCTCCCACAGAATCCCCCTGCATTATGTTGCCTGGAAAGACCGTGTATGGTGATGCGACACGCTGCCTTCGTTGAGCCGTTCACGCGGTAAATGGTATCGAGAAATCCTCGTAGCAGGCAAGGAGACTTTATCTCCTGCACGTTCTGCATCTACGCCGCCAGCTGTCATGAGGAGCCAGGGACGTGTTGTCTTGGCGGCGCGGCGTGCACCGTGGATCGGGAGGGACCAGGCCACCATCCGCGGTGTGGACTGCTGCACCTGGAACGAGCGACGCTGGTGGACTTCGAGGCCGTGCTCTGGTAGAGGAGAATACACGTCGTGCTACGCAGGAGCTGTTTGCAGCGGCGATGCAGTACGTAAGCTCCGATAGGCGTTACACTTCTCTGCGCATCCCGCGCACCTTTTGTTTCCCTCTCTTTTATTGTGGCAGGCGAGACAAGCCCAGCCAGCGATTCTCTTCATTGATGCATGAACGAAGACACACCGCGTAACGGGGTCGAGCACGCGATGCCCCTGCTTAAGGAGTTAAACTCAGCAAAGCTGGGAGAAGGGACTTTACGCATCTTCCTTACCGCACCACACACTCACACGCATACACACCTACTTAGAGAGAGAAAGAATCATATTAAGTTTTTCTAACAAACTCCTTTACACTGTTCTACAGCTCCGGTGCCTTCATTGCAGGCATGCGTGTGCGTCTCTTCTGCTGGAGTTTCGTTGAGTTCTTCATCGATGCCCATCCCCTGTTCGAACAAAGCCAGCCGCCTCCCTAAAAGAAAAAAAAGAGCGGAGAGCGCATCCTCTTATGCGGAATGCACATGCAAGAAGAGGGCGGGGGAGGGGACATGCGAAGCCTTCTGAAAGGTAACTCTAAAAACAAAGAAGAGGAAGACGGTGCACGCGGCCGGCTGAGGTGGGATAACTATGTTGGTTCCCCCCTCAGTCATGCCGCAGAGAGGGAAAAGAGAAAGAGGTAGATGTCGAAATAACGAGGTGACCGCGGACGTCGATGAGGAAGGACACAAAACGGCGGGAAATCGAACATGCGAACGCACACTCGCCCGCCTGCGCAACAGCAGAGGCGGTGCAACCACCTCCACAAACCCCACGCGGATATCGTTGTGAAGTACTATCGCTGTTGGGGGGGGGGGGGGGAGAGAGAGGAGGAGGATCTACTTTCCGTTTCCTTAACACACATTTTTTATCTCTTTTTTGATGCAGCTCGCTGTCACTCCTTCTGCGTGTGACACCGACACCCACACACCTACACACTCACCCACACAAACGAAAAGGTCGTCTCACTTTCTCCTTCGGCAGAGCTCACTCCCCACCTCCCCTTTCCCTCGATTAATGGCCGTCGTCTCCACAGCTACTTCTTCGTTCTAACAACGGCCATCCTCCGCATCAGAATTTGTTCCAGCGAATCAAATGCGCTGTCGCAAAGCGTGAGCTCCGCACCTTCGCCCGCTCCGCCGCCGCCGCCGTCGCGTGTCCTACGCTGATCAGCACCGGCACCGTGCAGCGCGCCGGCACGCCCAGCACCCGCTTCACCGCCTCCTCGTCGATCCCCTCCATCATGCACGTGTCCCATCCGGCGGCCGTCGCCAGCTGCATAAACGTGGTCGCCGGGATCATCGTCTGCTTCCACGCGTAGCCGGCGCGGCTCACCGGGGCAGAGATGACGGGCGTGCCGGTCACCTGGCTGTACCACGTGCTGAGCACCGACTTCGCGGCCGCCACGGTCTGCATCGGCCCGCCGTGCATGAAATAGTATATGTTTCGCAGATAAGCAGCGCCGTAGAGAGGGCCGTAGTAGCCGGTCTCAAGGCCCATCTCCAGTGCCTGCGGGGCGTTGCACTCCGGCTCCGTGTCGCCGACGAAGACGACGGTGGCGGGGGCGTCGAGCACCTGCGGCTGACCCAGCGCTGCCTGGAACAGCCTCTCCCGCACCGGCATCTCCGTCACCACAATGGCGTACCAGCCCTGCAGGTTAAATCCAGTGGGGGCGCGCGTTGTCGCCGCCAGAACCCGCTCGAGTTTCTTCATATCGATGGGCTGCGCCTTGTCGAAGTGGCGACACGTCCAGCGAGTGAGAACAGATGCTTCTACTGCCTCAAAGGCAGTCGGTGTAGTGCCGTTATTATTATTATTGCTGTTATTTTTAATGTCACTGTTCACCGTAGTTGGTGCTACCGAGGAAGAGGAAGATGCGGCTGCAGCGTCGGCGGCGGCGGCGTTAGAGCTGTTCCACGCCATGAGACGGCGAAGAAGGGAGAAGAAACTGTCTTGCTTTTGTTTTGCACCACCGCCGGCTGCAGCGGCGTCGCTCGCCACGCGGAGCCAACAGCATTGACGCAGCATCCTTTTCTCTGTGCAGTTGCTGATGCTGATGAGGCAGTCGTTCGAGTCCGCTTCAATTCGCACTGGAAGCTCAAAAAACAACAACAACACCGCAGCAAGAAATAAATGAGGCGGTATGAGATGAGCGAGGGAAGGAAGAAACGGCGTTGCCTTTGATATGAGAAAACGATTTCAGGAATTGACTGCAGTAATGTGTAACTCAGAGAGATGAAAGGGTGGTGGCTTCGTTGGGACAAGACGGCGGTGTTTTTAAGAAAAAAAAAAGGAATAATCATAAATAGTCCATATAGGAGATATGGCCGAACAAGGAGGAGGAAGAGAAGGGGGAAAGAAGAGGTCAGTGCAAATCGTGAGTTGTTGATTGCTCGCACGCACGCAGTTCACTCACACACAGAGACGTTAGTCACGTGGGCCATGGGAGAAGGGAAAAGCTACGAAACAATAAATACAGCTCTTCCATAAAGAGCAGTACAGTAGCTTCCCGCCGCACACCCAACAACTGCGTTGTCCGCATCGTCCACCGCGCACGTACGAATTTCTCTCTCTCCCCCACAACTTCGGCGAAGCGGAGACGGCAATCGTGGATTGGCTGCTGCGCTGCAGGTCCCCTCAAGCCCCATCCTCAGCAGCATAATAATAGTAACAATAATAATAATAGTACTTATCAACAAAAAGAATAATAAAACATCTGCGTTAATGAACATGAGTGAGGAAATACCGTCCAACGGCACAGACTAGGGATGATTGAAAAACATCTCTTCAAGGAAAAAAAAAGAAAATTAGGCTTTAACCAACAAGCAAAGGCCCCAATAAGATCGATAAAGGTTCGCGTACATACGCATACATGTATATCAATCATCGATCTTCGTAAAAGCAATACGGAGAAAGAGGGCGAAGAACCAACTCCTAAAGGGGCTAAACTACGTACATAGGAAAGGGAAGAGTGGCGGTGGGTCGGCACGCAGCAACATCGACAGCAAGCCACTCGCAAGGGGACGGAAACTTCTACAACCCCAGTTAGCTTGAAATGGGAGGGAAAAAACAACGAAAAAGAAGGTAGATGAACTAGAGCGTACGCTTCGCGGCACCACCAAGAAAGCCAGCACACACAAACAAACACACACACACACATGAAAGCGGACTCTGTGGTTGTTCCCACCGGACCAATCGAAAGAGAGGGAAGAGGAAAAGAGGGAGGAGGAACGAGTGAGAAAAACAAACACAAAAACAAATGATTCGGTGGGGCCAATAGTAAAAGAATCCAAAGCAGAGAAACACACGCACACATACAGTATCATCAATAAACAGCAAAGCGGAGTCTGCGTGGCCTTACATACATACATCCATCCATTCATCCACTCATACATAGAAAAACAGAGAGAAAGAAAACCAAGCAAGCAAACTAAAACGCCGGTGTTGCTTACATGAGGGCGTGGAAAGAACGCACCGGGACTCATTAGCTCGGCGCACACGCGTTGGCGCGTATCCACGCCGTGACGTTTCAGAAGCGAGAAAAAAAGGAAAAAAGAAGGTGCATCATCTACTTCAAAGGAGATAGGAATATATATACACTCTGTTCGTTCGTTTTCTTGTTTAAATTTAAAAAGCCCGAAGAAGGCGCAACAACAAACAATCACATAAAGAGAAAACTGGAACACCGCCTGCGACGCGTACCACCACACGGGCCTTTACATGCTGGTAGTTGTCGTGTGTACGTGCGATTCCGCGTGGGGCACTCACGTGCATTCCTCCATCTGAATGCCCGCCGCACACGCGACGTGCGGAGCTGCAAAGAACGCCACGGGGCTGTAGTTGAGCGCCACGGCGAGCCCGTTCGTGGTCTGGTGCACCGTCTTGGCCCCACTAAACATATCCGACGCCTTGCACGGCAGACCGTCGTCGTCGTCGTCGTCCGTCTTCAACGACAGCGAGGGCGCGGACGACACACGCGCTCGCGGCGGAGCCCGGCGCAGACTGCCAAGGCGCCCCGTCACGCCACCGCCACCTCCGTGCGACGTTGCTGGACGCACCGCCGCCGCCGACGACGATGATGACGACGGCAATCGTTTGGCGGACTGCGTCAGCAACATGGTGCGCATCCGCTGCGCGCGCTGTGGTCCACGCATAGCGGAGGCTGAGGCGGAGAGGCAGACGTGGCCGGTGCCGCAGCACCCAAGGTAGGTGCGCACGCCACCGTCGATAATGGGTGACTCCACACCCACCGCCGCAGCAGCAGCAGCAGCACCAGCACCAGCAGCCGGTGACTCCGCGGACACGAGAGGTGGCAGCTGCATCGAGCCCGCTCCTGTCGCTCCAGCACCTGTTACTCCTGTTGCTTTGGAGGCGCCGTCTTTCTTCTGGCTCTGCCCTTTTCGTGTGCTCGCCGTCGTCGCCGTTCCGCCTCGGTGGCGAACCGCCTCCCCCTCCAGCACGCAGTGGTAGTGTAAGATGCCCGCGTAGTTCGCCGCGCTCGTCGCGTTGCGCGGGGTACACCAACACGCCTGCAGCGGCGCATCCTCCATCTCCTCCAGCAGCACATTCCGCCGCGCAGAGGCGGCCCCAGACAACACCGGGGCCACCAGCACGTTGGACAGCCCATTAGACCGCATCACGAAGCCCTCCTTGGCGTACCACGGCGCCGCGGCGCTCTCGCTTCCGAATTGGCTTGAGGTACTGCGGGCGTGCACGTCGACGCACGGCGGGGCGCGCGTGTCCACCTGCAGCGGGTGAATGCGGTGTCGGAAGGCCTCTGCCTCGGCCATCACGCGTGCGATGCGCTGCGGCGTCTCAAAGCGTGCCTCGCGGCGCACCTGCAGCGACTTGCGCATGTGCGAGCACGTGAGGAAACGGGGCGGCCTCGTGGGGGGCGAGAAGGGCGGCTTCTCCATCGCGGCTTCTGCTGCTGCGTTGGGAAGGAAAGCATCGCGGTCTCCATCATCACCATCCTCCGCCACCGTGTGCGGTGAGTCGTCGGCTGCGTGTGCGTCGGCGTCCTCCGCCGCCGCGTCGACAGCTACTTCGCGCAGACTGCCCCCATCACCGCCATTTTCCATCTCGACTGCTGCATCCGTCGGCGGCTGCAGCTCCTGCGGTGCGGCCTCAACCAAGGCATCTTTGACGATTACTTCGGCCGCTGCTGCTGCTGCTGCTTCTGTCGCTGCTGCTGCGCGACGAACGGAGAGAATGGCATCGATTTCATGAATCAAAGCCGGCAGCATCACGTGCGTGCCGTCCAGCTCCTCGCGCAGGTGCCGCCGACGGCTGCGAAAGCGTGCCGACTGTCCGGGCGTCAGCTCATGCAGCGTCGTCTCCGACACCACGACAGCCGCCGCCGCGGCATCAGTGGCACCAACCGCCGCCTCACCCTCCCCTCCGTCTACTTGGGCAATCAGTGTCTTGCCGGAGCGGAAGTGGCCGTCCGCGGCGCACGCGTACTCAAATCGCACCGCCGTGTCCGCCGGCGCGCCCTCCAGCTCTACCGCACGCAGCGTCGTGTTCCCTAAGTTGCGCACGAGCTGCAGCACCATTCGAGCGCTGCGCCACGTGCACGCGGGGTTGCCCGCCAGCTGCAGCGTTGTAAGGGACGAGGACGTGGTGCTGTCGGGGTGGGGAATCAGACCGCGCAACACCGCGTGCACATCGTGATCTCTGAATTCACATTGGTGGAGGAAGAGCTCCCGCAGAGGTGGGTTGGTCGCCAGCCAGCGGCCGAGCTGCGCGGCGGGTGTCGGCGAAGCGGCCCACGCCTCATCAGACGACGCTCCTCCGACAAGGCAGAGCGTATCATCATCATCATTGTTGGGCTCTTCCTTTGGCTCAGTTGGCGACGCCGCACCCGGCAGCTTGACGGCAGATCCTAGTGCGTTTCCGCTGAGTCGCAGCACCGTCAGCATCGGCAGCTCCGCCACGGCGCGCAACAGCGGCTCCACCACAGTTGAGGTGAGATTGTTGTAACTCAGATCCAGCACCGACAGCGCCGTGTCCCGTCCGAGAAACGCGAGCGCGCTGGCGGGCGGCTGCTCGAGTGACAGCTGGAAAGGCTGCGTGAGTGCATCGTCGCCGAGCTTGTAGCCGGCGAGGTGCACCTGGGCGAAAGGCTGTAGGAGGAACGCAGTGGTTGACACGGACGACGGCGGGCACGTCGCCTGCGTTGAGATGGACCGGTTCGCAGGACTTGAGCACTCACAGGTGCTGTCGTTGCCGTCCGCGTGTGACGCTTCAATCAGCGCGAGGGCGTCGGCGAGGTGGGCGAGTTGAGCGCGGAGTTGATCGAGCTGCGCCGCACGGAATGACTCCAGACAACGTTCCGACTGCGGCTGCGCACCAGCCTTGAATGTCGGCGTGCTTTGATACTGCCCCATTCTGAGTACGTGTTACTGAGACAGCGACAACGACACACACACACACGTAAGCTTGACGCTAAAGCGAAACGGATACCTCCCACGACGCTTCTCTCTGCAGTAATACCAGAAGTACTGTTACAATAAACAATAATAATAATAATAACGTGTCAAAGGCGCGGCTTAACGAATGAGTTGCCTACCGAAATACTCTCGCAGCTAAAAAAAGCGCTCTTTTTTGGTTGTTGTTGTTGTTGATGGCGGTGTCCCGAGGCGTTGGGTGCAGTAAAAAAGGGGGATTCGGATAACAACAGAGGTGACGTAAAGCGTGGCGAAACAGAGCGATGATGGGTGCCGTTTGCCGTGTAATCGGGTGAGGTTGATCATCATCATCATCAACGTACGAGTACTCACAACGAAGTCATCACCATGGCGAACGTGGGGGGGGGGGGGGGGAACGGAGGCCTTGTCAGGCGTACACACTTCTATTTTTTTCTTTGCTGTGTGCGTGGGCACATATGTGTGTGTGTGTGTGAGTTCCCTTCCCAGCGCACTCACCGCATTTCGCGTGCGGTGCTGCTGACGCCAACTTCATGGAAGCCTTTTTGCTCATGTAAGAGAAAAACGAAAACATCGTTCTTGATTTATGGGATTTCATTCTGACGTATCACAGACACACGCGTTTGGTGCGTCTTCGTATCTTCTCTCGGTGTTTGCTGTACATCATCTACATAAGTAAACAAAATAATAATAGTAAAAAACAAGTTGCAGTGGACATCTCCGATATCGCTGAACTGTCAGAGGCTGTGTGTGTTTTTCCTTTTCACCCGTTTTCCCAGTGTTCTCGCGCCGATGTATCATCCAACTACCTCTGACAAGGCCCACAGCTTTAAAAGCACACGAAGTGGCAGAGGAGATAGAGGAAACGAGTGTGTGTGTAGTCGGGGGGGGGGGTAGTCCGGAGAACTCGCTTGAGCAGGCCACCACGCACCGTCTAGGCACGACAGCGCAACCCACCTCTCCGCACGCAAAGACGTCATCAGCGTGCGTTTTAAGGAGGCTTCGTTTCCTCACGCCTGCTGGAGTAGCGCACGCGCAGCACTGCGATTGCCGAGCTCTGCCGCCAGCAGCAGCGCCGTACGCCCTTGCCCATCCGGCAGCTGCGTGTACGCCGTCCAGCTGCGCACCCCGCTACCCGACGCAGCATCCATTTGCAGCAGTCGTGTGGCGTTGTTGGCGTCGCTGTTCGCAGCGTCGGCGTCTGCACCGCGGAGCAGTAGCGGACGAGCCCCCCAGTGCCGGGTCTTCTGCCACCGCTGCAGCTGTTCGGTGATGGTGGAGGGCTGCACAAGGGCGGCCACGGCACGCAGGCCGCCGTGTTGTTGCTGTAGGTCAGCAGGCGTTCTATCAGCCGCAGCGGTGGTGTGAAACGGCGTGGGCAGGACGTCCTGCCCTGTGCGTCGAATCGGCTGGCCATGCAGCGGCACTGCCTTCCCCTCAGCTGTTAGCCTCGACAGGGTGTCCCGCAGCGTCGTCATCATGCGTTGTAGACGAGCCGCCAACAGCTGCTGTCGTTGCTCCTCTTCTTCTTGTATCTCTGCCTTGGCGGTGACCTCTGCTGCCGCGTCTGCAGCGGTCGGTGAAGAGGTGAGGAGGTCGTTCCGCATCAGCACACAGGCGTGCAGCGGAGTACGACCCTGCGCATCCACCGCCACAACACTCAACGGGCTCATGCGTAGAATGATCTCCATCGCTTCGACAAAGCCGCTCTCAGCAGCGGCGTGCAGCGGCGTCCGCCCGTGTGCGTCTTGCAGGCCCCACACCATCGACAGCACCTCTCGGTCACCGCTGTTGGCCGACTCCCGCATCAGCGTGTACGCCTCCAGATCCTTCAGCAGCCTCAGCAGTGCCGGCAAACGCTGCACGGCATGACAGGCCGAACTGCACAAGACGTGCAGCGGCGTTTGCCCTTGTGCGTCCGTCAGCAACCAGCAATGCGAGGGAGATAGCAGGTGCTCGGCGCACTGCCACTGCCGCAGCGCCGCTCGTCGGTGATCGGCCTCCGTCGCGCCTTCGCCACTTGCGTCTGCGTCGACCGCGCCGCGGTGGGCATCGTTGACGTCGCCGCTCTCCGGTCGGCTGGTGGTGACGCTGCGGTCATCGTCGTCGCCGAAGACGCCTGTGTTGTTGCCGCCGCCGCTCGCGACGCTACTGTCGGCGAGCGAGAGCTGATCCTCGGCGAGGCCGTCGCCGTACAAACCTTCCACGGCGGCATCAGCCGCGTCGCCGGCCTCGTCAGTCCACAACCTGCGACGTGCGGCAGCAGAGGCGGAAGAGGATGGCGACGGTTGCTGCTGCTGTCCCGCCAGCCGCTGCTGACCCCGTCGGTCCCGTGCGCTACCGTCCTGCGAGCTGGGTCGGTGCCCTGCTCGTCCGCCTTCGCTGCTGTTACGGTTTAGCCGACGGCGCAGCGCGCTCTCCTTCGCCCCTGCCGCACCTCCGGTTTTCCTGCCACCACGGTGATTCAGCAGAGCGCTCTCCGCGTCTGCTGCTGCGGCGGCGGCGGAATCCGGCAAGCGTGGCCGCAGGCGTGGTTCACGAGACTTACTTCGACTGTCGGCTCGCCGCCCACGGCTGCCCGCCGCTGCCGCCGCCGCCGCTGATTTGCGATCGGGCACCGTGTAGAAGAGCATCTGCAACAGTTCCTCGTTATCCTCCGACGGGGTCGCCAGGCGGCGGGCGGCGAGGTGCTGCGGCGTGTCGAGGTTCGTGCCGCTTTGCGCAGACGGCGTCGCGCCGTACTCCAGCAAAGTTCGAATAAGTGAGGTGCGGCAGTCCCGGCGACAGCACCGTCGCCGCTGCTGCTGCTGCTCCTCGTCGTCCGCTGCAAACGACGCTGGCGAGGTCGCAGCCTCGTCCGTTTCGTCCTGTTGCGGTGCTGCGGAGGACGGCGGAGTCTGGCGCACCGCAAGGAACAGCGGCGTCTCGTCTACGTCGTCCACCTCGTCCGGGTTGGCGTAGTACGACAGCAGCAACCGCGCCAACTCCACCTGGCCATCCGCCACGACACGGTGCAGCAGCGATCCCCCGTTCGGCAGCCCGCTCGGCCGCAGCGAGCTCGCCTGCCCTTCTGCCAGCAGCGCGGTGGCGACGCGTATCTCCGCCGCGGAGGCCGGCACTGCCGGTCGCGTCTGCCTGATCAGCAGCTCCAGCGGTGTCGCGTGCGCGCTGCGCTCCTCCGCCTCCACATCCACCAGCGCCACGCCGCCATTCGCGAAGAGGAGGTCGGTGGGGGAGACGGGACCACCGCCTGCCGCTGCGGCTGCTGCTGCGGCAGCGGCGGTGTTGCTGTCGCTGCGCCGTAGCCGACCCGCACTCGTGAAGGAGCCGCTGCGTTGCGAGCCGCGCCGGCCGGCGCTGCCGGCCCGCGTGGACGAGGTCCCGCGCGCGCCCCCTGCGCCTCGTAGGTTGCCGAGCAACTCGGAGAAGACATCCGGCCCCCCGCCCGCTGCCGTGGCGCTGCTCAAGAGCTGCTTCGTGTGTCGCAGCAGCAGCACCACCACAGTGGGGTGCTGCTGACGGACGGCGACGTGCAGGGGCGTCCAGCCATCGCGGTCCGCGCGGCCAACCTGCAGCAGCACCCCGAAGCGCAACAGCAGCTTCACCGCCGCTTCGTTGCCGACCAACGCGGCGTAGAAGAGCGGGGTGCGACCGGCCATGTCCGTACAGTTCAGGTCGATCTTCGAGCCAACCGCGGCCGGGATGGAGATGACCGCCTCCGCAGGACCGCTGCTTTCGCCGCCCATGACGGCACTCAGCGTCGAGGCCCCCGCACCTCCACCTCCTACCGCGCCGCCGGCGGGCTTTACGTGCATCAGCATCACCTGCGGTGACAGCAGCATCTCCAGCACCGTCGGGGCGTGGGCACAGAGCGCGGCATAGTGCAACGCCGTCGCTCCCTGCGAGTCCCGCTGCATCGGGTCCACTCGGTAGTCGATCACCAGCCGCCGAATCAGCTCTGGGTGGTAATCGAAGATGGCTTGCTGCAGCGGGGTAACGCGAAGTGAAAGGCGTCCAGGGCAGAGCTGCTGCTGATGTTGTTGCTGCCTCCGTTGACTGCTTGAGTAGTGGCCTGCGAAGGGCACGGCGGTGCTCGCAGAGCCGGACATCGACGTCCGGCTGCCGTAAAAGTCCTCTTCCCTTTCCTCTCCTTCATCGCCGGCGCCACTGTCGTAGTGCTCATCACTGACCGCAGTACCGCCAGCAGCAGCAGCAGCGGCAGTCTGCGACTCGCCGAAGCGTACGTAGGGTAAGTCAAGGTCCTCATCTGGGATGTAACCCTGCAGCACCGCACCGGCCTTCAACAACGTGTCCACCGCCTCTGCGGTCGTCGTCGTCGGGGGCAGGAAGGACCACCACGTGCCCGCCTCGCGGCCGCCAAAAAACGGTTGAGCTGGCGGCGCGACAGAGGGCAGCCGAGCAGCAGCAGAGGCGGCCGATGCGTTGTTGGACGTCGACGCCGCTGCCGCGCTTGGGTTTGTGCTGATGCGACGCGCGCTGGCGCTGGCGAAGTGATCCTTCGCTGCGCCACCACGGCCGGCATTGCCGCCGCCGCCGGCCGCCCCACCACTCCCGGTTGTGGTCAGCAACGGCAGCTGCAGTGGTGGGCAGAGGATGTAGTTGCGCTGCGCACTCGGCGGCAGCTGCGTGAAGGCGATGGCGTTGCTGACGGCGGTGCTGATAGTCGGTGGAACAGGTGTGCTCTGCGCCGCCGCGTTCGTCGCGTTCGTGTTGGAGGTGGAGGTGGAGATGTTCACACCGTCGGTGCCGCCTCCCGCTGCTGCTGCTGCTGCGGCGGCAGCGGCGGCATTCGCGGCGGCCCAGGCGGCCGTTCCATACAGCGTTTGGACGTACTTGGCGTCGTTCCGCGCCGTCCCGTGCCGCAGCAGCGACAACACCGCCGACTCACCCCACACGTTTTCGTACTCTAGCGAGAGCCCGTGCTCCGTCAGCACCTTCAGCACCGCTGGTTGCGCCGCCGCGTAGTGAATGAGGGTGTATCGCCCGTCTGCGGACAGCTGCGACAGGCGATCGCCGTGGCGGAGTAAGTGCTCTACCCGTGCGACGTTGCCGCGTGCACAGGCACGCGCCAGGCGGGTCTGGGTTGCGTTCACGAGGTCGTGGAAGGGCATGGGGGCGCCGAAGAAGTACAACAGGCGAAGCGACAAGGTGTCACCGCGTTGCAGGGCGATAGTGGCGGCGGTGCAGCCGAGGGAGTCAACTTGGGTGAAATCAAGTTCCGTACGCTGCTTCAGCCAATCACCCCCGTCCCCACGTGCCCCTTCTCCTTCCTCACTCGTCGTGCGGTGGGGGTCCATGTCGCCTTCACCCGCGCCGCCTTGCCCTTTCAGCGATTCCCTGCACAGCTTCTGTAAGTTCCACAACGCAGCGGAGGTGCGGGGTGCGTCGCCTGCGTGCACGCCAGCGTTGTCTCCATCGTCGAGGTGTGGGTAGGCGCTCATCAGGATAGGCAGCCGACGTGGCGGCAGGCCCCTTCCACCACCTCTGACGCCGCCGGCGGAGGCACCGCGAGCGAGCGGGCGTTGCTGACGCTTCTGAAAAGCAGCCAGGACCGCCTCCGCAGCCGCGGCCGAGATCGTGAAGGGGCCGTTGCCACCGAGAATGGAGTCCGTTACCCAGGTAGCCGTGGGGCGTGGTGACTCCGGCCCACTCGGCACAGGGGCCGTGGCGCCGCCCTGCTTACCCTTTCCCTTTGGCTGTTGCTGCTGCTGCTGCTGTCCGTTACTCGGTGCGGGGGCGGCTGCTGCAGCGGCGGCGGCGTCGTCGGACTTGCCTCCCCCGCTGGTGCTCACCGGGTTCACCGATGGCGGTAACGATGCGAGCTGCTGATGTCGCAGCGCCCCTACCACCGTCTCCTGCTCGACAGCGCTCAACAGCGAGTAGGGCAACGCGGCGGGGCACTCCTCTGCGTTGGTCTTCTCTTCCTTACGGGCGTCGTGCTGTTCATTACCTTCTTCTTCTTCGCCGGCGGCTGCGGAGGGCGGCATCAACTGCGGTGGAAGCGGCGCCGCGAGCAGGAGAAGCCGCAGCAGCTGTGCGTGATCGCCGCGGCTGACAACGCAGTGCAGCACCGATCCGTCCACGCTGCGCTCCTCCTCTTGCTGTCCGCGCTGGGCGTCGTCGGCATTTCCGCCGCCGCCTGCCGCGGCCTGCGCGGCGGAGCCGAAGCGGGAGGAGACGGGTGGTGCCTTCGTCTTGGCACCCTTCTTCGTCTCCCCGCTATTCGCTGCCCGATTGCCTGCCGCGGCATCGTCGCCCGCGCCTGTCGCGTCGCCTTCGTTTGTCGCCTCCTGCGTTGTCGTGTAGGTGACCGGGTCGTTGACGCTCGCGCCGCGTTGAAGTAAAAAGGCCACGATGCCGCGAGCGGCGGGTGAGTCGAGGCCGGAGAGCAGCATCGCAGCGAGGGGGGAGAGCCGATCGGCTGCAGCGTTCGCAGTGGCAGCACTTCCGCTGCTCGCACTGGTGACCTCCGTGGCATTACCTTCTCCACCTACACCTCTAGCAGCAGCAGCAGCAGCCACAACAACGCCATAGGCTTCGCCGTGCTGCTCACCGGCGTCGACCCCGTCGCCTGTGAACCGTTTGCGCTGAAGATGCTGCTCGTGCACGGCGGTGCCGAGTGCACCGGCGTAAAACGCAGGCGGCGGCACCTCCCGCGCGTTGACCGGATCGGCGCCTCGCTCTACCAGATCCTCGACACGAGCCAAGTCGCACGCGAGACACGCCTCCATGAGCTGCTGGTTCCACGTGTGCAGCGGATCTTCTTTGTTTGAGGCGGCTTTGTGGCGTGCGGCTTTCTTGGCTGCCGCAGCCACCACCGCGGCCGAGGCAGCAGGCGCCGATGCGGAGGGATCTGCCGGGGTGGACATCGCGGCGAGCCACCTTCTTCTGAAATATATATATATATATATACAATTATTCAAATACAAACGGTAGCGCACCGTGCCCGCAGGTGTGTACTGCTGTGAAGAACAAGCAATCAGCACTGCAGCGGTGTTGCCACGGCGTTGCGTGGAAAGAAGATTCAGTAAAACACTCAACAACAAAAAGAAAGGGAGGAGGAAAGGCGTGTGTGTGTGTGAAGGACGGAAAGAACAGACGCAGCGCCCCACATGCGCGTTGGTCATTCAGGTTTAGGGAATGCATCAGATGTATTTCGTTTGCTTGTCTTTGTCGCACACACATCTCTTTCTTCGGTAGTTGTGTACCCAAAAGGGGTCTTTCTTTACCTCATACAGATAACCCTGTCGCGCACCTCAATGAGTCTCTATGTGTGTGTGTGTGTGTGTGTGTGTGCAATGCACATTGGCTCCCCAACGTAGCGGCAGCAGCAGTAATAACAATGGGAGGTAGAAGAAGGAAAATCGAAAACGAAAAGATTCGAAAGGAGCTGGAAAGACAGATGAATGTTTCGACTACCGCTTCGTATAAAAGATTCCTTTTGTCTTGCTTTCTTGCCATGCGTCATTGCAGCTGCCTCCGCATTGCCTCCCTTGCCTGATAGAGCTGCGCCAGCTGCGCATCGGCGGCCGCGTTACCCGTAGACGGAAACTGAGGAAAGTAGGGGTTGCTCTGCGCGCGCGCCGACGCCGCACCATTCGCCGCCGCCGCCGCTGTCGTTGTCGCTGTCACCGGCGCTGGGGAAGTCCTCGACAGCCCTGCCAAGGACGGGGGAGGGGTCGACGACAGGGGCGCGGGTTGTCGCTGCTGCTGCTGCTGTTGCGCGTTGTCATTGCTGTTGCGGAGCGGATGAAGGTGAAAGGGACGAGTTGGACTTTGTGTGGCCCCGCCCACCCCACCCGCCACACTCGGCACCGCGGCCGCCATCCACCCATTCGCCTTGGTCAAACCAAGCACCGCGGATGAGGCGCCGGCAGGGTGAGACGCATGCACGCCTGTTGATGCTGGCCCCGTTGCGGCTGTTGAGGATGACGATGATGATGCGAGGCCCCGCAATACCGTGCCCTCTTCCTGCCGTGACAGCTCCAGCGTAGGCGCCGACGACGACGACGATAACGCGTGCGGCCGCGGTTGTGAAGAAGACAGGAATGCTGCGGACGACGGTGGTGGTGGTGGCAGCTGCTGGTCCGCGGATGCGTACGTGGGCGGGAGAGAGGCGAGCCGGTTCGGTGCCCGTGCGCTGGCAGGCAATCCAATGAGATCCGCGTTCGGCACACGTGACAGTACGGTGGAAGTCGCCGCAGACGAGGTAAGGGGCAGAGTGCACGGCGTCGAAGGCTGCCACGGCGGCGCAGTGCCCGCGGCGGCGACGGCCGCGGTTGTGTTAACCGGCGCGGAGTAAGGATAGGCACGACTGACGGCAGTGGTGGATGGCACAGTGGCAGAGAGAGTATGATAGCCGTCCCCGTCATCGCAACTACCACCGATATTGTTGTGGTTGCGGCGGGCCGTGTCTCTGTACACCTCATGCAGAAGGGCCTCTTCGTTGTTCTGAATAGGGGGTGGTGCGGTGGATTCCCCGAGCTTTGCTGTCGTCACGCTGCTGCGACAGCTGCCGTTGCTCGGCTCTTTCGTGGCCGCTGGGGAGGCGGGCGTGCCGTCTGCTGCCCCCAACACCGTTCGCAACTCCATCGCCAAGCCGACCTGCTGCGCCTCCTGGCGTCCTCGCAGCGCGTGCCGTTGCTGTTGCTGCACCGCGAGCTGCACCTGCTGCTGCCGAGCAGTAAACCACTTCTCAAAATCGCGCACGAGCTGCTCCTGCGCGTGCTTCAAGTACACGTGCATGCCATCGATTTCCTCTTTGGCCTGACGCAGCTCCGCGGCGTAGGTGTTGTACTTCTCCTTCGTGGTGCGCAGCTGCTCCAGCCAGTTCGCTTCCTCGCTGTCCACCGCGTCGACCCCCTCCACCGCTCGCTCCGCGCGCCGACGCTGAATCTGTGTCTTGAGGTGCTTCATCGCGTCGACGCAGGCGTTCAGCTGCTGCGCAGTGGCCTTGCACGACGCGTACTTCGGTTTCAGAAGCTGCTTCGTCTCCTCCACCTTGTTCTGCGCTTCGTAGGTGGCCTTGAAGGTTTCTAGCGCCTGCGCGCGGTCCTGCACAAGCTGCTCATCCATCAGAACGTCTACCGCAGAGCGAGAGTCATCCAGGCTGCCCGGCGCGAGCACACCGCCAACTCCACCGACGCTGCTGCGCTGTTCCGTGTCGGAAGCTCGCGGCTGCGGCAGCCCTTTTTTGCTCTCGAGGAACGCCGTCGCCGCGGCGGCTTCCGCCTCCGTCAGCTGCCCCTGTTGCGCGAGCGTCGTCACGCGTGTCAAGGCGGCTTGGGCGGCCGCCTCAGCGGCCACTCTTGACATGGCAGGGCTCGGCTGTTGCGTGTTCTCCTGCGGCGTACCATCGCGATGATGACGAAAGGACTGCCGAAGCTCATAGATGAGCTGCTTTGCCGCCTGGTAGATCTGTCGGCGCAGCTCCGCGTCCGAGGCGTGCGGCGAGGTAGCACCTGTGAACTGAAAGCCTCTCCAGTCGGCATCCCCAGCGTCGTCAGCCGCCTCCGCGGCGGAGGTGCCGCTGCTACGACTACTACTCGTGACTGTCTGCGTCGGGGCGTTGTAGCGCGCACCGATGCTTCCACCACCACCAGCACCGCCAACTCCGCCAACCCCGCTCGCACCTGCCCGCTTTAGCACCGTCAGCAGCATCTGCAGCTCGTTTTCTTTCAGCTGCAGGCTTTGCCGTAACGCCAGTACCTGTGCCTCGCTCTCATCGAGAAGCGCCCGTTGCTCCGCCGCCTGCGTGGCTGCTGCTGTCGCCGCAATAGCCGGTGCAGCACCTCCAACACCGTTGCTGCTGCGCTCCGCTACGCCCCCTTTGATGAGCCGTTCACGTAGCACGTCATAGCAGTAGTACATGCGTGCCATGTCTCCATTAAAGCCCGTGAGACGCGAACCCCAATCGCCGTCCACCGCCGCGCGCTGCACGAAGGCGTCGACCATCCGGCGACAGATATCCCTCTCGTCATCGGACAAGGCGCGATCTGCAGCGAGGGTGGTGCTGCTGCCGCTGCCACCGCCGTTGGCGCGGAGGTACGCCACCTCATCCCTCAGCTGCGCCACCTCCGCCTTGAGCTTCCGCACGAGCAGCACCGGGTCCGTCTCTACGTTCACCTGCGGCGCCTGCCGAATCAGCGCGACGCGCTGCGCAAACTGACAGGTGCTAATCGTCTCCGCGACCTGCGAGGCGACGACGTGGGCCGTAGCCAGCATCGCGGTCTTGCAGTTGCGGCCGAGACTGTCGCGCAGGACCATGGTGAGGAAGGAGTTGCGGTACGGCACGTGATCCCGCACGCCCTTCGCCTTCTCACTCAGCGCCACGATGACCTGCTCTAAGAAGTGCAGAGAGAGGTTGATATGCTTCGCCTCTGTCAGGATGGTGCCCGAGACGCCGGTCTTGCTCACCCGCTCACTTCCGGCGAGGTCCACCAGGTTCAGCTTCGAGCGCCGCACCGTCGAGGTGGTGGCCGAGCGAGCTTCGAGGTAGACGCTGAATACGCAGTGCGACCGCGACGACGTCTTGTTCATGGGCGTCTCGCAGTACAGCCGGTTCGTGTCGCCGAGAAAGAGAAGGTTTAACGCGTCGGACAGCGTTGGCGCGCTGTGCTGCTCCAAGCCGCGCAGGACTATGTCGTCCTCCATCTCATGGATCGTCACGGGCGGCAGCTCCTCCAGCGTGCGGGCGTCGTGGCCGTGGTTCAGCAGGTCCTGGCCTTTATCGTTGTAGATTTGCAGGTAGGAAATGGCGATGCTGAAGGTGGTGGCCGCGTCATCATAGCTGTCGTTGACATCGCCACCCTCCCGTCGGCGGGCAACGGCGTCGTAGATCATTGCCATCGCACGCGGGATCAACCCCCGATCCTGGTAGCTGTCCGTACCCCCCGTAATGCTGTACGTCTTGCCGCTGCCGGTCTGCCCGTAGGCGAAAACGGTGCTGTTCAGCCCTGCCAGCATCGACGCCACGCAATCTTTTGCGACGGTGTTGAAGACGTCCTCCTGCGTCGCGGTCGGCTTGAAGACGCGGTCAAAGCGGTAGCGGAAGTCGACCACCGAGTTGTTGATCACGTCGTCTGGCGCCGGCGGGGACTCCGCTGCTGCTGCTGCTGCTGCCGCCAGACCACCTCCTGCAGCGGCGCTACGCTGTGCCTCCTGCAGCAGCCGCTGCGTGGTGTGAAGGTGCATGATCGACTTATGGAAGTCATCTTCGATCTCGTACTGGCAGGTACGCGGCGAGGGCCCTGCCGCGCTGGACGAGATGGCGTTGTTGTCGCTCGACGCAAGCAGCCGGCTTTGCTGCGAGGTTGGTGGAGGCCGGATGCGGAGGTACACTCGAATGCCCTCCTCGCCGTTTTGTGTCATGTTTTTTTTTTTCTAGTTCTAATTCAAGTTTATTCGCTGTCTCCCGTGTGTGTTCTATATAGAAATAAATTGTGTAGTTCAAGGTTTTGTGTGGGAGACGGCGTCTGGCGTGGAGCGTCAGCTGAATGGCACGGGCTGCTGTGACACAACGCTTCCAGTTTTCTTTTTTAAAGGCGAAAGTTAGCCAGCAGAAATCCTTACCGCGTCCCTTCGAGTATTTGCGGAGCTTCAAAACAACAATAAAAAATAATCTTCGTCAGAAAAGGCTCAAGTAATGGACATAAAAAATACATCATAGCAGAGGTGAATGAAGGAGAGAGAGAACCCTCGCACCCGCGCACACGCAGGCGAGCAGGAACGTACGGGCTGGAAAGAACCCCGCCGCAGAGCCCAGAGTAAGACGGAGGGGAGGGAGGGAGGAGGAGGAGGAGGAGGGCCTTGAGATCAGCCCTTCATCCGCCATCACGACGAAAGAGAAAGAAGTGAGGAGAGAGAAGATGTTCAGCGGACGAATAATCCGATTCGAAAGGTAACTACAACGGGTTCGCTGAGAGGAGGAGAAAAACTAGACCCCCCCCCCCGCCCCCACACAAAGTTGGGGAGCATCAACGCTATTCATGAAGCCGCGTGACACGGCGCCAACGCCACGCGTGTCTGCCCGCTTAGAAAACAAAAAGAAAATACTAATTATTTCCAATGAAACGGTGTTCGATGTCGTGCATGCAGGAAAAACAAAGGAATTGGCTGGTGCGTTCTCTCGATCGCTCTCTCTCTATATAAATAAAATATGTGGCTTAATGTACAATGGAAAAGACAAAAGAAAAGAATATACGCACACAGTGCTCACGCATGGCGTGTCTAAGCTAACGAGGTGAACAATGAGGAAATAATAAAAGTAATCAAGAGAAAGAAGATCAAAGAGATCAGCAAAGGGGCATTCAACCACACCCCACTCTTCGTTTGTGTGTGCGTGTGCGTGTGCGTGTGTCCGAGTCAGTAGTCTCGCGTGCTCTATGACGGCGACATCGCTACACCGACCTCGCCGGCGTCACGGGCCGAGTACGCAGAGGCGTGCGACGACGAGAGCCAACTTGCGTCGACACCACCGCCGAAACTGTCCTCCGTGTCCGAGCCCCGCTGCGACCCGTTCGCCTTGGCGTCCGGAAGTGCCGACTTCTGCGGGTAAAAGCCCTCGCTCCGTGCAGTGCGCCGCTGTACAGCGGCGGAAGACACGGTCGGCCCAGTTGCCGCGGATAGCGTTGGAGTCGGTGCGTTCGTTGATGTGGGAAGCGGGTGAATGGCGAAGCGTGTCCGCGCCACCGCTTCTGCCGCCGCCGCCGCTGCTGTTGAGCTCGTCGGCGTTGCTGTCGATGGGCGTCGCGTTGGTTGTGTGCGCTGCACCGCCAAAGCCGCCGCTGTGGGGGCTGAGTAGCCCGATATAACCCCGTCAGCGCCTCCCCTACCCACAGCGACGCCGCCGCCGCTGATGTGCGAGTTGGGTCGACGCACCGGTGGGGCGGGAAGAGCTGCAAGGAGGGCGTCGCTGAGAGCCGCAGCCGCAGCACCGCGGTAAACCGCTGGGATGGCGCGGCTACTGCCGCCGGTGCCGGTGGTGGTGGTGGTAGTGGAGGGGGCTGTGAGCTCAGACAGAAGGAGCCGCTGCTGCAGCGCGTGTACGACCGGGTCTGCGGACTCCACGCCGCCTGTTTGGTTGAGCTGATATGCTGGATGCAAAAGGTAGTCACGCGGCGGAGGCAGCATCGATGGGGGAGAAGAGGCGTCGTAGCCATTCGTGTTGACGGCTGCTGCTGCTGCTGATGCCGCGGCGTCGTCGTCGTTTGGGTCACGGTTACCATCATCCAGATAAAGGCGTCGCAGGCGATCGATGTGCCGCGAGACGGCTTCCTGTGCCGTGCCTGGTGCGCCTGAACGCTGCGCTGCGGCATCGTTTTGAATCCTCTTCACCGTCGCCGACGCTGTTGTGGCTGGACTCGCGATAGTGCCGTCGGAAAGCGTGAAGGGGACGGCTCCACGACGTGCCACCGGTGCCGCTTCTGTGGTGCTGCCCGGCAGGTCTTGCGGTGCGGTTTGGGTGGTGGATACGCCATGGCGGACCGGCGAGAGCAGCAGCAGCGACGTCAGGTCATCCACGTCGTCGCTGGCGGTGTCTGCCTCCTTTTCATTTCCGCCAGGTGCTCTGACGTGTCTCGTCTCAGCGCCGGCACCCGCAACACTGGAGCGACGCCTCGGTGAGGGCCACGTGGGCGTCGCATCCGCCTTCAGCGGCACACAGAGGAGACGCAGGCGGCGCCCCTCTGCGTCGTCGCCTTCCTCCCCCTCCTCCTCGTCATCTGCCGCAGCGGAGAGCAGCAGGTGCACCGGAAGGCTGTCCTGCAGTGACATCGCCTCGTAGACGAGGCACTGCTGTAACGCGGGAATACCAGTGCGCAGCGCCACCTCGTCCTTCACCGCACCGATGGTCACCGGCGATGGCGGCTGTGCTGCCTCGGTCGACGACGGTGCGGCACCCTCCTCGTTTAACGCGTCTGCTGGAGTTGCCTGCGAGGGCAACACCATGTGCACCACGAGGCCGAAGAGGGAGGCAATGTCGCCGTCGTCCGCATGGGGAGCCGCACGTCGCTGCTGCTGCTGCTGCTGCTGGGCTTCGTAACGCCGGAGAAGCGCAGCGTAGTGCTCAAGGGTGTCCGTAGGCGGCAGCTCCTCCACCGACTCCGCTAACACCGCCACCTCCAGTTCCACCTCCGCTTGGTCCTGCTTGCTGTGCTTCAGGAGACTGCGTTTGCGGGCGGAGTTGACACCCGCTGCTCGCGCATGTCTGTGGGAAGTCGCTGGAGCGCCACCACCGCCACCGAGCACGGTGGAGTGGCCGGGAAGAGAACTGTTAAAGGATTGTGCCACGTATGAATCCAAGATGGGCGACGCCCCGGCCAGATGCGGTGACGCACTGAAGCGCGCTCCACCACCACCAGCGCCTGCGGATGATGATGGCAAGCCAAACCGATGAGAAGGGTGCTGGACCGAATCGGCGGGGTCGGGAAAAGCCGGCTGCTGCTGTTGCGCGGACGGCGGCAGCGAGTACGCACCGGGAGGAGGCGCCACACCTGTACGGCTGCTACTACGCTGTGCCCTATCGTTCGCGTGAACGTCGTCTCCGTCGTCGTCACAGCCTCCGTATCGACAACGGCTGGAGGTCGGAGGATCACCAGATCCGCGACGCTGGTCGTTATCCCACGCGGCAGGGCCAGGCGGCCCGCTGCCTCGCCGCGTGGTGGATGCCGGCCACGCAGTTCGAGCGCGGTGGTGAGCGGATAAGACTGGCACCGTGAGGTCGACCGCCGTGTCCTCGTCCAATCCGCTGCAGCTTCCACCACGGCGTTTGTTGGAGGCATCGTCGAGGGTCCTTTGCGAACGATCTCTCGCGCTTTCTCTCCCCGCTGGACCCAAGGAGGGACGCGGATTGAGTCGATTGCTCGGGCTGTTGGCGCGTGGCGGTGGTGCTCGTATGTCGGCCCCCCTCGCCGCTCCTTCTCTGTCTCTGCCTCCTACGGGAGGTGATTGCCTGTGTAGACTTTGGAAGCTCGTCGAGCTCAACGCATCACGTGCGTTCCACCCCAGCTGCTGCTGCTGCTGCTCTAACTGTTGTACGGTAAGCGGAGGTCCCCGCAATGACGGTGCTGCTGCTGTCGCCGCGCTATGTGAGTCCACGGTGTCGCAGGCAGGCGCCAGCACCGTGCCTCGGCCCAGCACCCGCGCCTCCCTCGCCGACGTCTTCTCCTTCTTGCCGTTTCTCTTCGCCTTGGATGTTGGTTCTGCGGCATCTCGATGCCTGTTATGGTGATGGCGGTGCTTGTGGTCCTTCTCGTGAGAGCGGCCCGAAAGGGGATGCGAGTGGCGACCCCGGCTGCCGCCGGAGGACACCGTCCCGGGCGACGGCGTGCGAGACGCACTCCTCCTGCCCTTCCTGCCCTTCTTCTTCTCTGGAGTACTATTCGATGAGTCCTTCCGCTTCTCGTCGGCGGCACGACGAGCACTGCTGCGACGCCTCGCTGCTATGGCGGACGGCGACGGCGTCAGCCCCCGCTCGCGCAGGTAGCGCGGCGGGCCCTGCAGCTCCGCCGGGGGTGCCCGGGGCGCGTCGGGGGCCATTGGGCTGATGCTGTGTCGCCCACGGCTGAGCGGACCGCCGCCGCGCAACACCGCCGCCACGCGTGGACTGCGAGCCCGCGCCAAGGAGACGTCGCGCGCCGTGCCGGGAGACACGATGGAGGTGAAGGTCTGACGAGAGGCAAAGCGCTGCGGCGGATGAGGGTGCGAAAGGGAGGCGGTGCGGATGGTAGAGGACGAGACGAAGGAAGTCGGCGCGGAGCCGCGCGTCCGCTGCGAGGAGGTGTCCGACTGCGATGCTGACAAGGACGAGTGAAGAGACGCGAATGAGGTGGTGTCGAGGTCAGCCGCTGTCGCTTTCCGTGCCCGTGATAGCCGTGAAGGGTGGGGGTGACTTCCACGCTCCGCCGCCGCGCTGGCGTGGGCCGTGCTGTTGGGCTTCGGTGGTGTGTTTGATGGAGCGCGATTCCCTGCCTCTACGGTAAACGCGATGCCGCTGCTCGTCGTGCGGTCGGCGGACCCCTCCACCTCGAACTCGATCGACTCCGGCGTGGGAGGGGTGGCGAGAAGCATGGCAACTCAATCAGCGCCGATAGAAAAACAAAGGATGATTTCTTCTCTTTCTTTTAAATGGAGTAAACAAAGCTGGTAAGGCGGCAGAGCAGCAAAAGCTTCTAATGACTGTTGTGCACACGTTTATCCCTCAAGCATGATGACTGCACACGTGTAGCGGCTCGTCAAGGGGGGAGGGGAGAGGAAAGGAGGGAGTGTGACGGACCGCTGGAGTGTTTCCTTTCCCACCTTCACAAAGGAGGGGGAAAGCGTGAGGAAAGGTACGTAATGCACCAACCCCCGGTAGAGGCCAGCGCAAGAGGGTATCAGACAGCAAGACGTGGATGTGGAAGGTCGACACAGACCGACACCTTTTTTCCTGAGCCAAAGGCGACGTGCCGCACTGCAAGGTCATCGTCAACTACAGTGTTGGCAAGGGGGGGGGGGGCCGGAATGAAGCCGGGCCCGATGCATGGCACAAGGAATATCAAGGAGAGAAACACCGCACAGTCCAAAGAGCTGGACGGTCGCGCGTTGATACTTGTCGTCTTAAATCATCGGTGAGTGTGTGCATGTGTGTGAAAGCGCAGTTCGCGTTGCCTTCCAGCGAAAACAGACAAGCCCAGAAAACACCACTGCAGTCCACATCATCGCCACCACTTGCCTCATCCCCTCAAAAAAAAAAAAGGAACTGCGAGGTCGCTCCCGTCTTTCGCGCAAAGAAGCTCACAGTTGGCGCAGTTGCTGCGTACACACACGTGCGTGGGCCACTGCTCTGGGTGACTGCCTTGTCGTACTGGTCTCAACTCTCTCGCCTCCTCCCTCTCGACTTCTATATATGCACACTTTAAAACAGGAAGCTGTACCGTTCTTTGAGAATCGCACACGCACGCGCGCTCAGTAGCGGCGGCTCGCGACGCTTCTCAAACGACGGCGGTGCGGCGGACCCGTGCACCGGCGCGGCCTCCAGCCCCAGCAACCGCGCGTGCCGTGCGCGCACAAAGTAGGCTAGCTGGACATCCGGCGCATCGGGGGCGCCACGTTGTGTGTCCGGCCACAGCAGACCGGACGGGGTTGGCGCCGCCGCCTCCATCCCCACCGTATCGGCCGCGGGGTCGCTCGCAGCGCCGTCTTTTGCTGTTTCGGCAGGGAGACCGGCAGACGGTAGCGGCAGCAGCAAAGGCTGCTCTACGTTCATCCACACCAGCACCAGCGCCTTCAACCACTCAATCAGTAGCACAGCCGGCGCCGAGGAGGCTTGTGCGTCGACGGTGGTGGTGGTGGTGGTGACCGATTCAGAAGTCTGCTCACTCTCCACGCGGCTGCACCCGGCATCGAGCCGCAACGACAGGCACGGCCCACCGCTCAAGGGCGGCGCACTCACCGCCACGCCTTTGGCACCACCACCACCGCCGCTGTTGTTGATGCCGCTGCGCTTCGCCTTCGTACTCTGCAGCGGGTTCACTACTTTGAAGTGGTGGACGCGTGCAGCGGGTGGTGGTGGTGGTGGTGCCGTTGCTGCCGCTGCTAATTTCGCGCTCTCTGGTTGTGGGGGCCGTGGCTGCCGTTCCTTGTCCATCGACACTGCCAGCGCCACGGCGGTCACCGCCTCGATCAGCGTCGGCAAGATGAGTTCCAGCGCATCGCCGCATCGCTCGTACACGGAGCGGCGCCGCGTGGTGCGCTGGCGCCGGCGGTGACGTGCGGCGGTTGCGTGCGCGGCGGACGATGCTGAGGTTGATGTTGCTGCTAGAGACGTCGGCGACGAAACCGACGAGGGTAACGGCGGTGCGGCGCTGGTATTACTGTTGTTGTTGAACACCACAGAGACAGGAAAAGATGCGGAGTGCGCCGACTCGCTCTGCTGCTGCTGCTGCTGCTTCCACGCGAGGTACAACGTTTCCAATGCCTCTTGGCTGCTCTCCACCGCCATAAACGGTTCGTCCTCCTCACCGCCCACCGACGGTTGCGAGTTGGAGGCGGGGCGAGGGTTTTTGTTCACGCAGCACGCTGTGGCCGCCGAACCACTCGGCATGCTCGACGCGTTCATGAGGATGTCATGCAACACATACAAGTACCACAGCGCCTCCACACAGAAGACGTTGCTGTCGCCTTCTAGCGAGTTCACCGCCGAGGACGGCAGCGGCAGCGTCGCCCGCGAACGCGCGGTGGCCACGTACGCCGTCTTCACCACTGCATCGAGCACAACGCTGAGGAGGTGGTGGATGCCGTCGGCGTGCTGCACGGCGAAGAGCATGCGCGCCGCGACCTCGGTCCGGCTGAGCCACATCTCACACAACTTCCCGATGCTTGTACACGCGGCAACGGGGCAGATGCGGCGTGGATTGAGTAGGCGTGCCCATTCAGCACAGATGTGCGGCTGCAGGACGGCGAAGACGTGTTTGTTCGCCGTGCACTGACGCGAGATCCACTGCGCGGAGGGCGGGGGAAGTGGGACGACGGGGTCCACCTCGAACACCGCGTCCTTCGACTCCGCTACCGCCGCCGCCGGTGAGGTGGAGGCGTCCGTGGATCGGGTTTCCGCCTTTAGCACCGCATCGCGCTTTTCATCACGTGCGGCTTCATCCTTTGCGGCTGTGACCGCCACCTCTGCTTCGCCGTCGCTGTCCGTGCCACTGCTGCTGCTGCTCTCGCTGCTGCTGCCGCTGCTGCTGCTCTCGCTGCCGCGGTTCTTGTTCTTGTCGTGTGCGTCAGCCCTTCCATCTTCATGCGACGCGACGCCGTACCCCGGTGCAACGCCTCCTTCCTCCTCTTCTTCCGTTTCGCCCCGACTACGCCTCGTTCTCTTATCGCGTGTCGCCGGCGCAGCAGCAGCGACGTGTCCGCGCTGATGACGGTGCTTTCGCCGTCGGCGTGCCGTACGCGTAATGATGTCCTCTTCCCCCTCGCGATGGATCGCCTCTTCACCCCCTTCGCCGCTCTCACGCGTGCGCTTTACGCCATTCTCGCGCCCCAACACGTCGCCCGCATTCAACAGCTCCGGCTGGTGCAGCCCTGCTAGACAGTCCGGGCCCGCACGGAGCAGCGGCGGCGGCACAAACACGTACGCCCGCCGTGCCCGTTCCACCTGAAACGACTCCGTGCGCCACGCCAGCAACGTGTCCTGCTGCAGCAACGAGTAGAGCCGCCAGCGGTAGTACAGCAGAGAGGGGTGGTTGAACTTCTCGCCCAAGAAGGCGAAGGCCGGGTTGCGACGCGTCAGCTCGCGCTTTACGATCTCCTCCTCCGTTGTCGGGCCGCCATGGACGACCACCGTCGCCAATAGATCCATCAGCGTGGTTTGCTCCAGCGGCAGATCAGCCGGGATGCGCAGCCGCGGTGCGTGCAAGGGAACGTCCAGGCCTTCCTCCACGTACGCGTACGGCTGCGCAGGTGGCAGTGATGGAGGGGGAAGGATGCAAGGAGCAGCGGAGGGGCCGAGGATGCCGGCCGAGTCGCTCGTGCTTGAAAGCACCGCAGCACTGCTATTCGCGATGCCTATATTGCTCCTGCTACTAATGTTGCTGCTGCTGACCGTTGGATGGAGCGCATCGAGAACACCATGCTGCTGCTGCGCACGCATCGGTTCATATAAAGCGTAAGGCGAAGAAGAAGCGGCAGCATTCGCGCCTCCTGCGAGGGGCGCTGCGTCACCGCCATCCAACGCGCTACTCACGTGGGCGGTGTCATACAACACCGTTGCGCTCTCAAAGCCGACCTCGTCACGACCGAGATCGTTATTGCCGTCGTCCGCCTCTTCAGTTGACAGAGTGTTCGTGAAGCCACTCGTCGCCACTGCCGCCACCGCCGGTGGTGGTGGCACGGGAGGTGCTCGGCGCATCGGCCTTTGATGTTGTGGATGCTGACGCTGCTTCTGAAAAACAGGAATGGGCGCGTTTTTGTTTGTTTTTCTTCGGTGCGTGCGGGTGCGACAGCAAATATCTTTAAATCGAGCGAAAGATGATCCAGACGCCAATGCACATCCTTTACCGGCGATGCATGAGGGAAATATAAATATGTAAAACGAGAGAGAGAGAGGGAAATCGAGGTGCACAGCTTACACGGAGCTCTATCGCTTTCTTTTTGGTAAATGCAAGTACTCGGCCGTCGCGTGACCTCGCTCTGCGAAGAGGAGCACGGAATTATTACTATTATCATTCTGAACGTGTGTGTGTGTGTGTTCCCGAAAGACTCGCGGCGACTGCGTATCGTCGCATGATAAGCTGACTTTCTTTTGCTTTGTTTCCTCTTTCTTCTTTGGTTCCGCTGACGCACACGTATGTTCCCCTCAACGCTCGCTGAAGCTGCCGAGGAGCGCTGAACAACAGCGAACGCACCTGCAGCAGCGCGCACCACTAACGACCCCCCCCCCCTCCACAGACACACACACACGCGTGACAACTACAATGGCAGCGACATGACCGCCTCCTTGCGGAACTCCACACGTGTCAGCAGCACCTTCTTCTTCTCCTCGCCCGTCAGCGCCGTGTTCGCCGCCTCCTCCAACGCATCCGTCGGCCGGTCAGACAAGAGCAGTGTCGCCATCAAGTTCAGCGGCGCGAAGACACCACGAATGGGCGAGAGATCGGTCTGTGCCAGCTCAACAAAAAACGTACGTAGCGCCCGCACGTCCTTGTCCACTTGCAACGCACCAAACAAGCTAAAGCGCTTGCGCAGGAGCACCCCGCTCGTTGCCTTGGCGACGCGGCGGGCCATGGCGGTCAGCAGCGTGTCAAAGAGCTTCGCCTCCGCGAGGTGCTGGTGCAGGTAGCGCAGACCCGCGCCGAGGTCGACCAGACACGCCTGTACCCACACATCGATCATCTCGTAGTGGTAGTACACCTCCTCTTTCATGTCGTATGACACCGCCGCGAAGCGCTCCATGTGCGGGGGCAGGATGCTGTCGCAGCACACATCCGCGAAGCTGTCCAGCCACGAAGGGATCTGCTTGTCCTGCAGGTTCCTCCCCTGCGTTCGCATGTCGCTCGCCAGCTCGCGAAAGCGGGCCACATCACGCGTGCTGGACGCGAAGGTCGTCGAACTCAGCTGCTGCAGCTCATCCGCCATGCGCTGCAGGTACGTTGCCGTCTGCTGCGCGGCGCCGGTCCAGTGCAGCTCATCGGGCGAAAGAAAGCCGCCGTGGGTGGCCGTCGTGCGGCGACGTGCGCCGCCAGTACCCACGGGCGATGCCACGCCGGTCATCGTCGTCGCCGCACCAGCAGCGCCTCCACCGCTGACCACGAGTGTGTGCTGCTCGATCTCCGGCAGCAGCCGCGACTGCACCACGTCCATGATGGACATGATCACCGCGGAGCAGATCTGCGCTGACTTGGTGTTCATCGCGCGATGCATCGCCATACGCAGCACAAAGAAGACGTCATCCGGCAGCGTCACCTGGCCTTTGTGGGTGTAGTACCAGAACAACGCCAGGTCCGCTTGGTCCGACGCCCCGCCCAGCATGGTGGTGGTCGCGGCGGTGCCGCCCCCGACGGAGCCGATCAGCTCATCCGCGCTGCTCGCCGCCACGGCGTACAGGTTCTGCAGCCCTGACATAAAAGTCGTTGCGGCAGCGGCGGAGGGCAACGCCGCGCTGGCGAGACTCCGACTGTTGCCGCCTGCCCATCCCGCGGCGGCTGCACCAGCGGCGACAGCAGAAGCAGCAGCGGGGGTGCGCGTACGCGCATCGCCACTACCAGCAGCCCGCGCCGCCGCTGCCGCCGCCTGCGTCGCCGCGTCGCGGATCGCGTGCATCTGCAGGTCGACCGCCTGATCGTACGCGATGGCGAAGTACGTGTTCTGCAGCGGGACGTAGAAGGCTAAGATGTCCTGCATCGAGTTCAGCAGCGCGTTGTCGCGCGTCCTCCACAGACTGTCGGCGGTGTTGTTGCCGCCGATGCTGGAGCTGCCCGCTGCGTCGCTGACCGCGTCGGATTCCCCTTCCCCGCCTGCCGCCGCCGTCTCCTCCTTGCGCCGCCGCGCTTCATACTCCGTTTGCTTCTTCTGAACGAAGGTGAGGTAGATGTAGCCGCAGGAGACGACGTGGCTCATCTCTTCCAGGATCTGATCGGCGCGGCGGGCGCTGGCCACGACGGCGTTTTGGTTGTTGCTACTGCTGCTGGCTGCGGCGGCAGACAGGGGGGAGGAGGCACGAGCTGCCGCGCTACCGGCCGGGCCGGGCGATGACGCACGGGCTTGCTTGCTGTTACTGCTGCTGTCGTTGCGGCTCGACTGCGCGGCAGCCGCGTGCGTCTCCAACTGCGCTAGCACTCCCTTCCGGCGGTCAATGAAGTCGCTTAAGACCGGCACGCAGCGTGCCGTGGCTCTGCTGTGCAGCTCCGTCAGCAGCGTCAGCGGCCCCTGCGCTCCAAACGCCTCGCGGGTGAACTCCTCATCGTTCTCGAAGGCCGCCGCGACGTTGTCGAGGCATTGCGAGACGAGTGCGAGGTGCGTCATGGCCACCTCCGCCGGATCGTCCATTTTCTTCATTTCTCCGTCAATCAGCTTCGCCAGCGCGGCGATGGTGTGATCGGCGATCCAGGTGCTGTAAAGGTTGGCGGCAGTCGACGTTTCGCCGAGCTCCGCCAGCAGCCGCGTGAGCTTCATGATGGTCAGTTTGTCGTTCACCGCGACCGCGTCTTGGATCATCGTCAGCAGACGCGCGTGTACCGTCTCACGTGCGTTACGCATGACATCGCTGATTAACGCGGAGTTGCTGCTGGCTGCCGCCGCGCGAGAGGCGTCCGCCCCATTGATGTGGCTAGCATTACTATTGCCATGAAGACCGTCCTCTTCCGCCATCACATCACCATCCGCCGTGGTCGGTGTAGGTGAAGGCATGGTGCCTGTCACGGCAGATGGCGAGGCGGTCATCAGGACTCGCTGCGCCTCCTTGTACGAGTGCAGGAGCTCCACCGTCTTCTCGATATCCCCTGCCTCCAGTACCGTCGACACCTGCGCCACGTCGCTCTCCATCGCCCGCATCGCCTCCACTATCCTGTTCGTCTCCTGCACGCGCTGCAGCAGCACATCGAGGCGGCGGACTCGTTTAGAGCTGCGCTCCGCCAAGGAGGCGTTCGCCGCCACGGTGCGGGCGAGCGCTGCGCTGCGGTGGACGTACTGTGGCATCAGCCGATACCGCACGTTGTCAATATCGTGCAACGCCGCGTTGAGTTCGCCGTCGGCGTGGACGGACTGGCGAATTTGCTGAAGAAAGGCGTCGCGTCGCCGCACGCTGTCCTGCACGCGCTGCAGAAGCTGGTCGGCGCGCTCCTCGACCGAGTCGATGTGCTTCAGGAGCATCTGATATATATTTGAAAACAATAACACTACTACTAACGACAATACCAACTACCGGAGAACAGCTTCGTCCCTCCTTTACTCAAATGTTTCTGCAAGCAGCGCGGTTACGATACAGGAGATCTTTCCTCCTTCTGTCGAAGCGACAAGTGCTATATCTTGACGAAAACAGGTGGAGTCAACGAAAGAGCGAGGATGGAGGAGTGCGAAGGTTTGATAGGGAGGTCACGAGAGACCGTCAAGCACGTACGAACGGGTCCGACAGACAAGTCGGGGAACTTGGAAATTTAAAAAAGGAAGGTTCCTTTTAGTGATTGCGTCCGATCAAAGGCGAGTTTGCCGGTGAGAAACAGCGCATCACGACTCTCTCTGCTCGAAGCATCAAACACCAATTATTCGATGCCATTCCTGCGTCACAAACCAGCCAGTCTGAACGATCAGGCTTTCCTTCACCGTTGCCTTCACAGTAAAAATACTTCTTTATAACAAGTAGAGGAGTCTGTTTTGAAAAGATAAAGCAAATGCTGCAGACGCACCTACGCACACACACATACTACAGCGTGATGCGGCCGAACTGTGAGGTGGCAGACAACTGCGCCATGATGCACGCCAGCGCAGGCGGCACGCTGATCTTTGCGTACGTGCCACGACGCAAGGCCGCTGCTCCGTCTTTGCAGCCTTCCCCCTCCGCGCACTCCATCAGAAACGACCAGAGGGGGCGCAGGACAGCCACATCACTCGCAAAGCCGACTGTTGATCTCGCCCGTTTGTTCGTCGAGCGCGCGTCTCCTCTATTAGCGCTGCCGTCTTCTTCGTTATCGCTCGTGTCAACCCCTGCGTCGTCTTCGTTCTCTGACGCATCGTTGTGCCGGTGACGGCCGCCCCTCGCCCCCGCCACCGCAGCAGACGCACCGGCCACCCACACATTGCGGGTGTCCCCATCAAAGAGCTCGCCCATTAAACTCGCCGGATCGTCGTCGTCATCGTCTGCTGCTGTGGCCAAGGTCAGCCGGTTTGTGTTCGCACGCGCAGCGACGCGGTTCCAGCTGCCTCGCTCGTTGACTCCATCGCCGCCGCTTTTCGCTCCCGCCACCGTGGTGGTATCCTCCCTCACCACCTCCTCGGCTCGCTGCACCATCGCGGCGGGCAGAACCACAAAGGTGACAGCGACGCCCGTCGAGCCGGCGCGGCCGGTGCGACCGATTCGGTGCACGTACTGCATCACCGACTCCGCTGGCACGCCGGTGGCGCTCCACGGCACATCGTAGTTCACCACCAGCGTCACGCCCGCCACGTCCAGCCCACGGGCGAGCAGGTCGGTGGTGATGAGGACGGACCGCTGCCGGCGCTGGAACTGCGCGACGAGGCCGCGCCGCTCGCTCTGCGACAGCTCCGAGTGGACGACGGCGACGGAGCGCAAGTTCACGAGCGACGGATCTCGCGGCGACGGCGATGCTGCTGCTGCTGCCGTTGCTGCGCGTGAGGAGGTCGAAGGAGCTTCGCTATCTTCGCGAAAGACGAGCCCATCGGGGGGCGGGCCAACGAGGTCCGTTAGGGTGAAGTACTCCTGCTGGGCGTCCAAGTACTCCGCCTCCGTCCGCAGTTCATCGAAAAGGGTATCGCACGTCGCCTTGGCGTTGGCGAAGACGATGATGGGGCCGGCACCGTAAACAAGCCAGGCGACGAGTCGTGCAAACTTCTGCGGCTGCAGGAGTGGGTGTAGGCTGCGTTGCTGTCGAGGATTCTCTGACGGCTGCCGGGCACGATCGTCGGCGGGCGGCCTCTCCGTGTTGTCCAGCCTCCGCTGCTGTCGCGGTGGCTGCAGAGACCGCGCGGCGCGACGAGCCGATCCGTCATCAGTGGCGCTGGCGGCGGCGGTGGTGGTCTCTGATATCAGTTCAAACGACTGCCGTATCGACGCACACCGGTACGGTGTGCGCACCAGATAGTAGCCCGACCTCGACAGATAGCGCTTCGCCACGCCCGCACAAGGTGTGCTCAGCGTTGCCGTGAACATTAGGGTCTGCCGCGGCGTCGGGCACCGCTCGAGGACGGCAACGAGCTTCTCCTCCTGCTGCTCATCGATCATGCGATCCGCTTCATCGACCACGACGAATTGGGTGTTGCCAAGGGACAGCAGGCGGTCCTCGAGCAGCGTCTGCAGCTGACCGACGGTGCCGACGACGCAGTGGGCACCCTGCGCGAGTGCGTCGTACTGCGCGTCGCGGCTTTCGCCGCCAACCACCTTCACTACGCGGAACTCACTCAAACAGTTGCGCTCGGGTGCGCTGACTGCGCTGCCCGAAGGTAGATCGTTTTCTTCCGCCTCCCAGGCAACGAGGTCTGACCGGCGCACACCGGGGGACGAGGACGGCGCTGCTGAAGGTCCTGCCTGCCCACACAGTTGCAGCAGCGATGCCGTCACCTGCTCCGCCAACTCACGGGTCGGCACCATCACGAGGCTTAACGGCCCAAGAGAGATCCGATCTGGATGCCCGAGCAGCTTCGGTGCGCGACACAGCACATGCGCCAGCAAGGGCACCAAGTACGCCGCCGTCTTGCCACTGCCGGTCTCCGCGACGGCCAATACATCCATGCCCAGAGAGCTCGCCGTGGTGGTGATCGTCGTAGTGAGTGGGGCGGACACGGACAACGAGGCGGGAGACGTGAGAAGGGCCAGCGGCACACACTGCGCCTGCACCGCCGTGGGGAGGGCGTAGGAGGTCGCCACGCAGCGGCCGAGCGTTAGAGGTAACTGCGCCTCCTCCCAACACCGAATGGCCGACAGCGTGTCCGCCGCGGGCAGGGCCGCAGCAGCAGCAGCAGAGGAAGGAAAAACAGAACCTGAAGCGAGCGGCGGCACTGTCATCGCGGGGGCGACCAACTCGATGGTGATGCCAAGCTGCTGACGGAAGACGCGCCAGCTGGTGGGCGTCATCGCGGAATAGGAGTGCTGCGTCCAGTGAGAAGGCGTGACGCCGCTGCTGCCCGTCGTGGCGGTCGCTGCTGCTGCTGTTGATGATGATGCCGGCGTTGCAGTGGGAGCAGGTGTGGTGGTAGCCGATTCTGCCTCTTGACGCTTCTTGAGGAGTCGTTGGAGCAGCGGATCCTTCGGCCCCACCCCCCGCCGTACCAGGGCGGTCGTCGCGAGCGTCGAGGCAGGCGGACGCGCCGCGGTTGCGGCGGCGGCAACCTCCATCTCAGACGGCGTGCTCGATGTGTGCGTCTCCGTGCTGGAAGGCGGGCCACCGTTTCCTTTTGGGAGTCCACCTCGACGGGTTGATGCGACCTCCACCGTTGTCGCCGTCTGCGTGTTCGCCATCTGCAGCAGCCAACGTAAGACAGGAGAAGGCGCTGCAGAGGGTCGCTGACGGAGTGCCGGTGAGGCCGTCTGCAGCGTCCACCGCGCCCGACGTGCAAAGGCGGTGTCGAGCAGCGCCTGTGTGGAGGCGCTGTCTGCAGTGGTTGACGCGGCAGTTGCCGGCACCTCGGCGCCGACGTAAATCTTCCAGCTACGGTGCATCGTGGGGGTCAAAGATCGCCTTGATGGAGTCCTTCTGGAATACTTTGGCAGATGTTACCGCTCGTTGACTGTGTGTGTGTGTGTGGTGCGTAGAGGAAGACGAAGACACAAGCAGTAGAGAAGTGAAAGGAGGGGAGATAACAGTTCTCCTTAAATGAAGGGAGAGGGTGGGAGAGAACGGCGCAACGCTGACGCTGAACTCTTTTCCTTCAACACCACGCGCCAGCATTCCAGGCAGACCAAAGAAAATGAAAGAGGGAGATCATGGCGGCGGAGGCCACTATAATAACAGTTAATATTATTATTATTTTTTTGATGATCGCATCACCGCGTTGCTGCGGCGTTGGTGGTGGTGGAGAGAGGAGATGAGCGTCGTACGCAATGGCGTTGCTTCCCCTTCACTTCTTTCCCCACGTGCCTCATCGCGCCTCTTTCTTCCGCCCCCTCCGTTCCCATGCTGTTAGATGAGCCGATTAATGTAGATGATCAACAACGACAGCGACAATGCTAAAACAAAATCACGCGAAACAAAGAACGAAAGAAAGGGAGTAGTGCGGCTGCTCCGTAAAAACCAAGCAAGCAAAAGCAGCGGTGATCTATGACCCCCCCCCCCCGGTCAGATGCGTGTCCTTCATCTTTCCTGTCCATTCAATGCACCTCGCACCCATGACGTCGGTGGTTCCCTTTGCCGCGCTCTTCCTCCGTCCGCACGCGCGAGCAGCAACGACAGCAACGGGGAAGAGAGGAGGAGCGCACACACACGCCCGCCTGCCCAAGCACCTTTCTTCCATTTGGTTCTGATTTAGACCTGCAAAATGCCGCAGCGGGGCATCAAACGGATGATGATGAAGAAAGAAGAAAGCATCTATGCCTTTCCCAACGCTGACGTGCGCGCGAATCGACCCTCAACACACCAACACGCACACGCACACGCACACGCGATGACGATGCAAATCCAATATGGAACATAAAATCGTGGGGAGTCTCCGGTAGCGCCTCTAATAATAATAACAAAAATACTACAAACAATAAATAAAGGAGAACAAAAAAAGCCGGAAAAAACAACAACAGCCAGATGAAGCAATTGATCTTCACGCTATATATGTATTGATCTCCGCCAGTGTCCCTTCTCGTGTGCGGGGGCGCTGCGTTGACGATGATCACTTCCGCAGACGCAGAGGCATACGCACCCGCACATTCACTCATTCATCTTCTGTTTTTTTCCCTTTCTCTCTCTCTTTACAGCTGCAGAAGCGCGTCTAAATCCTTCGCCGCCGCCGCCTTGCCGGACTGCTTCTCACGACTGCGACTGTGGCTATGGCGGCGATGACGGTGTTGCGTGTCCGCACCACCACCACCACCCGCAGCCGCTGCCGCCGCCTCTCCGGCACCTGCTGCGTTCGAGCGGCTGCGGCTGCGGCTGTGTCGCCGGTGGTGGCCGCCGCCGCTCTCCCCCTCGTCTGCCGGCGGCGCCGGGATGGGCGGCGGCACCGGCGGCATCGGCGAGGCCCCCCGCGCCGCACCAGCTTCTTTGCTATGGCTGTGCCGCCGTCGGTGTCGCAGGGTTGCGCCGGGCGAGTTACCTCCCGCAGAGGCCGCCACCGCAGCGTCTGATCCGGGCGGCACCGGTGTCGCTGCCCCGCTTTCGAAGGCGGCCTTGCTGCGGCTGCGGCTCTTACTGCGGTGACGCCGACGGTGTCGCGAGGAGTTCGCCGCTGCACCGCCGTTATTTGCAGCAGGCATCCCAAGCGAGGTCTGCTCCATCCCCTGCCCGTTGCTGTTCGGAGTCGCACCGGCGCCCACGTTCGCCGAGGCCGGATCGCGATGGCGGAGGTTGTCGCGCGTGCTGCGTCGACGTCGGCGGTGCGTCTTCATCTCGGCCTCCTCGACCGGGTACTCGGCCGGGGAAGCCGAAGAGGAGTTGGCCGGTATCAGCAGCGCACCGTTGGTGGCAACGGTCGCCGGGGTGCCGCTGTGTGACCGCGCTGACTCGGCACCCCCACCGGCGGCGCCCATCATCGCCATCATCTGCTGCTGCTGTTGTTGGTAGTTCATGGGGGTACCAGCACCCATCCCGGCTTGCTGCATCCAAGGTGGTATCATGGACATCATCGATTGCTGCCATTGCAGGCGCATCTGCATGAGCTGCGTCATGGCGGGGTCCTTGTCCACCGTCGGGTCCTCGCAGCAGTCCATGAAAGGCCTGTCAGAGCCCGTCAGCATCATCCACGCCTGCCGCGAGAAGCCAAGCCTCTTCACGTCTTGGAAGTCCAGGAAGAACATATCCGCACGGATGTACATGGGTAGCTGCGAGAGGGGCAGCGCGGGACGGTACATCTCAACGCCACGCTTGCAGGTGCTGCGGATCACGAGCCACGGAAGCACACCGATCAGCCACAACACCAGGTCCAGCGCGAAGCTGCACAGCGGCCAGGCGAGGAAGACGGTGACCATGACAAGCGAACCATTCATCTTGCGCGTGTAGTCGCTCCAGAAGACGCGCAGCGGCCCCGAAGTGTTCTGGATGTAGAAGTTAGAAAAGGCCCAGAAGGAGATAAAGAGGTTACACGTCCACACAAACGCCGTCAGACCCGAGACGAACCACGCGAGGCGGACAAACTCGTAAAACGGGGTGTCGTAGAACTCGACGCCGCTGTCGGAGCCACAGCAGCCGGAGCCGGGCGGTTGCGTGAAGCCGACCTGAGGGTTTTGCTGCTGCACCGACGCCACCCGCTGTTGATACTCCATCATAAACGCCTGCTGCTGCTGCGGTGTCATCTTCATGAACTCTTCTTGCTCCTGTGGCGAGATGGTGGGTAGCGCGTTGGCGCCTGCCATCCCTACGCCCCCCGAAGGGTGACGCTGCGCGTTGATCAGCAACGCATACAGCAAGGTAAAGCCGCTGTACACCATCGCGAGGAACCACAACGTATCCCGCGCGTTCGTCCACGAGCTGAGCTGCACGGCGAAGGTGTTGGCGTACATACTGTCCTCCATGCAGAGCACGCCAAAGCTGCCGAGCAGTTTGCGCTGGGTGCAGTTGTGCGCGGTGCTGTCGCGCGCCGCCGCCATCAGCACCGCATCAGCCACCGCCGACGTCACGCTCTGCACGACGGGCGCCAGCTGGTCCATGACCACGAGAGCGGGGGGCTTGACGGTAGTAGTGATGGTCGTGCTGCCGCTGCTGCCGCTGCTTCTGCTGCTTCTGCTGCTGTCCACGCTGCTGCTGCTACCGCTGTCCGTGTGGTTCGTTGAGTTCCCGTTCATCCAGATGATGTACGGCTTCATTGCCGCGTCCAGCTCCGTCGTATTGCGCGCATCAAACTTCTTAAAAATGTCATCGCGCTGCTTCGTAGCGACCACCACCGCGAAGCCGACGACGGTCGCGATAAAGAGCAGGCACGCGAGCAGGAAGGTCCAGTCGAAGCAGTTGTAGATGGTCACGTAGCACGGGGCCTCTTGCCCCAGCATCGGCGCCGCACAGCAGAACGGATCCACCGGCTCCCCCGGCACCGGGCAGCAGCCCCCGGTAGGTCCACAACATCCTCCGGTAGGCCCGCAGCAACCACTCGTAGGCCCGCAGCAACCACTCGTAGGCCCGCAGCACGTCGCACAGCACTGATCCTGACCCGGCATCATCCGCTGCTGCATCATAAGCTGCTGTGGCGTTAGCGCAGCCGCCGCAGGGGCGCTCGAGTTGCAGCGAGAGCCATCTGCTTGCACACTGGCGCCGACACCGCCTCCTTGCACTGCCCCTGGATTGGCGCTCCAGAAGTTGCCGCTGGTGCTGTTGAAGAGGCCAGAGTTGCCGAGGGTGGCGTTTGCGCCGCCAGGCGACATCGTCGACGCCGCGTTGCCGGACATCGGACTCCATTGCGAGGCCCCTGGAGGGTGCCCGGCCACGTTGCCGTAGGCCTGCGGAGATGCGTATGGGAGCTGTTGCTGCTGGGGGTACCACTGCCCACTTGGGGACCGACTCATGATCGACTGCTCTAGCATCGTTTCAGTTTTTTTTGTTTGTTTATTCTTCTTCTTTGTCAGGGGGTATACCGCGAGTAGATCCACGTAGCACGGAATCCCCTGTATCTATATGTAGCGTTGACAGCTTTGTTGTGTGCTGCTGGGAGGCGCACGTGTTGTCGTCTCTCTGCTCACAGGCAAAACAACGAAGGAAGGCGTGACGCACGAAACCTCCACCACGGCCACCACCACCCCGACGACGCACAGGTATGATGGAGGAATGATAATAATAAGAAAAGGAAACAGGCAGGGCTTCCCGTATCAGCGGATTCGACAGGGAGGCAGAAAATAATGTATGTAGAGGAACGGAAGCGTACGCGTCACCACCAACTGACACAAAAACACACACGCACAAGAACGCCACGCTTTCTATGGCTGAAATACACAACCTCAATTGCAATACTGATAATACAGCAAAAGAAGAAAAACGGAAAAGAACAAGCACACAACTTCCGAAGCAATCTCTATAAGATGGAGAATACGCTGGTGAGTCCGCTACCGGCGGAGTGAGCGCAGGTCAACGGTAAACTCTGGCAAAGCAAAGAAGAGAAGAGAGGAGGGATGATGAGATGCACCAGCTCAAGATCGCTGTGTGTGTGTGTAGATGTGGGATTCCTCTCTATATTTTTTTGTTGTTTAAGAGGTCACACGCGATGCTGTTGCAGATGTATATATAGATATAGATATGTTTCTAAAAAAGGCAGTACAAAATAAAAACCACTATTGAAGTCAAGAAGTGTAGTTCAATCGTTCCAGCAGCAGTGACGGTAGCCGAAATCCCCTACGGGGTTTTTGGCGTGTGTGGGAGCAAGAGGAGGAGAAGAGGATCCCGTGAGCTCCACTAGAATCGGCCAGAGGCGGAGATGTACGCTGATTGCCGGTCACTTCCACACAGTAACACAGACACACACACACGTACACGTACACGTACACGTACACGCACACCAGAAAGGAAAGATGCGTTGTACTTGCTGGTGCAGCGTTCAACTTCAGTAAGCAACCGACACATCCGAGGCAGAAGAAAAAAAAACAGGAGGAGACAGACAAGACAGTTGGAGCGGTGAGGGACGTTGAATTCATTTTTTAAGTTCTTCTGCGTGGGTATTTGAGAGGCACATACGCGGAGGCACCGCAGCGTCTTTCGCGCTGTGTCATTCACTTGCGTCGCCCTCACGAAACGCGTGCATTACAGCACTGCATCCTGCGAAAGGGAAACCCAACTGCCGCCATGGCGGACGGACAACAAGCAAGAAAAAAAGCTGACAGAACCAAGCAGCAGAACGATCGTGGAAGAGAGATTTTCTTCTTTTTCAAAATATTCATGTTCTTCCGGCGTTCGGGTGAAGAAAGAGGAAGGGGAGAAACACCTAAATGGCAAGACGTCAATGTGAGGGACTATCAGAGGAACACACTAACAGCGATGATAAGAGGACTGTGCGACCATCGCACCGGCCCACACGTGCACGTAAAATGAGATTGCACACGAGAGGAAGAGTGAAAAAACAAGAAAGAACGTGCACCCGGCAGCAATGCCACGCGATCTGCCCTCCTCCTCCTTTCTTTCTCCTTGTCCGTTTTTTTTTCTTTTCAGATATGACGATAATCGAAGTCCTCAGGGTTCAGTCCGGCGTCGTCGACGCTGCTGTTTGTCTGAGACACCTCAGGTGCACCGAGCTTTGTCAGCCCACGCACCCACCACTCCATTTCCTGCTCCGTGCTGATGACCTGATCCTTCCCAAAGTCCAGCCGCAACTCCATCCACTCCTCCTTCACGACGCCGTTCTTGCCCGCCACGTTCTCCTGCGTGCCGAGCGCCCACATACCGCGGTCGTCGACCTCGAAAACAAAGGCGTTAGTCAGCTTGAGCGAGAAGTTCATGTTGAGCGACGGGACGAGCTTCTGCCGTGCGAGGTTCAGCATCCGGATAAAACGGTGTGAGCAGCGGCAGAGGGGGTCGGGGTCGGGCACCACGGGCTCCCACACCCGCTGCGTCTGCCCCGCCACGTTCATCCAAAGTCGCACCTCGGGCCGCATGCGAAAGAGGGAAAATGTCTCCGGTTTAACGACGTAGACGGGGGCCTCCTCGTCCTCTGCCCGTGTCGGGTTTCGCTCCCGCTCGCGGAACTTCGCCCGCCAGTCGCTGCTGCTCATCCGGCGCATCCGCTTTTCGTCCTCTTCCTGCTCCCGCTTCGCGATGTGCACGGCCTCGTCGGGGGACTTGCTCTGATCCCCTTCCCACATGTCCTGTGCAAGGCGGTGGATGACGGGGTGCCGCGCGAAGGTGGTCTCCCACGCCTCGGCCTGCAGGTCGCCGCTGAGGAGCTCCATCGGCCCCGACAGGAGGGAGCGCGGCGGCAGTGCCCCGAGCTCTTTGAACCAGTGGAAGAGCTGTGGGTCCGTGTGACCGACCATCAAGCTGCCTTTCGAGCAGTCAAGCAGGTTGCGCACGTGGCTGGAGCTCTTCGGCACGGCGACCACGATCGACCAGTCCTGCTCACCAGAGAATTTGTGCAGGGCATGCGGCTGTAGATCGCTCCGTACCGGTAGCGCCGCGTTGCCCTCCTCGTCCGCGCGCTGCTCCCCACTGCTGCCGCTGCTGCTGCTGCCCCCCACCCCGCTGTCGAAGCCCATCGCGATGCTCGACTCCTTCATGCGGCGCACGTTCGACGTCGTGAGCTGCGCTACGCGGTAGGTCCAAATGTGGTTATAGAAGCGACTCGCGTACGGCTGACCCAGGTTTGACTTGACGCGGGTTTTGATCTCTCGGCCGGCAACGCCGTGCGTGAAGGGCGCCCGAGAAGGGCCGCTCATCGTACGATAAAAACCTTTCAAAAAGAGAAAAAGCAAAGGCTAAAGAAGAAGGTGATGCACCGCTGCTGCTTTACGTTAGAAGGGGGGTAACAAGAATAATAATAATAATAAAGAAAGTAGATAACGATGACAGAGGAGAAGAACACAAAGAAGGATTGACGTGGACAGCAGAGGGGGAGAGGATGCGTGAGCTGGAAGGAGCGGGCAGGGGAGCACGCTTCTTGAATCCGAACGCGTGTGTTAGACCGGACCGAAAGAAAAAGAAAGCATTCGTCTTCACGGCCACAGACGACACCATCCATCCATCCATCCCCCCTCCCCCAGAAAAAAAACCCGTTCGTGACCTTCTGTGGCTACCATAATGCACCGGAATAGAAGGGAGAGAGCTCGAATTCCTCTTCTCTCCTCCACAGCTGCTCAGCTGCCTTCGGTGAAGGTACGCCGCCGCAGCAAGAACAACAATTGCGCTGCCACCGACTTCGCCCCGCGAACGTACAACGACTGCTTTTCTCCCTCTTTCTCTTGTTCTTCTCTATTGGTTTCGTTTTGCCAGCGGCAGAGAGACGGAGGAGACCCAATCATGCCCATCCACACCCACATGTAAAGCACTCAACACTCGAGAAAGCTGAAGTGAATTGAAATACGAAAGAGAGAAAAGGAAGAAACCACCACAACCGAGCGTAAAAGCCTTCGCACCACACAGGAGGAGTCGCACACACACACACACACAGTCCGCACCGACAGCTGCACGGGGTCTGCTTTCGAGGCGGCTCAGAGGAGAGGGTCGGAGCCTCAGCAGCGCATGCGGTCGACCTGACAAGGAAAAGGCTTCCTCGGCGTGCGCAACCCCACCACTCAAGAAAAAAGAAAACTATATTTCTATCCACTGCAACAACGTAGCACAACTACACGACGACGATATCGAAACTACAGAAAACAAAACTGGTGCACATGAATTATTGTTTTTTTTTCTCTCCGCCCCGCCCCTCCCCCCGTCGCTGCTGAACGCCTTCGTTTCGCTGCACGTTCACCTCGCTGCGCCCTCGCTCGTCGTGTTCTCGTACCCGTCTTCAGCCCTAGCGGAAGGGGGGAAGAACGCCGAACCGCCCGCCCCTTTCTCTCCCCACCACCAAACGACGATGAGGCTCACAGCTTGCGATTCTCCACTTCCCGCGACGACACCTGCACGGCATACGCGTTGTCGCTCACCTCTACGCTACTGTGCTTCGTCCCGCGCCGCATTACAAGCAGGGAGGTGTACAGCGCAAACATAAGCGCCAGCACCAGATACACCTTCAACCCCCGCTTCTTCTCCTTTGCGCCCACCCCGCCTTTGCTGTCATCGCCGCCGTAATCGAACTTCATCACGATGTCTTCGCCTTCCACCGCAGGCAGCGGCGATGCGGCGGCCGCTGCGGCGGGGCTGCTGCTGTTGCGCGGCGGCGGGGAGAGCGAGTCCAGCACCCGTCGCGCATCTGCAGACCGCTGCGTCGTCGGCGTGCTGGCCGCGTTCTGCGGCGAGCCGTTCTGCGAGGCGCTGGAGTCGCGCCGCATTAAGTTGATCTCCTCCTTCAAGGCGCGCAGCTCATCCACCGCCTTCCGGCGTGAGGAGGGCGGCGTGCTGGCGGTCGCGGAGGCGTTCTCGCTCGTCTTGTGCGACGCCGCCGAGCTCGGGTTGTGACCGTCGGTGCGACTCGCCCGCTCGTGCGCGTTCGGCGCGACCAGGCGCGCCTCGATGGGAACGACGATCTTTGTTGCCTCGTCTCTGCCGGGCGGCGCCGGGTCGTTGCGGTTCATCACCACATTTTCCATGAACACCTTCAAGTTAATGCTCGCCTGAGTCCCCATGTGCGCGCTGGGAATCGCACTCGAGGCGACGAGGGACCACATGTTCTTCACCACCTCCGTCAGCTTCCGGTGGTCCGCCAGGCTGTTAAAGATCTGCTGAAACGCCAGGGGCTCCGACTTGATCATGACGTACTCCACGGCGAAGCGTTCTTGGTAGGGCGGGCCGCCTGGTGCAGCGCTCGTGGCGCGTGACGCCTGCGGGGAGGCGGCACCGCGGTTCATCGCACTCACCGCAGTGCCGTTCCCGCCAGCCGCTCCGTTTTCCTCCTCCGCGCCGGCGTGGTGCTCGCGCAGGCCAAACGTGATCGTCGTTGCCTTGCTGGCGGGCTGCACCGACGTCCCCGTCGCGTCGGCGAGCGGGATGGCGCCGTAGCGTGGGACGACGTGGAAAAGCTGCGGGGCCGTGCACTTCACCTTGAAGATGACGCTGGTGTTCGGCTCCAGTGGAGTGCCGCCCGGGTTCCACTTCAGCGTCGTGATGTTGTCGTACGGCTCCGCCGGGAAGTACAGGCCGTCGCACGAAAGAGATAGCGACATGGCGAGCGTGGGATATGGAACTACAAGAAGGAAAAACTAAAAGACAGGAAAACCAACAACGACCACTGTGGGAGCCTTTGCGTGCGGCTACGTCTCGCTTTTGACGACGCTCGCTTTAAGAATGTGTAGAGACCGCCTCTTTTTGGAGGGCTCTTGTTGATGATGGGAAGGATAAATATAACTCCCCCTTTCTCCTCGCAGTGAATGCGCTTGTCGTTCTCTCCTCCGCGGTCACGGCACAAGATCACGAGCCGCCACGAACAGACAGCAAACGCAAACAAGCAAGTATAAACAATAATAATAATAATAATAATAGTACTCAAAAAGGAGTCGTTAGAGTAATGTAGAGCGTAAAGCCTGGAGGCGGTCTGGTACAATATCCCCTCGCACACAGAGAGAGACACAAAATAGATAAGATAAGAAAAATAAAGAAGCGTGCGATGTACACGAGCGCGATCACTCTTGCGACGGTCCGCCGAGGGTGCTGTCAGTTCTGCGTGCGCCGCTTCTCCTTCCTTTCTTACAGATGAATATAGGAATAATAATAAAAAAACCTTGGTGTGCCACGGAGACACGTACAGATCAGCGGAAGCAAAACAAAGAACAGAAAAAATAATAATAAAGGCGCGTAAAGGGAGACCTCCTTAGCAGCGAGCGTGGTGTCTGATCAACCCTCTACACTGATATAGAGCGCGATTGGATAGACACAGGGCAGTGCTGCCGACGCGTGCGTATGTATGTGCGTGTGAGTGTGAGTGTGAAGGGGTAGGGCAATCACCATGTGTACTACGCGCAAATAGAGACAGAGGAAGGTGAGAAAAAATAATAATAACAGAGGACAGTTTGTGGGTATGGCGTAGACGCCTGTCTACTCAGAACGCGCAGATCCGTTTGCAACGAAGACGTATTCCATAAAACACGGAGGAGGCGCTTCACAACAGCGAGGTCAACTCCGCCGCATCGACTGCTCGTAGAATATCGCGCGTACGCAGTAACGACAGCAACAGAGAAACAAACATGCACTCCTCCCCCATAAGCTGAGGAGGGAGGCCACCAATGTTTAGCAGAATCGCGAGAGAGATTTTTAAAAAAGTCAAAGAGATCTCCCTCCACACGCCAGTGAGGAACATCAGCAGCAGCGCTGAATGCGTGCAAGATCGCGATGGCTTCACATTCGTGTGGCATTGTGAATGAACCATGTTCTTCTTTTCATGTAACAAGAAAAAAAATGATGTGCGACGACGAGATCACATTGACTCTATAACTCCATATAGGTATATATAACTTCCAGTATCAACAACAGCAAAGGCACTGGCACACATGCGCGTACGCACGCGAAAAATGGAGCTGGAGACACGGCGCTGCGAGCAGGGAGCAATTCTGGGGTTACGATGAACACACACACACACACCACATACACACTCACACATCCATTACTGTTCCTGCTGCAGACGCGCTTCACAGTAGTCCCGCACGTCATCAAAGAAAGGGTGCTGCATCGCCTGCAACGCCGTAATGCGCTGCTGCGGGTCGTAGCGCAACATCGCAGCGAGCAGCGCCACACCATCCTTCTCAAGCGCCGGGATCGCCTCCGCCAAGGACGTCGGCCGCCATTGCGGAAACTCGGTGTTGTAGTACGGCAGCCGCGACACCCCCGGCCACACGTGCTCGTTCGGCGTGCCCATAACCTTAAAGATGGTGATCAGCTGCGAGTACTCGCCCTCGCCAGAGAAGAGCGGGCGGTGCAGCGCGAGTTCGGCCACGACGCAGCCCATCGACCACATGTCCACCGACGGCAGGTAGAAGCGATCCCCCAGCAGCACCTCCGGCGCACGATAGAGCAGCGTGGCGATGTTGTACGTGTAGCTCTGCAGCGCCAGCCCAAACGCGCGTCCCATGCCGAAGTCCGCGAGCTTAACCGTCTGCTCATCCACGCTCACGAGGATGTTGGCGGGCTTGATGTCGCGGTGAACGATGCGGCGGCTGTGGCAGGTGTGCAGGGCACTCAGCAGCTGGTACGTCATGCACTTCAGCTTGCGTCCGAGGATGGGGGTCTGGCGGGTGGAGAGGAGCTTCCGCAGGTCCCGCTCCATGTACTCGCACACGATGCAGAGGCGGTTGTCCTCCGTGAAGAGGTCCAGCAGCCGCACGACGTTCGGGTGGCGGATCTCCTTCAAGAGGGTGACCTCGCGGATGGAGGAGACGGAGAGGCCTTCCTCACCGGAGCTCCATTGACTTGTCTTCACAGCCACCGTGCAGCCCTTCACGATGTCGCAGCACAGAAAGACCTTGCCGTAGGAGCCCTCACCGACCTTGCACTTGCGAATGTAGCGCCGAAAGCCGGTGGGCACGGCCGCTTGCGCGGCGGATGGCGCCGCCCCGCTGACGCCGCGACGGCTGCTGTGCAGCGACTCCGCAGAGAGGGCCGTGATGTTCATGACGGAGACACGCGCGAGACAGGTGCCGCAGCAGAAAAGAAATGTTAAAAAAAAAACTAAGAAAAAAAAGGGAGGTATGATGAGAGAAAGGGCGACGGAGGGAATACGCGAAAGGCGAGGGCGCGTGCGGGTGTGCTCTTGTGGGCCGCGGTAGGTTTCCTGCAACGTGCACTATGGAGAAAAAATAAAACGAAAGGAGAGGACCGTCTCTGTTTGCTGTGAGTTTCTCTGATGGGCGGAGGAAGGAACAGTCCCAAACTATATATGTATATACGGATCTATGGGATAAGGAAGAGATACGTCTCTTCGTTTGCTTTATGGATGACGGGTATAGGTATACGTCTCTGTGTGGGAGTGGAAGAGGGGAGGGGGGGAGGACGGGGAAAGGTTGTGGAGAGACAAAGCAACGTTGGCTTTTTAGGTTATCCGATGTATATGTGCGTTACGTGGAGAGGGCGTGGGAACGGGCAGTGCAGAAGTGAAAAAAACGAGAAGACATCGCTCAGCTGAGGGAAGCACCCATGTTTGCTCCTCTCTTTTCTTCATGTATACATAACGTCATGCGTTACATCGTATTCGTTTGAATATACGAGGGAGCGGAAACGGAGTGTCTCACCTTGCTTCGAAAAAAAAAAGAATCACAGACGTGGGAAACGGCAGCAACAACGCGCAGGCGCCCGATAGCGTGCCGCTGGCAGACAATCGGTGTGGCAGCGTCGGCTGCGGACCTACAGTGTTTTCTCTCGTCAGGTATTGTGAGACTCACCGACGACATATATATATATATATATCTATATGCAAAGACCTCTTCTTTCTCTCCTCCCTCCCTCCCTCGCACACTGGCGGTTTTCCTTTCCTTTTTAAGCAAGCAGCGAAATGGAGGCAATCTGCGCGCCACGAATGAGCCGCAGGCTTTCGCCCTCCTCGCTGCTCCCTTCCGTGCGCGCCTTCTTGCGCTGCTGCTGCTGTGGATGCATCGCAGCCGCACCAACCGCAGCCGCGACCGACTCGGTGCAGGTCCAGCTACGCAGCAAGACGTTGCACAGATCATCCACGCTCAGCAGGGTGCCAGTGACCACGGCACCGCCGTCCTGCGCGTCGGTGAGTTCGTTGGAGAGAAGGGTAACGGCCACCCGTCTCTCGATGTGCTGGGCCAGAAATTGGAAAGGATCGGTGGGTGGCGTCGCCGCAGCGGCGGTGGTGCTGTTGACGACGGAGCTGCTGCCCAAGGGGGAGCCCGTTTCGACGGCGTTTTCGGTCATGTCTAGATTTGGGAAAAGAAAAAAAAAGGTGCGAGATCAGCGCGCTATGCACAGACCCACACACACAACAGAGAAGGCGGCCGCAATGGATTGACTCGGCACCGTTGGACGACAAAAGCTCTGCCGTTCACACAGCCGATGCATGATTGATAGATGAGGGTGGACGATAAAGAAGAAAGAAAGGCGGTGGAGGCAAAAATGGAGAAGTGCGTTCGCAATTCGTAGTGGCTGCGTTTCATAGAATGCGAGTGCTGAACCAAACACATGGAATACCACACTCCAGCAACTCCCCCAAAAAGCAATCCATACCCTCCGATGACGAACGCAAAACGGGAGCCGTTGGGCCGCTTACCATCGCCTCACCGTTCTCGCAACGTGGCACACTGCACCGGAAAAGAAGAGAAGAAGAAAAAAGAGATGTGCCCAGCGCAACGATCCGTTCTCCAGTTTGCGTTCGAAGAAGCGTTACAAAGAAACCCAAAGTCATCAACTCTCCCTCTCTATATATAGTTATGAACGTCTATCCCACGCGCTCGTGCATGTCGAGCCATATTTCTGTGGTGGTAATCGTCTATAACGTCTGCTATAACTGTTTCAAAGCAAAAACAAGAAAACAAAAGAAGATTAAAAAGAAAAACAATCGAAGAGGAGGCAGAAGAACCTTACGATGATCGCCGCGACGCGTCCGCAGAGGGGGCAGACGGCTGCAGGAGGGCGGTGCCCAGCCAGCCGACCGTGTCCCCGATCAAATCACTCATCACGTTCGATACACAGTGCTCGAAGACGAGCTGCGATAAGCCTCCGCGCCGCACGTGAATGGCCGTGGCCGCCGTCAGGAGTGTTTCGTTGCGGGGGTGCAGCGGCGGGGCAAAGGGCGACGACGCAAAGAGAGAGGACAGGGCGGCCATCGAATTCCCCGCACTGTCACCGCTCTTGAAGGACACACTCCGGTCCCCGCCACCCGGAAAGGAGTTGCCGGCGGAGCCACCGCCTTCCTCTACATCCCCGCTGCTGCGGCGGCCAAACATGTTGTGCTCGCCCAGCGCGGCAGGGGCATAGAGCGGGTCTGCCCGATCCTCTGCCCCGTTCATCGCCAGGTCGAGGTAGTACACCGTCAGCCGTGCCACATCCCGCGCTCGTAGCTCCTGCGTGAGGAGGGCGTTGATGTTCACCCGCGCCAGCGCGTCGCGCAGCACCGCGTTGGCCGTGCGCAGGTGGTCTTGACAGGACTGCCCCTCGCCCTGACTCAGCAGGAGACAACGGGATGCGTAATCCATAAAATCACGGGCGATGCGCTCCGCAACTCCGCGCAGTCCGGCAATCCAATCCAGCGGAAGTTTGCGCGGCGCCGTGGCGTCTGGCGGTGCCTTCGTCGCAGATCCCTCAGGTGCTAGCGCCGTGATGATCGGTGAGTTGGTAGGCGCTGGTGGCGGTGGAGAGGTTCTGCCGCTGCCTGCCGATGCCTTCGCGGCTGCTCCAGTGGAGAAGCGGAGGGGCGCGGAGGAGGACATCACAGAAGGGGGCAACTGCTTGGAGCAGTTCGAGGCCTCACTTCCTTTTGGGTTCTCTTTCCCAACAGTCGTGCCGCCAGCGCCGCCGGTCGGGAACCCACACTCGCCACCGCCGTCTTCGTCCGCACCATCACCCTTCGCGAAACCACCTGCCTTTCCCTTTCCTGCGAAGGCGAATTCGCCAGCCACGCCACCAAACCCACGACGGCCCAGACTCGGAGAGGAGGGGGCGACTTCATCCTCGTCGTCCGACTCGCTCTCTGCATTCACGTCCTCCGAGGCAGGGAACTCGCCGTTCAGCGTGTCACTTGGACGCCCGACACACGCACCCGCGGTGTGCGCGGATGTTGTCGCTGCGCCGCTCTTCTCCGCTCTGGACGCGGCCGCCGCCTTTGCCGCCTCCACACGTCGCCGGGCGTGTCGGTTCGCCACCGTGACGCGATGCACGAGGCCGACCGACAGCACGAGGGCGATGGCGCGTGCCGTCAGCACCGCTGGTGGGCCGAGCGCCGCCAGCTGCCCTGCGGCCACCTCCGACGTCAGGTACTCCGCCGCGATGAGCGCGAGCTCTCGTGTGGACAGGTACCGGTTCTGCTGATAGGCGTTTTCTTTTTTGGCTTCCTCTTGCTGCCGGAGCTGCTCAACGAAGTCGTTCGGCGTCGCCACGGCGGTGACCAGCGTGGTGAGGCTCGCGAGGTCGCTGCGGCCCTCCCCGCTCGCGACGCCGGGCGCCACTGTCGGTGCCCCGACGAGCGGCGTCAGCGACGACGCCGCACGCGGGGAGAGGGGCAGCCCTTCCTGTGCGTCGGACCGTGTAAATCCCGGCCCGAGGTCGTTGATGCTGCTGCTGGTGGTGGCGTGCTTCTTGTCCGCGTGCCTCTCGCCATCGTCGCCTGTGCTGGCAGCCGCGTTCGAGGTCCCACCACTGCTGGTGCTGCTACTATTATTGCTACTGCTGTTGCTACCACTGCTGCCGACCTGGCCGGTCACACCCCTCTCCACGTGGTCGTTGCCATCTGGTGAAAGAGTCAGCGCGTGGGAGGGGGAGAGGGGTCGGACCCGATCCAGCCGCTCCGGCGACAAGGACGGCGCGTAGTGCCACTCCCCGCTCAACCCGCCGCCGCCCTCCTTTGGCGAAGAGGTGAGCAGCGCATAGGGGTAGTGGTTATCTTTCGTCGGGAGCAGCCGCACTGCGTCGTGGATCAGCATCGTCGTCATGTGCGCCGAGGCCGCCTCCAACGCCTCCACCGTAAAGGCAGGCGCCGTGGTGGTGATGGTGGACGCGTCGAGGTCGAGCGTCTTCCAGTCCTCCGCAATCGCGGAGGAGCCCATATCCGCTTCTGCCGCCCCTCCTCCGCTGCCACTGCCTTGGCGGGGAGCTGCATGCAAAGGAAGAAGAGGAGCAGCGGCAGCAGTACGATCGCAGTGCTCGCCGTGCGGTGCGTCAGCGGACACCTGCAACGATTGCCGAGCCCCATCACCTTGGATTGAGCTAGGGAGCAGCGCGTTCTTCTCCGCTTCGCCTTCCTTGTCCACCCCTGCTGCTGCTGCTGCTGCTGCTGCTGCTGTCTCGGGTGCGTCGTCCGCTGCCGTAATCAGCGGAGAGAGGACGCGGGCTGACGGTGGGGTAAGGTTCAATGGCCGCTGCACCCCCTGCGCTGGCATCGCAGCCGACGCCTCCTCTTCCTCCCCATCGCCGTCGCCATCGGCATCGCCAGCAGCAGACGAATTCATAGAGAGCGACCGCATCGGCGACGAGAAGCACGTGCCGCCGGCGGGGACGGCCTGCAATGCCTCCCGCTGCAACAAAAGCTGCTGCTGCTGGTGTTGTTGGCCGTGCGGAGCAGCTGAGGTGGGTGTGGCGGCATGAGGCGAGCGACTCGTCGTCTCTGTCGCTTCAGACGGTGTTGCTTCGCCACTACTCGAATGCGCTGCGTCAGCGGCCGGTACGTCAGCGTCGTTGGACGTGAGGGAAGATGACGCTCTTGGCTCTGACTGTGGTGGTGGCGAGGTAATGACGATGTCCGCCGAGGCCTGTGCATGTGCAGCTTCCTTCAATTCCACTTCCGTCTCCCCTCTCCTAGCTTTGTGTTGCGAAGTGACAGAGGAGTCGGTCCGCTCAACAGCACCAAGCGCCGCCTCAGCAGCAGCAGCAGCAGCAGCAGCAGCAGCCGTCACGAGCGCCGGTGGGGCCAGCGGCGACGGCTGCTCCGCGCGCGGCGGCACCGATTCCGAGGTGCTGGCGTTCGAGGCGAGCGAGACACTCGAGGGTGACGTCCGTGCAGAGGCGGAGTCCGTAGCGTTGTCGCGCTCCGACTGCGGCTGCACCGCATCCAAGTGTTTTGCCCCACTACTCGCCTGCCTGTCTTCGCGCGTGACGAGGGCTGCAGGGGCGGCGTGTACATCCCCTGCGACACAAGCTTCTCCGTCCTTGCGTTGCGGTCGCTGCTCGAGCCCTTCCGCTGCTTGGTGAATGATGCCCGCCAGGAAGTCATCCGCAAACTGCACAAAAACATCCGGCGCAGACAACCGCTTCCGCAGCGCAGACGACGACGAGGAAGACGGCGAGGAGGCGACCGAAGATGTAGAAGAAGCGGCGGAGGACGATGTCGGTGTGTGGGCGGCACTGCTCGCCTCTTCGACGTTCCGCTGGGCATCCGCGGCGTGCTTCGAAGATGACGCCGCACTTCCATCTCCTCGCGGTGCCGCCTGCACCGCTGTTGTTTTACAACACTCACCGAGCTCACGCCGCTCGCGTCCTGTTACCTCTGCCCGTGCCGCCACCTCCTCAGCCTCCAGCGAATCACGCGTGATCCGCTCCGCCTCGACTTGTTCCTTCGCGACAAGGACCGTTCGTGCCCCCGCCTCCGCAGCGGTGGTGGCGGCATCGCGAAGCCACCCGTCCAGGAGAGCGGCGGAAACGTTTTCAGCGGCGTCCACTCGCTGACGTTTTTCCTCGTGTGTGGCGGCGTCCTTCGCCCGCTCGACTCGTGCAGCTTCCGCAGCGTTCTCCTCCGCCTCCGCCTCCAAACGTGCGGCTTTTGCGTCAGCAGTGCGGGCGTATGCGTCATCCGCGTCCTGCTTCAGCTGGCGGCGCGCATCGCCCTCCGCGTCCTCGACGGCGCGGCGATCATCAACGGCGTCTTTCTCCACCGCTGCACGTGCAGCCTCGGCAGTCGCTTCATCTTCTTCAGCCTTGCGATGAGCAGCCTTTTCACGTTCTTCCTGTTCTTCGGCTTTGCGTCTCTCCTCCTCTTCCTTCGCCCTTCGCTCTCGCGCGGCTGCCCTCGACACCGCCTGCGCTGCAGCATCGCTGATCCACTCGTCTTGTAATGAGTTCGTGAGGTGCTCAAGGGAGCTGATAAGCAGCGCTCCTTCACGTTGGACCCGCACCTCCTCTGCTGCCTTCGCTGCTGCCGCCAGCAGCGCGTCTTCATGCGCCGCGCGCCTCTCCGCTGCGATCCCCGCCGCCTTTCTGTTGTTCGCAGCGTGGCGCAATAACTGTACGCGGGCACCGCTCTCCTCGTCTTCCACTGCCGATCGCGCTGCGTGCTGCTCGCTGTCGAGGTGCACACGGGCACCCCTGTCTGCCGCTTCTTGTTGCGCTTGGAGTCGTGCAGCTTCGGTGGCACGCGTTGCAGCCTGTTCCTCCTCCGCCTTCAAACGTGCGGCTTCTGCGTCAGCAGCGCGGGCGTGTGCGTCATCCGCGTCCTGCTTCAGCTGGCGGCGCGCATCGCCCTCCGCATCCTCGACGGCGCGGCGGTCGTCGGCCTCCTCGTCCTCGGCGCTGCGGAGCGCTTCGGCAGCGTCCTCTTCCGCCTTGATCCGCGCGGCTTCTGCTTCTGCTTCTGCGGCTTCCTGCTGGGCGCGCAGCTGCATCGCTTTTGCGCGCTCCATCTCTTCGCGCCGTCTGCGCTCGGCCACCGCTTGCACCCGTGCGGTCGCTGCCGCCGCCGCCTGCAGAACCGTCCGCCGTGCCGCCGCTTCCGCGGCTGCGATGCCAGCCGCCGCCTCGATGGCCTCTCTCTGAGCTGCGATGAGGTCGGCCTGCACACGTTCAACTGCTGCTGCTGCTGCTGCCGCCGCTGCGTTACGTTTGACCGCGTCGTCCGCCGACTGCGCTGAGGACGGCAGGGGTACGATGGATGGCCCAGGAGGAGCCGAAGGAGGTGAAGTAGTCGTAGTCGTGGTAGCGGTAGTCGGGACCTTCGTTGTCGTGGGCGTGGGGAGCGTAGGGGCGACGGCAGGAAGAGGCACCGGCAGAGCCTGCGCTTGACTGGGTGGAGCAGCAGGCACCGGCAAGGGCAGAGCGGGTTCGTGTGGATGATGGTGATGAACCTTCACCTCAGCCTCGCCTGTGGCGTTCGATGCGACCGCGGCAACCGGTATCGAGGGCGTTGCTCTCGCCGCTTCGTTGCTGAGCTGTGGTGGCACAACCGGTGGAATTTTCAGATATCTAGCCGCCGTCGTCGTTGTGCCCTCCTCCTCCTGCTCCTGCTGTTGTGTGGACGGAGCCGTCACAGCCGTACGTTCCTGCAGTGCCAGCGGCCGATGCACCGCACTGTCGTCGTGGTGGTGGTTGCTGGTGGCAGTGGCAGTGGTAGCAGTGTGACGCACGCCGACATCCCCCAGCCATCGCAACGGCGGCTGTGCCACCGGCCGCAGTGCGATGGCGACCCGTTCCTCCTTAAAGTCAGCCCAATACCGCAGCAGTCGCCGCTCCCACTTGTGCAGGAGTTCGCGACGCGTGTGTGATTCCGCCAGGACAATCGCGAACACGATCGAGTGTAGCGGGGCCGCGGCGGCAGCAGCAGCAACAGCAGCAACAGCCGGGACACGTGTGGAAGCTGCGAGGGTTGGTGACGCCGCTGCGTGTGGTGCTTGTACGCCCTGTGGAGAAGGAGCCGCATAGAGTCTGCCATGCGCCTTGTCTGGCCGCGATGGCAGCCGCACGTCGCTGCTATTGGGGTCGGTGTGATGCGTACGATGGTGGTGCGGATGGTGATGTGACGCGGACGGTGGCGCGGCGAAAGCTGCTGTCGACGGAGTGTTCGAGTCTCTCTGGACTGGGACTATCGGATGGGTTGCAGCCAGCGTGCGTATAGGCACAGAAGGGGCACCGAGTCGAGGTGTCGAGGTGACGGGTTTGTCGGACGACAACGCCGCCGCCGCTGTTTGGCGCGCCTGCGACGCTTTTAAGCCGCGCACGCGGGCGTGCAGGGCGGAGAGCTCGTCACGGCTCGCCCCGCGCTCCTTCAGAAGGCGAAACGTACGGAGAAGGTCGCTGGTTTCTTCGATGTTCCTCAGCAAGCGCTCCGTCGAGGAGGAGTGGGCGGATGCAGGGGCTGGGGGTGGGGTGGACAGTCCGCTGCCGCCGCCGCCGCTGCTGTTGTTATTGCTGTTGCTGCCGCTGCTGGCGGCAAAGATGGTGACGGGAGCTTGGCTGCTGCGGGTGGCGACATGGGGGTCGCCTTCGCGTCTGGACGGCCGTGGTGGGACTCGTGGGACGTTATCCATAACTTGAGAAGATACCGCTGTATACATACACACACACACTCACGCACTCTCTATAAAAGAAGACGCTGTGTTTTTGGCCCTTCCGCGTCGACGGGGACTGACAGGGAGGTGTCGCCTCTTGCCGTTTGATAATATGTGTGAAGGGGTGCCTATATATATATATGTATATGTGGGTGGGTGTGTTTGATGCTTTGGAAGACGGACCAAGAATAAAAAAGAAGAGCAAAAATAACGTTAAGCGTGAGTGTGAGAGAGAGAGCAGAGGAGCGCGATATCCGACGGAATCAAATGATTGAAAACAGCCGCACACACACACACACACGGAGAAACAAACAAAAAGGAAAGAAAAAGAAAGGCGGGTCATCTCGATCCTTTTTTTTTTAAAGTGAGGAGGTGTGTGGGCCTTCGAGACAGGGATGAAGGGAGACGTCGCGGGGCGGAGACTGTTGCGCCAGTTGGCCAAATCTGACGCGCCCCCTTCCACACACACACACACACACACACACACCTCCTCTCTCTCTTCTGTTATCCACTTTTCTTCTTCGTCGTCAAGCACCGCCATAACGTGTAACGAGCACGTCCTTAACTACCTGCCACAACAGATATATGTATGAGGTGTGCACAAGGCTACTTCCGCTGCGCCACCCGAATGTCGGCTGGTACGTATACACATACGTGTCTTGAATAGGGCACCTTTCCGCAGTTGCAGCGACCTTCATGAGAAGGAAAACGCCAAGAAGAACAGCATAAAAACAAAAGAATGGAGGCAGAGGATGAACGCAAACACCTACACACAACCACAACAACAGCACACAAACACACGCATAAAATGACACTGGGCTAAGGAGAACAAAACCAGGGAAGGAGATGGAAGGGGGGGGGTAGAGCGAGCGAGGACGCGTTCACACGCACACGTACCGCTAACGCAGCTCGATCCTTTATTAATATCTTTTTTTTCAAGTTGGTCTGCGCGTTTGTTGTTCTCTTACCCCCCATATATCGGCGTGGCCTTCCCGACTTGCCTCTTCTTTGGCGTCCCCCCTCCCCCTTCCTCAGAAGGAAGGAAAGCGAAGCTGTTCCTGCAGCGTTACTTCGAGACGGCCACGATGCCCTTGCGGCCCCCGCGCACATAGACGTCGTCCCACACGTCCGGCAGCTTCTCCAGCGACGGCGCCGTCACCATCGGGTACGTCAGCCCCGCCTGCGCGATCGCCTTCAACACAAAGTCTAACTTCGTCTGGCGCTCCCCGTAGGACAAACTGTCAAGGTAGGTCGGGGCGAACAGACCGGCCATCGTCACCTCATTGTAGATCAGATTCGAGCCTGAAATGAAAAGACCGAAGCCGTTCTGCGCGCCGTAGGTCACCACGTGGCTCATCGGCCCGACACACTTGAGCAGCGAGTCAAAGTAGCGTCCCCCCACACCGTTCAGGTAGAGCGCCGCGCCGTGCTTGCCGACGGCCGACCGCATCGCCCGCGCCCCCGCGCCGTTGTACTCGAAGACTTCCGTGCCGTACTTCGCGTGCCGCGCCTTGGCCTCCGCGAAACGCTCGCCTGGCGTGGCGGCGGTCAGCACCCTCACCCCGTATTCTTTCGCCAGGGCGGAGACGGCTAACGAGGTCAGGCTGCTGCCGCCGTTCTGTATCACCACGTCTCCCTTGTGCAGACGCGCGAAGCCCTCGAGGAGCTGCTGGGCAATGAGGAAGTTTGTCGCCGTCGTCGCCAACTGCTGCTTCGAGGTGTCAATCTTGTGCAGCTGTGTCACAGGCACGGTGATGTTCGTCGCCCAGGTGCCGTGCACCGGCGCGATCCAGACCGTGTCGCCCTCCTTCACCAGGGAGGCCGCCCCCCCGGAAGCAGCGGCGGGGACGTGGAGGACCCTCCCCACGCCCTCGCATCCGCCGATGCGCGGGAAGGCAGCCATGTTCACACGCTTGCGGCCGAGGGCGGTGCCGTTCACCACGGCCGCGTCGACGCGGTGCAGCGGCGCCGTCAGCACCTGCACGACGGCCTCGTCCTTCGCCGGGGTCAGGTCGAACTTTTCTAAGGCGAGAACCTGGCCGATGGGGCCACTGCGCGCGTAGCGCCATCCCGCAGAGGCTACCTTTGACATGTTTTTTTTTGTTGTTGTTCCTTTCTTCTACACTAAATCTATTCTTTTCCTCCTTTCTTACAAAAAAAAGAACTTTCAAAACTTGTGTGTCTATGTGCGACTTCGATGGCGCAAAGACGCGGTAAGAAGACCAAGACAGAGGAAGCGAAAAAAATTCCGTTCGAGGCTCACGGTCGCGTTGATGCCGACTACGAATCCGGTCGATAGGCCGAACGATCCGCCGCGGCTGGTTCGTTGATGACGCCGGTGTTAATCTAAGCTGGTGCTAGCTAAAGTAATTCGATACCTACCTTCTACGTCCGCCCTTTTTGCCCTTTTCCCTATGGATTGAACGATGAGGTACAACCTCCGCGCTTAGAAATAGTAATAAAAGTAATAAAGAACGATATACGCGAGAACGTCTGGGCGACGTGCTGCGCCGGACTACTGCTACAGTTACTCCTCCGGACACGCTTCTGTTGGTGGCTGTGGTCCACAGAAGGAAGAGGAAGAAAAAAAAGTTCGATATGGGCGTTACGCT